TGATCCTGACACTGAAGATATTTCGAGGACGAAACCTTATTTCTGCCCATGGCGAGGCCGTCGATTAAGGACGACCTCCATTACACTGGAAACGTCGTCCACGAATTGAAGAACTACTATCCGTTGAAAGATAGGTTTCACGGTGACAAAAGACACAGGAATTCGCGTGGGTGTTTGAAAGAGGCGTGGTGCATAACTCGAGGACAATGCAGCGTGGATTCGAGAGCGGTCAGAATCGACAGAAACAGAGTTGAAAATGGGTCAGAAGGTTTTTCATCGAACGATCGACTCGCTCTGGATCACTCGTTCTGGTTTTATGGACGATGAGTTCTTCGGGTCGTCGACTTTCCCTTCGATCCACTTCGAAGGACATCGTTTGTTTTTCTTTTATATGGCTTTAAACTCGTTCACCTTATGGCGACGGAAACCTTGATTCTGAGCATTAAGTTTTTTCACAGACTCTCGTAAAATACAGGAAACAGTTTTTAAACCGATCACTTGTTGAATTTCACAGGAAGGCGAATGTACGCGCCATTTCTGAACGCCATATTCCTCGACGTTAGAAACATTCCGCTTAACTTAGGAAGCTCAGTTTGGTCGAAGAGTACTATTTCACTCTTAGCTTCTGTCGCAATATTAGAGTAATTTCCAGTTGATGCTGTTAATAAATGGTGAATGAACACATCTGAAATAAGCATCGTTAAATGAAGAGAGGAATGGGTATAAACGGCTCGATGGATGTGGAGAACGTTGCACTTGAAGATGAGTCGAGTATCACTTTCAACTTTCAACTCTTCCCCGTCCAATCATCGTCCTTCTCACATTTTTACCTGTTGCTCAAAGGTTTAACTAGATACCCACATGTGTTACGACATTTTTGTTATCCGTCGAAGAATCTCAGATACCACCCATCATGAAACGCATAATTTTCTAATTCCTACATAAATCGGAGATTGGATGATCAATTGCGTAACGTTCCTCACCGTGAAAGTCTCGAACGGAAACGGCACATGTAATTCGTTCGATTTTTAATACGTTGTCTACCGATTGAAATTCTAATTTACCTTCTAACTAAAATTAATTCAAATTACAAAATTTTTATTTATTGTTCCTGATCTCGATCCGCATTTAAATTGTAATAATTCAATTACGTGAAATTCGTGATACCGGTCAACAGTGACCCCTATAGTACTTGATATATTGCCACCGACTTTACATAACAACGTACGTCAGAAAAAGGAAAAAGAATCGAAAGAACGATCTTGTTATCGAGTTCGCTTAAATTTATCATCACTTTCACCGAGGCCACAAAATATAACCTTGTTGATAGCGAGACGACGAGTCAGCTTATCACGCCCTCGGATGATTACAATTAATTATTACGACATAAATATGGCGGGAATCAAGGATGCTTTCACTGAAAAAACGACACTTTCCGGAACGGTATCTATTCTGGGAACGTATTAGCATATGAACGACAATGACGAGTCACGACATCTTAAAGAAGAATGTCACAAATAAAACGTTTCTGAGAAATCGAACCTTCCTTAAATCTGTAATTGTTAGTTGATTGTCTTTTCCGGCAATATGGTGCTTGCTTCTCGATGTCATCCGACAAATTGCAATGCAGATTGTGATGGAAACTAAAATTGCAACCGCAGATATCGCTTTAATTAAAGTTACCACCGAATCTTGTTATAAAAGACATTCTAAAATAGAGGTACAGTTAAAACGATGACAAAGTAGAAATACCAGGAGCAATATAATGAGAGCACGTCCCAGATTCTGCGCGTAAAGGTTCGACCAACCGCAGATCGACCACACCATCGTCTCCCGTTTAATATTCCAGATTCATCCTGTCGGTTCATCCTGTGGATGAGGTCGAGAGACAAGAGTTGTGCGAGGTGCACAGCACCCTGGGGGCATCCGTGACTAACTTTCGCTGTCAAACGTCATGTAATCCAGGGCCGAGGCGGTTGGAAATCCGCTTCGTTGCTAGATTATCCGTCTACGGATCCGCTCGCACCCGTAAAACATGGGAATGACCCCGTATCTATGGATTTTGCAACGTGTTCCGCTGCACTCGCAATAGATGCTAGATCCCCGGTAACGCGGTCGTGTGTCGAAAACGATTTGCATAAAAAAATTTCATTTATTGCAATGTGATTCAAATGGTAATAATTACCCATCATTGTATGGATGTGGTAACATAACTGAGAGGGTCAATTTTTCTTGAATACGGAGATTTGGGTTTGTGTTAAATGAGATTGTTAAAAATCAATTTTGTAGAATGTAGATGTTTATCGACGAACGTGAAACTATTTCAGGGCTAAGCTGACAGTGACACTGTCATTGTGTCCGTAAATCACGAGCACAATATATCGATCAGATAAGATAGGTACAAATCTTCGAATTCGATACTGATTAGCTTAGAGATTCTCACAGACAAATATTATCGATAAACGTTAATATTTCAGTATTTTCAATAAATAACAAGAATCTTGAAATATTGATCGTTGCAGTATTTTATAGTCTCGATTGGGTTCCATGTTGCGTTTCACGTTCGTTTCCCTAAACGTACATATTCTCCTGAAACTCGACTAGTGGTGGGCACGTTAATGAGATTCCTGCATGATCGGACCGGTATCCTGTCGAAGGAGCCTTAGCCAGGGACGGCCTTGCCACAGCTTTCTCTACTTTCGCTTACGTGAGATTTTCAGCCCGTTACCGTGTCTGTTCTTGACGCCATTTATCGCCTTGGCTCGCGTGCATTCCACGAAGGGAGATCAATTTCGAGTCGATGAAAGAGGAAACGATCTTCGCTTATATTATCGTTCACGAGGTAAGCAGGTACAATGGTCAGACGAATTAATTACGCTACAAGAAATCGATAAATCTCGATGAGATGACGGATCGAGTAGTGACTCGGTAGATAATTATGATCATTCGGCTGCAATGTAGCCAATTTACAAATATGAAAAGTTTCAGGGACGCATAATATGCAGTTTTGTGGATACTTATGATTTATTCACCACGCATGATAAGTATATTCATAAATTATATCGATGTTGGTCAATGTCTAATGGATTAAGTACAACATTTTGCAAAAATTCATGCGACCGAGATAGAGGTATTTAGTTGCAACATTTACCTACCAATTATGTTCACAACACGTGGGCGCTAATCTTTCGATGCACTGCTAAGTCATTCATGAAATTCTATATGTGGATGCTTAACAAAATATTCTTAATACTTGGATTTTTTAATTCGTGCCTAACTCGTACAATATCTCACCGACAGTATTGAAATATTGATAATGTTATCTAGTGCGAGAATCCTGAAATATTGGCAATATATGGCCGAAGGTCCCCATAAGATGCTTAAACTTTGAAAGCAATAAATACTTAAACCCTTCCTTTCATCCCTAGGCTCTTATATCAGGCTTCGAGTTTCCAAACCAGCGATCCGAACTTTTCACGAATTCTCCATCACCTTGGACCATGTTCCATCATTTTTAAGCCTCTTCATCCATCGTATTTCATGAAATGCCATCCACCTGTTTATGAAGAGGAGTTTTTACGTTCAATTTCGGGATTCCAAGACTGCTCGTCATGGAATAAAAATGGCAGCTATGAAAGAGCGGCTATGCATCGGAATGCAATCGTCACCTCGAGTCAGCGAACGTCGGTTGGTATTTGACGAGGTTACCGTGCTTTTACCCGGCCAAGCACTGTCTCGTCCTTTCTTTCTCCATCATGCGGAAACTAACGGTAATCTATTCGTTATTTTCTGATCAACGCTAACGACAAACCGCCTTGTCTCATTACAGTCGAGCTAATCGTTCGCCATTGTAATTTCATTGCTCAATAGCTTTTCTTGCTACTGTGCTATTAAATGCCATTTTACTTGATTCACGGTGATTGTGGACTCTAGTGATTTCATTCTTCGATAGTTTGTTGCCTCTGCGCGTTATCCTGCTCCGTTGTACCGTTATTATCGTGATTAACATACATTTTTTATCGAGTACTCGATGACGTGTTTTGTTAGAATGGCTTCTCAATTGAATACTCGCAAAGAGAGCTGAACAGATCGATCTTGCACGGTTAATTAATCAATTAAGTATAATCGTTGAGTCAGTAAGCTGAGATGAAATTGTGAAGAATTTTGGTTGTAGAATTCCGACGATTTTAAGATGGTACCGATATTGTAGTTAATCTTTCGATTTCTAACACACGTGAAATGTTAATGTGCAGACAATTTTGCCTTTCTCGTGTCACACCTACGGGCTCCGAAGAATGCTGTCGACGTTTTCTCGGCCACAGTGTGCGTCGTTATAGCCTGTCACTTGTCCGCAATGTCGACCACGCACACGCGACGCCGTTCCAATTTCCATCGACGAAAAACGACCCGTCGATTTCGTAACTGTAACCTTATTGCAAATTCGCCGATATCCAGACCGACCTTGATCTTATAACATACTCCGGACGTTCTGATTTCATTCAAAAATACGCATTAAAATTTTCTCTCCAACCAATACATTTGTACTTAGAATCCCATAAAAAATGGAGAACAAGAACCGTATTTCAGAAATTATCGACGGAAACTTTAATACTGTTCCAAGACATTTATTATTACTGTATTAGTATTTGGATTTATATTGAAATTGATATTGATATTATAGACAATGATACTGAAATTAACACTGTTACTTGCTATTATTATAGGTACTATATCGGGACTAGTATTGAATTCTATGATCCTAAATATGAATCTATTTCATTGTAATGAAACAAAAATGAATCAAATTAAACATAGTACTCGGCAATGGTACTTGCAATTTAATTAAAAGGTTAATTAGAATAAGAAAAGCGTAGTAAAATGTTCAATAGCAATTAGAGTCATGAACCTAACTGAACGACAAAGTATCTCTGAACTTGACAATCGAGTCGCTGCTCCACTTTCAACAGCAAACCTGCAGAGTGGGAAATAAAGGAGACGTGTTTCGCTGGTTTCTCTTTTATTAAAGGCTCGAGAACAGTAAATTGATATTATCACTTAGCTTTAAAAATATACATACACAATATTTATATATATATATATAAGTTCAGCTGACCCTTAGAAAAATAAGGGTGTCCGCCGATCGAGGGGTAGGGAGGGAATAGTTTTGGCGATCGCTGAGGGATCATCGATATATCCCGTGGTTACAGGACACCGGTCCGATCTTCCAGCTAAATTAGTGTCCCCTCGAACAGCAAGGATCCTTCGGGAACACGTAAGGGACACGCGTTTCTATATTACACAAATTCGGGCCATCCTTAGCTGCGATCCCGTGTCGTCGTTTCTTTTCGTAGGGGTTTTATAAGGCCAGCGAGAAGTCGCTCGATCGTCATCGAGTCTTAAAGATAAGAGAGGGGAGGGGGATTGTTTCACTGTCTCGTCGTTTGTCGTCGTGTTCGTCCTGGTCGCTGAATCTCGAGGCGCAAAGAAACTTTATCACAGATCGCTGGTGACGTGATGGACGGTTTTCGTGCGTGGACAGGTCCGGGATAAGGATGATCGATGATCGCGTCATTTTTTACACCGTTCTCGATCCTCCAGCCCTCGAGACACGAGAGAAGCGTGTACGTCTCTCGATGGACCTCGTCCCACGCCCGAAAACGTCGTCGACGACCCCACGTCCACCGTGAAACTCGTGAAGGATGATCGACCAATGGCAGGACGAGCAAAGAGGGGTAGGGTTGCAGGAAGATCAAGATCAGAGTGTTTGACTTAGACGAGAAGGAGGAACGCGACACGGTAGGCCTAGAAGAAGCCGTCACCGGTTGGATCGTTCACCCATGGGTAATTATTGGGGCAGCGTACGCAGGTCTGCAGATTTATGGTCTCTCCGGGTACCTCTTTCGAGGTGAGCTTGCAAGTGTGTGGCACCCAACAGGCAGGAGGTCCGTCGACCACGCACTTCTCCCTCCACGGCTCGAAGTTCTTCGACTCCGTGACCGTGCGCGGGTTCTGGATCCACTGGATCACCTGGGTCATCGTCACGAAATACACGTCATTGTGGTTTGCCAGAATCTCGTCGATCCAGTAGAGGAACGCGTCCAGGAACTCGGGGTTGTTCTTCAGCCACGCCGCGTGGAAGTAGAGACCCAGAGGAGCACGGTTCTGCTCGTAATGCCGGTCGAAGTTGTGGTTCAGGAAGTTGTAGAATTGGTCACCGGTCAGGATGTTGCTGCAGGAGTCCACCATGGCGCAGCCGGGCAGGTACTCGTCGTTCTGAGGATCCTCGCGACGGTCCAGCTCGTTCATCACCATCTCCCAGACTGCGTGCGACCTGGGGAACAAATTGGATCGACGGATGAAGGGAGTGAACCAAACTGCTATCTGGTGAAATTGGCACCGGGTAGCTGTTTGATTCGCGATGATAAATTGCGTTACCTAGTTGGGCAGTGTTGAAGGTTGCCGTGACAACGATGTGGCATTCTGAAGTACATGGTGTAGGGCCAAAGTGGTGGGTTGTTCAAGGCCGCAGTAATGGTGGAGTCGTAAAGGAAAGCTTGCTCCTCCATCATGGTAAACTGATTGTTACCACCGACCCTGAGGTAAGGGGCTCTCACACCGACTACACTGTTGTCCGTCAGATTAGCGAACTTCTCAGCGATGATCCTCATTCCTGCCATCTCCTTGGCCCAGTCGTCGACGCCGGCGTCTGACCAGAAGCGTTCGTCGTCGTTGTGACTTGAAACGCAAGCATTAGGTCCTGGTTAATTTTCGAAGAACACGTAGAACATAAAGAAGCTAGACGCGTGGAAGAATATTTCTTACGAGATGGAGTGAACAGCGATTTCGTGTCCCTTCCTGTGCATTTCCTGTACGGCCGAGTAGTTGGTGTACTTGTGGGACACGAAGAAGGTGGCCTTGATGTCGCAACCGTTCGGGCTCTTGCGTTTCCCGTTGAAGATCTCCTTGTACAGGCCGATGTTATTGTTGTTGATGGCGTCATCGAAGGTGATCGTGATCATCTGAGGCACGTCCTTGGCCGGCAGGTCACCGGGAATCAGGGTACCGTCCTCGGAACAGAAGCAATCGGGAAGTACGCAGACCACAGGGTCGCAGGGCGGTGCTCTGTTCGGGTCGTTGTCCATGTCTGCAAATGTTCAAGGTACCCAATCCACTTCGTCATTATTTGGAGGACGAATACGGTGAAAGTTGCTTAATCTCTTTCGCGTGGTAACTCCGAATCGTAATAAAAAATGAAATCCTAGAAATCTTACCACAAATGTTCTCATCGGATCCATCGGTACAATCCTTCTCGCCGTTACAGAAAAGACCCCTCTCGATACAGGAGCCATCTCCGCAAGCGAGGAACCCATCCTGACACAGTGGTTCTTCGGTGTACAACAAAGGTTTAGCCTTCCTCTCCTTGTTCTTCAGTTTGCAATTGTTCACCGAGTCTTTCCAATCGCAAGTCTGTTTGTCGATATCGAAGTACAATCCTGCGGGACACCTGATAGCCTGGAGACCGGAACTGGTGCACTGGATCACGTCACGGCAGTTGTCACCCTCCCCTGCTACCAGTCTGAACCATTCTCCTGCATCCTTGTCCTTGCAGATCTCATTTTCGAAGCTGTCCTCCTTCTTGGCGTCTTCTTGTCGTTTCACACGATTCGAGCCCTCTAAAACGATAGGTGGTCGAAGATCCTTTTATACGAACTCATTTCGTCTGGTTTACATTTGATTAAAATTGGAGGTCAATGGAGGTTGAAGGTTTTGAAGGACCTTCTGAATAAGTGTTAATTTAAATAAATGCATCTCAAATGTAAAAAATGGACTAGTAATAATTATCCTCGCATACTCTATAATTTACAGGGTTAATAATTTAGAAACTCCGGAATTGAAACATCGATGCCGAAGATGTATTTATATGTTAATAGCATTTTACGATTAGAATTTTTATAAGATCAGGAATGCTATTGAAAACACGCAAATTTCTTCGGTGAAATTTCGATTCGTGTTTCAGGATTACGTAATCCCGACATGAGCCATGACATTATAGAAAGCGAGAAATTAACGTCAATATTCGCATCGACTATCCATTATTTATCCTTCAATCAACGAAAGTCGTAGACACCTTCAGCACCTTTCTCATTTTTAAAACAGCGATTAAACAACGAACTTTCGTCGTCTTCATAAAACTTCTTCAAATCGTCGACGCTTGTAAAAAAATAAGGATTTATGCAATCAACGTGCTAATGGGGCCTTTTGCCGTTAAATTAATCGAGCCACATTCGATTACTTGCGTTTATCCGAGGCGGAAGCGAAAATCAACAGAATTATTTACGTAATCTTCGCTAATATTTATTTTGTTTACGTAACTCATCTTCGAATAATATTACATAGAGTTTTTGTTCGCCGAGTACTTTTACTCAATTCGGATCGAAGGAAATCGATGTCGTGAAAGCGGATGGAAACGTTGCAATTTTTCCGCGCACGAAAACACACGTGTCATTTTCCTCTATTTGTAGTTTCGTGTTCGCGTTCGTGTTATTTTGCATCAAAGCACCGAGAAACAGGAGAAAGCTGCCTCGCACCTTTCTGTTTTATTTTCCATTCGATTAGTCGCGTTAACCTTTTCGGTATTTTCGAATTTGTATTCCTAAGCTAACCCGGTCCCGGAATTTCGATCGAACAGGTGGCAGAATGATTTGAATCGATCGTTTTCGAGTGAAAGTCGGATCATCGCGAGGAAAGTCGAAGCGATCGGTTTCACGGAGCCGGAAGCTCGTGAGAGGAAGTTGCAGGCTCCTCTCCAAGAACACGTGAATATTCGAAACGCTTGCTCGGTCGAATCGTTTTCGAAAGTAGCGAACGAGGAACCAAGTTTCGAACGTGAAAGTTTTGGATTTTGATGTTCTCGCGCAGGAAGCCAAGTTTCGGAAGATTTAAGATCGATCGTTCGCCGTGCAAAATGTAAGAAGCTTGTTAGCTTTTGAAACATGATATTTCGAGTGGAAGAAAGTGAAACTCTCGATGAATTTCAAGCGTGGAATGTTGACACGAGGAACCTCGGACGGTTCGTTACGAAGGCAGCAAAATTTAATCACTTGATCTCCTTGAAAAGTGAGAATGCTACAAGTCTCTTTAAAAGTGGAGGTGACAAAATACACGAGTTCTTTAATAGAGTTCATTGCAACTTATGGGTAGTTATTATCATTGCAATCGATAAAGATTAAATGAGATGTTGAATATAGTGCAAGCACTTTCAGCATCTGGAGGATAAATTTTTAGCGTTTTTACTGAAAAAATTATTTATTTGTAATTCATCTTTTTGATGAACCGATAACAGAGTATATAAAACATTACTATGTTTCAAGATTTTTAATTCGTCAAACATTATTTCAAAATGTAAATCATAAGACTTGAGGTTAAAGTCTCAAGATGCAACAACGATAAAATTTCACGAACTCTACAGGTGGTTGCAAAAGCGACAGCAAAGGATTTTACCGCCAGTTTTGAAATAGAAGAGCAAGGAGTCCAAAATCTGAAATCGCGAAGGGGATCACGGTGTCAGGGGTAATCGGAAAATCGAAGGTCGCGATTAAAAGGATATCGGAACTCGAGCTTCTCGATCCAGTCGGTTCGGCGTGACCGGCGCGGCGTCGCGTCGGTTTCGTGCAGTGCCACGACAAACGGGGAAAGTTGTGCCTCCCCCACCCCGTTAGTGTCTCAGGGCACGGCAGTGACGTCACCCATCCGGGACCAAGCAGGCCCAGAGAGGCTTTCACGCTCTAATCTCTTATGCAACCTGTCGTCTCTCTGGCGGCCGTCAAGAATCGCGTTCGGCCCGATTTTCACTCGTCTGCATTTGGCACGAGGGAAAATGTCGGTTCGCCATTTTGGGACTCACGTGTGCTGCTATTAGAGCACATCCGGGAGCGGCGTGTACTAAGTTTACCTCGGGCTTGAAACCCTTAAGGATACGCTGGCGAGAGGAACCGGTACTTTTCGCGTGGCAAACGATTCATCGTTCGATAAAACGATCGAAACGGAAGATCACTAGGCCGTACAAGAACCGGCATACGACGAAATTCAATTCCATATTGAAATTCCAAACACAACTGCCACCATGTTCCCACTGGCTGCCACGTTCCTGCTGGTCGGTCTCCTCAGCCATCGATTTTCATCGATCCCTTTCGCGATCGATCCGAAATAAAATCCATGAAACTCGGCCAGATCCTAAACACGCTACTCACCGGCTAGAACGATCGCTGCCAGGATCAGCAGCACCAGCGAGGACCTCATCCTCGTCGCGTTGAACGTTCCCGCTCACGATCGACGATCCGTGGTCGTTGTACGGGCTCACCGTTTTATCCACGCTTCCGTTACCGTCACTAAGCTCGTATCGGTGGGTGGTCGAGGGAACCGGAAGTGACCTACAGCCGGAAGAGGGGTCGCGGATTTCCTGGCACCACTCGAGGAACGGAGGACGAAGATCAGCGCTCGCGGGCGCCGTACACGGATTCGAGCTTCAAATTGGAGGATGGGACTTGATCTCTTCCTTCAAGGACACGGACCTTGAAGACGTAGGTATCGATCACGGACTGACTGAGCCTCGCCACTCACTGCGCCTTATATTTCCACCACCACGTTACTAACGCTGCGCCCCTCTTTGGACCTGCGCCTCTGGATCTATGTTGATCCAAGAAACGTTGCCTCGATTCTGCTGGAGGGATACACTGGCGTAGGAGGTCAACGTTTGGGGAACGTTAGTCCCATGCTTGACGAACTATAGGATCTTTGCATTTTTTTATTTACTTCTTCTTTGAAACTGAGGGTGTTGATGGTCATAGGCGATGGAAGACAGCTACGGTTCATAATGTGGTCACAGGGTGCTTCAAGAACTTTGGGGTGACACTTGTGGAATGTGTCGACGCGAAACAGGACTGACATTATAAATAACACATGCTGTACAAGGAACATGATAGAACGATGAAGAGACCTCATGACCTCGCGCACAGTGTGCTTCAAGTATTTTCAGATCAACCTTGTGGTTGATATTTATTCATCGATAATAAATGTAATGAAATAATAAAGGGAAGACTATCACCTGATATACAGAGGTGTTTTAAGTGGCTTGAAATAATTATTAGGAACCGAACCTCGAAGAGCAGGTGTATCGATATGTACAGAATGCAGGATAGTAAAAAATTATAATGTAATGCTAATTAAACGAATGATCGTAAGAAGAAGTAATTCTATTCGTTCTATCGCTGTAAATGTCAAGAATAAAGTTGAAAGTTCAAAAGTGTTCTCCGATGACATCCTTTCCCAAACTCAAAGTCCTCAGTGTTTTACGATCTATATCCAGCCACTTCGCTCGGAGAATCATTTAGTCGAGTGAATTCTAGACTTTCTTGCAAAGTTTACGAGTCGAAAGTCTTGGATCGATGCCTCGTCGGTCGAGTTCATGGCTCTAATTTCGATCTCGTAAACAGCCGCTCAATCGATGCACTGTTTACCAGTTACCTGGAGCGTAATTTTAAAAACAACTAGGATCAACCCATGCGTTGAAATCGCGTCTGGCAAACCCTTTATGCTTAGACAAAAATGGTATAGTAATTAATTTGGCGGAAGTTTCTAAATACAAATTACTATAAAATTTTTGAGAGAAAAAGCGAGGGAAGTCCTCGCGCTTCATCGAACGCGATTTCAAAGAAATTCACCGAAAGCATTGAGGTTTCGATAGAAAACGAAAAGAAAGGAGTCGGATGAAAAACCAAGTGACGCAATTTGCGTATTTTTCGCAACGAATATTTTTACGTAATGGAGAAAATGCAAGTTTTCCGTGGGTTCGAAAGTGAAACGAACTCGGATGCAACTCGTTCAGCCGTAGATCTATTTTGTGGTACATAATTACGATTCTGTGCTGATAATGCGCTGTATCGAATCTATTATCTTTCGATTCGATTCTGATCTTAATGGTTTCTCTTCTTGCAAATTGCGAATATTCTTTTAATTACAATTTCCTGTTCCGAATTAATTCTACTATCTGATTTCATATCTGATCTCGATTCCTTTTATTCTTCTAGAAATGGAATTTCAACGGCGTTATCGATTTCCAGGAGTATTTAATTTAGAAATTAACTTTGCTTCGGTTGAATCGTAATTGAGGATTCTACAAATGTGCATAGATGTTTGCAATTCATCGGTGCGGAGGTAATTAAATCTCTGTACGGGTCAATGCATGTCATTCATTCGCACGACTTCATTCTCAAAATAAATGTGCGAAATTTAATTTAAATTGTGGCAAAGATTTGGAGTTGGCATTGTTAGTTAATGCGATGAGTGATGTTACAACACGTGGGAAATAGAACACGTGCTCATACGTGTACTTATTCAACGAGTACAAGCAAAGTTTACACAATATGTAATCCACGTAAAAACTTCTGGCAATTGTTATAAGAAAATGCTAAAAGTATGCAATTCTCTACGTTCAACAATAAATTTATAATTTGTAAGGTACTATGAATTTTGTTGTAACGATCAGTGCGTACATAGGAACCTATTATAATAAACCAACACTTTTCAGCAAGAAACAACGATCGATCATGTTTGCACGATGCATCGTTATCATTTTCACGGATCACTTTCTAAATACATCACACGGCACTGAAGATTGAGAATCGTAGAGATGATGAAGGGTCTTTGTTTGCCTCGATCGTGCTCCTCGATCACGCGAATCATCGAGGTGCACATACTGCCGGAAACGTGGGCACCTATGTAACGTGTACTTCCTCTTCATTGTTTGCTGATTCGAATCCCATGGATTTTATGGCGAAGCAGAGATTAATGTTGTAGAAAGCGATGTAATCTTCCACTTATTCATTTAATATTTAAATATCTTTTATAAAAAATAAATGAAAGTTGTGATGTATATAACGAGCTGCGCGATTAGGGGTTAAAACGTTCTACAAATTTTCGGGTAGATTAGAATCGTGCATAGTACCGTGCTGTTCGAACAATCGAACGATCTTCGGTCACACACACAGGTCGTCTGCTGCTGCACGGTTGATCCGTCTCTTGCAAAGGGCAAATTCCAAAGGCTGAATTTAACGATAAAAGTCAGACCTCGAGCCGGTTCACGGCGTTTCACAATGAAATTTCGATACGTGCACATGACTTCATGACACGGTGTGTTTCGCGGAATCGATGTACCAACTCTTCAGGTAGAAACTCGAACACATAGAAGATTTCACTTTTTTTCGGCTGGATCTTATTCTTAATTAACATCAATATACCTTCTCTTCCGTCTCTCTACACATTCTAAAATATTTCGGATTTTTATGGAGTGTTCAGTCTTTGTTGTTAATTTTCTACGAGCTAGATCACGCTTTGTCCACCCATTTAGCACAAGTTACAATGGCAACGATATTCTCCCGTCATAATAATTGCTACCGTAATTGTGTGCATCGATTAAATTGCTTTGAAATTATGCCACTCCCGATCGTCACGGCGTTAATCTAATAGAAACTGCATTTACGTAAATTCGTAATGTCCCATTAGGGATGTTGCTACCCCTCGCATTACTAATTGATTTTATCGTTTTGTGCTGATTGCGATGCTAAATGAACATGTTTATATCTGGTATTATGAAGACTTAATAACCGAGTGACATTTCGAAAAGATATTTATTGTCTGGACCGAATTAAATTTTAATTGGAAAGCTAGTCTTCTGTGTCATAAAATAATATGCAAAGGAAATCATATCCAATTATTTTCCAATCATGTAAAATGTACATCATCAATAGCTGAATCAAACATATTATCATATGCTTGAATGGCGTCAATTGTAATCGTGAAGAAATTGTCTTGTCGTTGAATTGTGTGATAGTGCTCTTTGAGTGTTTTCATGAGGCATTGCACGGCCCTGACGTGACATATGCAATGGTGAAAGGAAACGAACAAGAAGAAGAAGAGACGGCGATATCAGCTGAAGCCTTCGAGGTTGGTGCAAGCTTTCTCTGCCCGCGGCCTAAACAAGCGGATTGAAAAATCCGCTTCCATTAATGAACACTGAGCTCCATCTAGCGTGCTTCATCTGATTCTCCATTAAAGGATCCATGAAGATCCATGATCGAGGTGTACTAATGATCGATGCGTACCTTTCTCTCGATCGGTACATTCTCCTGCAATATAGAATAATTTACGATTAATTTATTATTTTTTAAATTTGGCTAAATCTGTATTATTCACTGTAAAATTCAATTGTAATAATTGCATAAAAGTTTGTACGTTAAATGTTACATTGTTTCGAGGTTAATAATGAAAAACTAATTGAAAAATTTTTCTCGACCACGCAAGAAACTTACATTATATTATCAAGGCATTCGATCAAAGTTCTTTCATCAAAGTTCACCCTCCAAATTATTCACCATTTTGCACGAACCACATTAACCAACAATTTATCGATTCACAAAAAACGGAAGAAGTGGCTTGTCAGAGGGTAAAAAGGGGTCGTGTTGAGTGCTGACAAAAAACGTCTCCACACAACAATCCCACAAAAAAGAGTCTGTAATCCACCCTGAACTAACCTATCGATGGTTATACCTACAATATAGGCTTTCTGCTGATTCAGCGAGGAAATATACATTTTCGTTATAGTGCCATTTTCACGTAAACTTTTATAAGGAAGTTGGAATTTTGGTGGGTGAGAATTTAAAACTTTAGAAAGACAATTTCAGAGTGTAAGAATTTTTAAATTCATCAACCTTTTGAATTATGAAATTTATTTAATTCGTTAGTGGCAATATAACGAGAGAGAACTGCATCCTTTCCTTAGGAAGAGCCACGAGTGCATGACAACTATCTGTTGCATTCCGAGGACTTGACCCCATACGTCCTTGGCCGAACAGTCCTGCCACCCCTAAACCCACCCCTCGACGCCTATAACGTGTATTATCCTTTCCGGAGGCGATCAAATACTTTCTACGACCCTGAGTTTGACTGACGGAAGTTTTATCATTAAAAAAAGTAGAAAAAGTAAAAGTGTCCATAAAATAGTAACAATATATTGGAGATATATTACTTAACACCTGCAATTAGAATTAGATAATAATTTCATATCATAAATTTTGACTAAAAATGATGACTAGATTATGTGACCTCAGATTGCGCATTTTATTTCTAAGGTAAAGAACACGGAATCACAAATCGCAGACGTATTCGATCTGAGATAGCTGTAAACCTTGATCGAGGGTACTAGGCTTCCAATTACGTGATCTGAATGTTGTAATCCTCTAGGGGTACTATGTAGCCCGAGCAAATTAAATTTCGTCGGATAACCTCGATCGTAAGAATTTTCCGGAAGAACTTCAAGGTCGATCCACCTAAGCAAACCCTTCCAGGTATATTTTCGTTGCTCAGATTTACCTTAGAAATTCTCGGTCTTAACTTTTTGATACAATTTATCATCTTATTGTAAGAGGTAAAAATAATGTTTGAGGGTAGGTTTCGCTTTTAATTCTCTTCCTTTGTAAGTAAAATTGAATCAACCTTTTGCGGAGTGAATTTAATCCGAGAGGAGGCAAACCTTGACCCTCCCTTGATGGCAAACAACAGCTTTAAATACGTAAAGTCAGAAGGTAATTTTGCTGCAAGTTATTTCAAGATGAGATAAATCCTTACAATACCCTAGCAATTTGTTGGTTTCATCGAATACATCCGAAACCAAAAACGTACATTCATCTTTACAAAGCTGACACCACTCTACGCACTTGGACGATTTATCATTTTTGTCCTGGCGAAAATACCAAACGTTATATCATCGTTAAAAGTTTCCAGCCATTAACGATCAACCATTTTCGAGAAGTCCATCGATCCAGCTCAAGGGCAATTTACCGAAAGGTATCGAATCTCCTATCGAAACTTCCAAATGCGGTCCGTTGTCACAAATTTTACGCGAAACGCGATATTATATCTTCACACGACGTGACAGTGATTAACACACTAACAATTTATCGTCACTCGTTACTCCCGGTAACAGGATACGAGACATAGTATATTAATGCTAACTAATAAATCAACACGATAGTGATCTGTTTCTTCACACGGTGCGAATATATGTCTGCCTAGTTCGGGCAGATCGAGTCTAGTTAATGTAAAGTCAAAGGGCAAACATTATATGAGCTAATAATTCAAAAGTGATTATAATTTATTTCCAGGATACCTCTGGATACTTCCAGTTTATCCGGTGTCAAAATATCCCAACAAGTACTTCAAGATATAATCCCTCTGAACACCCTAATCAATCATCTTCGTTTAATGTACCAAGAAGGAAAATGTTAAATTGTATCTTACTCCCAAGCAATAATTTCCTATATGACAGTAGATTCTCCAGCATCGTATTACGCCTATCCACATAAACCGAAGTATCGCTATCACAGTCAATAATCCAAGACACATCAATCAATCTCTCCGACCACCCTAAGAGCTTATCCTGCCATAGGCTGCCTCCGCAAATCTAAACAATCGAACCCTATATACCATCGCCAGTCGTCCCACCAATTAACCCCTGCAAACAAGGCGTAAATCCCTTATCCTCGCCCTTATCCGACGAAGGTCAACGCACCAGCCTAAACCATGCCCTCAGCAAGCAAAAGGGCTAACTCGGAGGACCAACGCCCACTTTGGGGGAATTAATGGGAATTGCAAAGTCGAAAGGAAAGTGCAGGTAGCGGATCGATGCACGTGAGCCCAACAACCCCTATCAGTTTCCGCGTTGCAGGAAACGAGGGGGGCTCGAACGGGGGTCGGCGTGTGGTTCTGGTTATATCGATCTCGAAGATCGTCCTGCACGAAACGTTCTGACGGTCGAGCGGGTCTCTCAGGGCCGTACCACGGGGCTTGACGCCACCTGCGACGACCTTGACCTACGGGGTTCCTCTCGCGCCGGCGTCGCGTCCTCAACCTCCCTCTTTTCTCTTTCGAGCTTCTTCTGCGGCTCGTTCCATCTCGTTTTTTAATATTTTGCACCGTGCTTGTTACCAAAATTCAATTATTCCGTGTATCCAAGTATCCCTCAAATTCGAATTTTAATTTCGAATTTTAGTTGGGCAATTCAAGTATTTAATTAATTGATAACAAGGATAGGGTAGTTTCAGCGCATCGATGCGGACAATTCGAATGTCTTCAAATTCAAAATTTAAGAACCTCAATTTTCACCCTTATCAATTACACTTGGCACTTTCGTTTTTTGCTCTTTAACCACCCCCTCCTGCGATCCTTTCAACCGCATCGTATTTCTTTTTTTCTTGCTCTTTGCTTCTAACGTTCAATTCTTTGTTTCGGCCTTTTGATGTCGGCACGAGGATATTTTATGGACCACAGCTTTTGTTGATCGGCGATTTTTAACGGGTGAGTCGCGTTTGATGCATCTTTTGAACCGACGAGGGTAGTTTTTCTCTTTTCTTTATTGTCCGACACCTGTTTTCCTTTCTTTATTCAACTTTTATTTTGATCTACACAACTTTAAAATTCGATATTGTTGTTTAATTCGATCTAGTTTTCTGTTTAGTCAGAATTAAGTTCCGTGCAAATAATTAATTTGTTACCACCACTTTTGTTCATCCTTACGCCAGTAATTTCCTAAACTTTGTATTCATCCCGTCCAGAATAACCCTAATGCAGTTTCCCGGCTTCGAAGTTTTGTTCTCCGGAAGCCTTAAGGCAGCTTCAACCGGATTTCCGCCGAGTCCTCGTTATCGCGAAGAACGTATCCAGGCACTTGAGAGAACTGTCTCGCTGTTCATTTTCCTGCACTTACCGTTTTACTCTTCCAATCTTCCGGTAATTCGAACGAATTTTCCAACAAATCGTTGCTGCATTTCCTCTGCGAACAATGCTTTATCCCTCAAATTAACACACGCAGATTACAACAAACTATGTATGCAGTTTTAAATATTTTTGCGACTAATTCTCTTCCGTGTGAGCATCTACCAATGTTGAGGAAATCAATCGAAAAAAAAATATCATATGGAACAATCAACACGCATGTTTTTCACGAGCAACAGCAAACAAGCCCGATACCGTTTCCCAGCTCTGTTTCTCGGCAATCAAACCAAGCCACCCCAGCAATTAATACCGAAAATCCACGTAATCCTAGTGCATCCCCTTCTTTCCTACCGCACTTGTTCGAGAACATTTTACCCCTCGGCGTTCACGACCCTTAAAAACCCATCAAGTCCTACCGAATAATGGTCGTATCTTCGTAAGCAATTATGAAATACCTCTATTGTTGGGATCTGGGAATCTTATAAAAAATATTTCGTTATTCTATAGTAGCAAATAAATTGCTGAAACCTCAGCAAATAATGAGTTGCTACCAGGAGAAATCTATGTCCCACAATAGCTCGATATTAATTTGTCATGTCGCTATTAGTATCGTCATTAATTTTCCCATTAATAGCATATTGCCATTAATTTTCTATTTTCGACGCCATCCATACACTCCACATCAAAGTGGCCGAGCACAACAAAGCACACATTCCAAAATCCAATTCCCTCTGAAAGCAGGGCCAACGAGCAATTTCATTCTATACTTCCAATTAATATCGTCAGGTATCACCATGATTTTCAAATAATCGAAAAATGAAATTTCTCCAAACAGGAAGCATTCACAGTGTACAAGTGGGGGACTCGTATCGTAACCACCAGTTACTCGCATCAAGCTTGGTAACGATCAGACTGGAACTCGAGGGGTAAATCAAACTCTCGTCAGAACTCGCGGTGCTGAACCTCTCTCACCCCTGCAGTGAAACACAGTTCATCCCCATCCCCACCTTTAACTCAGCTACCGGACCGAGCCAACCCACCCTCTCCCACTCTCCGAGCACGCTCCTGTCTCGGGCTGTCCTGACGAGCGGAACCAGTCGCAGTTCGAACCCCGAAGAGACCGACCAGCAGAAACGTTAGCTGCTAGCCGAACACTGGCACGAGGCGAACGATCGTGCCGAAAACCCTTGGCCATGAGCTCGGCCTCGGAAACATGCAGGTGGGTTACTCTGCTTACGTTTCTCCTCAGACTTCATCTCTTCAGGGTGCACCTTTCGCTCCTCTTTCTGTAACGCGTCTAATTTCTTACTTCTTTCGACACTACTTCGTTTAACTAGTAATGCGGATACAACCTTAGGGTCCCTAAGGGTCATCGTTCATATTTTTTTAATTTATCAAGTTAACTAAATGTATCTTGAAATTTGGTATTTTATCTATTTTACTACTGTCAGATATTATTTAATTTAATATTTGATGTAATACATGTGTTGTGTTGGTGCAGGTTGAGTCCATGCCAACCCTGTTTTATAACTTGATGTTATCCGACGACTTCATTGGTGAAACAAACTTTGAACATTTTCCAACCGGAGTAGAAAAATGACGTATCTAAATATTTAAAAATAATTTTAAAGTTTCTATGGAATTCTCTAAACAGTGAAGTTCATCTACTATAATTAGCTCGCGTTCTACATTCGAGTTTCGGTACTTCATTATCATTCCATCAGTATCACATAGTGTGAAAATTTGGTACATGAAGTTTGCGTAAATTCTACGGTGGTGCATCGTTCAAGTTGTTTGATTAAAGTGCACCTAGGGTTTCTTGTCTCGTGCAATTTTCTTGAGTTCCGCTCCCTAGGGTGAACCCTCTATTGCTTTTCGTTGGAAACAAAGTGTAGTAGGGTGGAAATATACTACATGTCGGATTTTGAAGAAATTCTAAGATGGTGTTGCATCGTTTGATGGGATGTTTGATTAAAGTGCATCTATAGTTTCCTGTCTGGTGCAATTTTCTTGACTTCTACCCCCGAGGGTGAACTCTGCTGTTATGCTGCTGACTGTGTAGAAATAAACTGTCAATTCTGTATTCTAATTTTTTATGACTATACTGCTTCTCGTGCAAATTACTCAATTTCGTTCGTGAAATTTAAAGCTGTAGAATTATTTATGGAGGGTGTTTAGTAATATTCCGAGGATTAGATTAACCCTCTAAGAAGTTGTATTTTACATAGTTCACTATGGGTTCTTTAAATTAGGTTTTAAAGTATCATGAGTTGGGGCTTGAATAATCTACCCTTAGGGGTGGCTTACGAGGTGATTGTGCCTTTGTTTATATCCTGGGGAGGATCGTAAAGAACTTGTGCGGCCCAGTATTCAAAGGGTGAACGTAATATGAATACCTCCAACGAATTGCTAAGGTACTTCGGGGGTGAGAATGAGACATTTTCATCAAAATTGTTTCCCTTTATTTACTGTGTTCGTTAAATTCTGCATTAAGAATGTTAAACTTCCCTTAAACTTAATTACTACCTTACCCTTAAAATTTGTCTACTCAAATTTTCTTCATCCACCCCTAGTTATTTAGGAGTAAAGCTCGATTCTTCAAATATTCATCAAAAGATTCCTTCCCTTCTTAAGGAAATTATTCTCCATTTACAATTAAAATTAAGAACTATCCTTTATGGGGGTTGAATGACGATTCTCTTGAAAAATCAAGGAGCTTTATTTCGGTTTCATCACCCTTATCAAGAAACCCATACGCCTTCCGACGATAGCGTGCTAACGACGGTCAAGGGGATGAATTTCGTTAGGGTTTGCGAACCCTCTTACCTGACAACTTTCATAAACGAACGAGAGTTGCGTGGAAACAACGATAAAACGCGGAAATGTATTCCGCATAATGAAACCTCTCGATTTTTCACGATTCCGTGATTTCGTATTCCATTGCGTAGGATTATTCAAATAAAAGGGGTGGTTTTTCGTCGCGGTATAACGAGATCCTTCTGCATTTCAAACGAAACAACGTCGAACGATGCTCGTCGCACCTTTTCAAACCATCTGAGGCATCAACGGGGGTAGCATGTGCTGGCGACGCTTTTAATTAATGTTTCAAGGCTGCACCTCTGCGATTCACCCCTCGGAAAGTTACTCCGGGAATAATAACCTTTGGTCGAATTTTGAATTCACCCCTAGCATTACGTTCTTTTAATTTAACGACGAAGGAACGCAAACTTTCGAGTGGAGTGTCATCGAGTAAGGGATGGAAGTTCGTACCCCAGAGAGATTAAGTCAAGAAGGTAGCAGAGCAGGAAAGTAAATTCCGCTTTTACTTTCATTCTCATTAACGTTCCGTGATCCACTCGGGGATGAAGACCTTTTAACGAACCCATCCTCGCCGTCTGCAGTTTAAAGTCAATTAATCTGCACCCATCAGCCCTTAACTTTTCCATTAGTCTCAAATCAGTTATCGAAAATTTCCCCCGGTCGAAATAATTTTATCCCTTAAAATTCATAGCCCCGAAAGGGTGAAAATATTGTTGGAAGATTGCCACAGGCGATAATTTCGTGATCGAGCCGTTGAAATTAAACATACTCGTCGTATTCTTGGGAGAAGGGTGTTTCTGTTTACACGCACGAGAAAAGCACCCCCGTTTCCGTTCCTTCATCGACCGTACCTTATGTCAAGGTCGAACCGGGCAAGATTTCTCAGTCACGGTCACGAACATCGTTTTGTGTGTCTGTTCAACACGATTCGCAAATCATTGGCTGCGATTACGACTCCACCCCCTGCAACCCCTACTCACCTATTCAAAGTGCTTTTTAATGGATTAAGCGAGCCAGCTACTGTATTGTAAATAACGCTTCATCTTTTTTGAATAATTCCTGCGTCTTGAACATTCTTTTCGTCAAAGCATTGTTTGATCATGTGGCTGTTGAAAATTGCTAATAACAATTTTTATCGAAATTATTTAAAAGACCTAATCCCAACTGATCGTGTCGGATTCTGCAATAATTACTTAATAAAATTTTGACATTTTGATTACCGAAGTTAACCAGAAAATAAAATATTAAGGTGGCATATAATTTGTGTTGGCGACCAGAAAAATGTTCGTTCGATATATCCACTCCGGGCGGGAAAGTTTTTAATAATCCACGGCTGACTGAGGATGCGGAATTAATTAATTTCTCGAGCTTTAATTTAGCAGAAACGTCGTTCAGTTCATAATCCATCGAACGACGAATCGTACAAGATTCATTAATTCGTTTGGAGTTCATCGCTGACACGGTATATCGTGAATCACGTTAAATCTCGTGATGCTATCATAATTCATCTAACGAGCGCGAGATCACTGAAATTGAAAATAAAAATTCAGATATTTCTCACCTTTTTGCTTCGGTCTTTCTCGTTGACACAGATTTGCGAGAACAAAATGAGAGAAACGGCAGGACGTAAAAATAAATTTTCCCAGCACGGGGACGAGTGCAAAATTCAGTCGTTCGAATTCTTTTTTTGAAAATTTTCTCATAGCTTATTTATCAACACCGAAATGGCGGTGCTCGGTCAATATGTGCGCAACGGTAATTGAATTAAATTCGAGTGAAAGAGTTTTAGTCACTGGAAAATAATATTTATAGGAACATTATTATAAATAAAACTGTTTTATGAAAACATTGTTCTATAATGTAAAACCTAGATAAATCTAATTTAATCGTAGTATGTCGAAGTTAGTAATATATTTTAATTATAATGCACTGAGGTTAATAATATAGTAGGCAAATAAATTAACTGGTTATATAGGTCAAATTAAAATTCAGTGCGAAATACGCAAGAACAAAAAGGGTAGCGAGAAGAAATAAGCTCTTGGAATGTTCGATTCACAGATGGAAATGAGTTTCTTCTTATTGTTTTGTACGCAGTGGCGCAAACCGATTTGTAGCTCTTTCGTGGTTCTTTTAGAAAAAGGATCTGCGGTTTCAACGAAACAACGATTTGGCGAACGTCCAAATTTTTAGCCACCAAAAATGACACAAACTTTGGTGGCAGCCCTTTGCCGCATTACAACCAGTTCCTTTTCAATAATGATCATCGATCGCCAGAAAGGTGTACCAAAAATATCATGTAAAAATCGTAAATTAATTGATCAACAAGACCTAAAGTTTTCTATTGTGTCGATTGCACAAAGAAACTAAAATTGTCGGTCAAGTATCCTTTACCGAGGTAAATGTTTAACAAACGAATGTATTGTATCGAACAATCCTTCGAGGTAAATTTGCAACTTTAATGGCTGCTACTTCTCTCCCATGACAGTTTTTCTTCCTCCACCTTTTGCCCTGCAAATGTTGAATAACATTCGCTTCCTTCCTTCCGGGAAACCTGCAGAGAAGCATCCAGCTTCATTAGAGAGCTTCCTGGTTGCGCTGTATCGATCTGTGTTCGCATCGCCTGTTTGACCAGCAAGGTATTTTTTTTCGTACGAGATCGCGCTAATTATACACCGATAGGAAAAAGTCGTCGGGAAAAGATAAATTTGTGTCGTGGTCTCGATAAAATGTCGTGCTATTTCAGGATATCCGAACAGAGTCGAAACAACCTGTCACGTCGCAGTCCCTGTCGGTGATTAATCAAGAGGGACTTGCATTTCGATTAGCATTTTTATTTTTAGGGATATTTTACTTAAACGACGTATATGTCGCATTACAATACGTGTCAAATATGCTTCACTCGTGTGTGCATAAATTGTTAGATTTGTATCGGTGAGAGAGACGTTCTGCGAACCTCGCAAGTTGGAAAACAAAATGGTAGCCGATATTGAAAGGCACGGTTCGATTGAATAAATATTACGATTTCTCGGGGAGAAAATGTCCGCAGTATTCGATATCTTAAACGGAACGCGACAGATCGCAATGTGATGGAACAGATCCCTCTGTGTCTGACATAACGGCGTTCCAGGAGGAGATAACACGGCGTCGTTCGCATGCACGCAAAACACATTATGCACGTTGCATTTACGTCACACAGAGCCTGTCAATGGTTCGATCGTGGTGAAAATCAGTCGGAAATATCGAGGAAGACCATGCTGCGTCAATCGACTGATGGCACTCTTGAGATCTAAAAATCTTGTACAAAATCGCATAAATCGATTAAACTCGCGTTTGTTCCTTGTAGGAGTTGAGACAAAAGTTGGCGATGCATGAACACGAATGATCGAACTTCGGTGATTTACAGTTCGAGGAAAAGTTCGAAAGTCTTCGACCCCCGTGCAGCCGATGACTTCCTGAAATATCCTCGGATTGGTTTTTCTCATTACGGCCTGTTTACATTGACACGATGAAGGTCGCTATACGCTTCACTCTTTTATAATCGTCGATGACGTAGGATGGCACGCGACACTTCTCGGCAGCAACAGTTCACTGCTAATATTTATCACAATAATAAAAGTGCAAAGTTCACTGTGAACCGTTCGACTGTGCTTTGTTTGCCATAGACACGTATTCGAGTATAAGATCATCTGAACTATAATCGCTGAAAGCTCTAGGTGTTGAGGGTACAGCAAAATACTTAGAGAATCAACGCGTGACAATTCGATGTGTGAGAATTCAACGCGTGGCGATGCAGCGCATGAGAATTCAGCACGTGAAGATTCCACGCTCAAAATCAATTCGGGAAACCAATGTTATGAGAATGTTGTTACAATGCAATAATTTTGATACAATTATTTGACAGAAACCATTGAGAGAGCTGGGCCGATTGCGCCTCAGTACGGGTGAGCAGAGCAACGACGTCGTGGCGGAAGTTTGCACGGAGCCGCGTGGCGGACTTCCGCTTCTTCAGGTATGGCCGAGCGATTCACCGAGAGGCGAAGCCGACGGACAAGCACAAGCATTCGTGTTTCCCGACGTCCAGGAAAACGTCAACGACAGTGGCATCGAGTCCATACAGGTAAAATAAATCAACTACTTTATCATATATCACCGTAGACTCCATGCACTCCATTATACAAAGTAGTGCATTTATATTTCAGTGTCAGCTAACAGGTATTAAAATTCCTTTAGACTCGATCTTTTTCATTTAATTATGCAAATAACTACTGCGCCGTGTTAATTCAATTCGTTCACCGTGTCTAACTTTTTATGAAGATTTGATTTCCATACACTACGGTTCTCTATGGGTCAGTAACATGAGACGAATCGATGGTTTACGGTAGTCTAGACGAGAAAGCTTTCACAAGGAATATTCTCCCTTGCATCGTAAATCAAAAGCGTTTTGGCGCCAGGTCGTCGGAGACCTTCCTCCAAATATATCACGCGATCATCGACACATTAACTTACATATTCATAAAGCTATTGAAGATCGATTACCATTAAAGAAATAGTAAGACTGAAAGCAAGTCTTCTTTAATATAACCATGATAATCTTTCTCTATTAACTCGCTACATTTTTAAACATATGGCTTTAAAATGAAACAATGTAATAACGTTGATGAATATAATAAGAAACATATTAAAAATAATAACTGCATTATAAAAGATGCTATTGTCATTTGAAAAGGCATCGCCATCACCGTGCGGTGTAGCGAGCACAAGTCCAGCCGCGACTCCACAGCAGTCGCGACGTGCCAGCCTGCTTCATCCGGATCATGCTCGACTACAGTTGCATCATTTGCATCACAATCACCATAATTCAGGGTCTAAGAGTCCCCCGACGCCGGATAGGACCTCCATCGACGAGGAGCCTCCACTTCCGCCGAGTCCATCGAGCTCCACTACCAGCAGTTTACGATCCATGCCAAGCTCCGCCATTGCTTCCATGCACTCGCAAGATAGGAGACGAAGCAGCAGGTAATTAGAGAATTTGCATATGGAAAATTTGGGAAATTGAAAATTTATAAATTAGAAAGAGTTAAAAAATTCTAAAATTTCAAATTCCCTAAATCCCAAAATCCCTAAATTCCAAAGTTTTAAGATGCCGATATCAGTGAAAGAAGGCTACTTCTGTTCCATTGAGAACGGGATAAGAATTTAAACGACGTCTCATGTTTAAAGAAAGTGGAAACGGCGTTGATTTCCTTCCCACGTTTTCCTGTCACGGTCTCCTCCACAAAAGGGGAACGTCCCTGAACCAACCCTTTTCTGTTCCCGATCCGTGAAATTATCGTACGGGGTAGCGGGGCTGGAAATAATCCCTCAGGCTGATACGGTCTGACGTCGATCTTGACTCGTGTCAAGGTGTGACCCTGGCTCCATGCAAATGCGACCAACGGAACACGTGCAGTTATCCAGATATTAATAGGTGCCGAATTCTGACTCGACAATCTTTTCGAAACACTTAAGACAAATTAAAAATTCTCAAACATTGTTTCTCAAGAGTTTGCATTTATATTTTCCAAATTTCCAAAGCTCCCTGCAAATTCCCACTCCCTAACTTTCCAAGTTCCAAATAATTAAATCTGACGTCTCTAATACTGCACAGGTACAGCATGTTCGACGCCCTGGATCTGGAGTACGCGCTGCTGAGGGCAGCAGCTCGAGGATCAGTGGGTCCATATTCTCTATCAGAGTCCTTGCACAAGTTAACGTTCACGCAGAGTCTGGCATTCCCGGCTCTAGCCCGCGGATTGGCTTCGAAGCAGAGCGTCCCGACCAGAAGGCCTCAACAACACACGGAGAGCGGATTGAACGCATTCGCGAAGGTGGTGACCGCGTTGGTCCTAGTGTTGGTCAGCGTGTTGGTGTTCGGTGTGGTGTACAAGTTCGTAAGGACGTGAGGATGGCTGCTGGTACCCGATCGACAGCCTGGACCCTCGCAGGAATTTGATCGACCCGGTACCAGCGACTCGTTCGATAATTGACTTTCTGATTGATTCTGATTTTTCAAAATTTTGATAGAATTAAACCTTGTGCGTGATGTGGGTAGAAATTCCCTTAGCGAAACGTGGTTAGCTCGATGAACTGGAAGCTCAAAGCTTCGGTACTGAAGGATTCTGAACACGATTTTGATGTCGTACCAAGTGAAAGTTAGAACTAGTTAAATGTGGATGATTACGTATGAAACTATTTTGGTGTGAAAGCTCAGTGTAAAAAGTAGATAAAGGTTGATAGCTAATGAACGAAATTATGGAAGCTCAAAGCTAACAGAAAGCGAAGGCACACTTTGGTATAACTTTGATGACCAAGTGAAAACTACAGGTTAATTCTAAAACTAACATTTTACCAGAACATGGTCCCACTCAGAAGTTCAAAACTATAATACGAACTAATTTTGAACGAGTCCTAACTTTTTGACGAAATCTTGATACCAAGAAGATTAATTCTGCGGATTAAGGGTGTTTTTGAAAAAACTAACTCTTTAGTACTGCCTTGGTCGCAGCTAGAAGCTTAAAGCTATGATAGAAATTGACGGATTTTGAACAAGACTTAACTTTTTGACGAAATCTTGTTATCAGGCGAGCACTCGAGGTTAATTCTAAAAATTGAAGATGTTTTTGCAACAATTTTAGTACAACCTTGATTCCACCCAAAAGCTTAAAGCTAAATAATTCTGAACGAGACATAACCTTTTGACGAAATCTGGGTTCCAGGTGAAAAAATCATCTCGACAAGAACTGACATTTTGCAAAAACATTGAAAGTCAAATGTAGATCTTGACGATAGTTCAGAACCTCGGATGGTGTTTAACCATGGGGCCTATATCATAAACGTGTTAATGGATACTGATTGAAGAACTAAAACATTTATTCCAGCGACTGTGATTGCAAAAGTGACTATTTCGTTCGATCAACGGAGCCTTTTCAATTCGAGAAAGTGAATATAATATTATGATATAGAACGAGCTTGAAACAATAGAGAGTCGAATGTAAACTAATCTGGAAAGAGATTTTCATAAGGTGCAATGAATTTTTATTCATGAAAACCGACATGATTGAAAATCGATAGTTTTGCACGCGGACAAGGGATTCGAGCGCGTGAAACGCGTTCCTCGTGCTTTTTAATTCTAAATAAATAAAGTATAGCTATATAGCTGTGCTCGCAGCCCGCCTTCTAGCTATATTTGCAATTGAAAAAGAACAAAGAGTTAATCAATATCATTACTTCCAACTTTAAAACTTCCTCTAAAAGTTTGTAAATATATTAGTTATTTCTAATTTGCTGTGAAATGATTCTTGTCCGCGTTGCAAAAATGTGGCGAGCTGTCAGCTTGCTTTACAACCCTCGGAAAGCGTCTTATGCCAATACCGGGTCAATTTTAACCCATAGCTGTAGAATTTCATTAGAAAACGTAGTAATGTTTATAGGATAGGTGTTATAGAAAAGTAGAATTTATGTTTCATAGTTTATATCTTTCTAAAATATTTGTACTAGAATTTTTATCCCACTGCAGAGTAATATGTGTTGAGTCTGCAATATTTGGGTCCTTCAGATTAGTGATAGCTTTTCATTTTTTGGGACAAAAGTGACCCGATGTCGGCTGAGGGTAAATAACGAACAATCCGTGACTCTTCAAGTGCTTTACACTACTCTATTCCGATGACAATCGATCCAATATTAATTTTATTTGACATCTTTCGTCGATCAGCTTCATACTGTAAGAAACTTTCGAACATGTTCGAAATAAAACTCGAAATAAAGTTTTTCCAATAAATCTGTGCAATTTATTTACTATTTTAATATCTGAGCTGTTTTGCAGTAAACGCAGAAGAGATCTTTTGAAGAGGAGTAGGGGTGGGATGAAGAGTGATCAAAACAGTAATTTTACATCGGCGAAGAAGCCATTTTTATTATTTTACAGTCGCATTCCGCTCGACTCAGAGTCCCCGGCGTGTCCCAGCCTGAAGAAGTTATACCTTTGAAAGTTTACAACAAGTGTTCCCTCTTCGAAGTCTCACATCTAAGGTGCTAGTATATCTACAGTGATATAATTTCATCTTACACGACTATACACGCATTCGGCCGGGTCGTCGAATAAAGAAAAGAAAACAGTCGTTTTTTGGTTTCGTTCGACCCATCAATTTATTTCTTCTATTTTTTGTATTTTCTTTCTTTTATCGTTATTAGTATTAATAATATTATTATATGCAATATATGTACACGAGAATTCCCTGTATTGCTACTTTACATGATCTCCGACTCTCCGTCTTTCCTCTCGTCTCTTCGCCTCTCCTGTCATTTCTCTTGATTGTTGTGTACATGCGTGGAGAGTGTACGATTATGTGTCGATTGTGTCAAGCGTGAGTATGAAACCGGAAATACGCGATCAGTGGAAAAAGTTGAGATCCAGCGTTTAATGTTTCCTCTACTATCCTCTTTTTGTGCGATTCGGAAACTCTGACGAAGGAAATTAAATTATAAATATTTCTACAGAACTAGACTTTCACACGAGGACACTGTAAAATTTGGAGAAGATTACGAAATAAAAATTTAAAGGAAGTATCTTTTCCTTCGAGAGAGTTCGTTTTGATTCTCCGTTCTGATCTACACCTAATTTATCCACTTTATCGCGCTTAGGCCGTGCTTTCTCGTTTCTATAATCACACTATTTGTTTCTTCATCCATTTGGACTAATTTCGTGTTCTAACGATGGGCAAATTAAGGACCCGTAGAAACCCACGGAGTGCAGAAATTTCAAATTTCTCGTGCACTGTGCCCATCACAGTCCTAAGAGAATCAGACGAAAGGATTAAATCGCACCTTCGTTTCTTCTCAATCGTGTGCGTTGTACGTACTCGAGTTTGTACTCAAAGTGTAGAAAAATAAATTATCGTATCGAGTATACTATGAACGGCCCGATACGAGATATCCGTGAAAATATTTAGTAAACGAATCTTGAGTGCAAAATAAGACTAATTTGAAACGAAAACACCTTCGAATTAAACGATAGACCCAAATTGCCTTATTTTGATCTCAGACATCGTTTAACGGTGATCAATGCATTCATGAAACATCTAGAAAATCTAGAAAACTATAGTCGAATTCAAAATTATAGAAACTTTTGCAAGTCCAAAATAATGGACCTCCATATTCACCATCGTTCTCGTGCTGCTAAATATGCAAGCACTTTTCCAATTCAAAATATTCGTGCAATTTTCATCGAATATTACTGAATCATACGTAAGGAAAGTACATTAAAGCTCATCGATGATATAAATCGTTGAAACAGCGCTTATACTTTTAACAGCATCTAACCCCACACCTTTGTGCGTGTCTGTTCTCGAAGTACGTACACAATTTCGTTGAAGTTTATCTTTCGAGTCGATGTTTCTCCGCACTTTGTAAAAGTCGATTTTCCCTTCACACGAAACAAAGCTGCGATAGCAACAAAGTTTATTGTTTTGTTGGAGTCTTCTACGAGAGAAGTTTACAAATGGCGCAACACAGTTCCTATGTACTTTCATATATGCTCGATACCGAAAGTATTTGAAATATCGTGTGTGTATTGATTAGTCGAGAATGTATCTCGAACCATCGATAAATAGTACCTCTAAACGATACACATATATCGAACTACACAACACATCAGCTTTTTTCACTGTACAATTATAATTGCACCTTTTCAAAGTTCAATTACTCTATAAGTTACAAACCACCTTCTCGACTATTTGATTATTATTAACAATTTCACCGTGAAAATCGTATGATTCGACCAATTACACAACAAGTGTATAGAGAATTTGCTACAACAATTGGACTGGGAGAATTCCCAGAAAAAAATGAACGAATTCGATTCGTAATCCCTTCGGATTCGATCATGAAAACCTGCGATCAGCAGGCAAGCCATTCAGGCCTCGACTTTCTTTGTTTCTCTATTTGTTGTACAGTGGCCAACATAGTAAGCTTCCTAGGGAAATTGCCGACACAGGGGAAAGAGGCTCTACCACTTTTGCATTCTTAATGGGGGACTTCACTTTGTAATTTAGAAATTTGAGATCTTGGAAATGTTGAGGTTTAGAAATTTGAAAATTTAAGATTACATGTATAATCTTCCCCTACAGGTTGTACCCAAATGTACAATCTCTTCGAAATTTTTCTTGTGACACTGTATTACAACAAATCGATTGAGATCATAAGAAAGCACCTATTTGACGACCCTAATAGTCCATGTAACAGAGTATCCATAAAGTATTTAGTTTCCCTAAACTTTACTTGCTGGACACTCTTCGTAGAGAAAGAAGTGAGGATTTTTCGCAAGCCACGTTAGGAAAAAGACCTACCACTAATTGACCGTCGACGCCACTTTTAGCTCATTTATTATCGAACGTGCTCGTCGCGTAATCTAGAAAAATAGAGTCACGATTACCGAGAACCGTACGTATCTACCACAACGATTATGACCTAGACACTTTCTTAAGTTACATATCGACTCTTGAGTAACGAGAATGATCGATATTCGACTAAACATGTTTCTCTCGAGCTGACATTAATCACTGGTTCTAATTACGCTTCCACTGGATATGCATTCGCTTCATTTTCGTCTAATTACAGTAGTGCCTTAGGTGTTGCGCCCCACATTCCGAAACCCCACATTTGCAACGTTATGAACTCGCTCCTGAAATTTCCCAATTCCTAACTTCCTCAATTACTACATTCTCCAATTCCTACAGAATTAACCAAAATTTGCTCACCTAGACACTACCATAACCAGAAATTGATCGATTCGTTCCCTTTCATTTTCATCGAATCGATTTTTCTCTGATAAATCCACTGTTCTACGTAAAATAGGACTCCGTTAAAGGCCTAATTTCCAACTACTCTCCACGAAAACACTTCACAGATGAAAAAGCACGAGTAGTTCGATCGTTCACCCTCCATCGAGACAGTTCCAAACGTCGATATCATCCTAATCCTACTTATTTTTCGATTTGTACCCTGTTCGTCATGAACAACACGTTCCTCGATTAGACTGCGATTATCGGTAACAGCGGTAAGAATTTTTCTGCGGGTGGCTGCTCGACGGTTTCTGTATCGATTGTGAACTCCGTCCGGTTGAAAGGCTAAAACACGTGACACTGAAAAATCTATGAAAACCGAGAGTAACGATTTAATCGATTGTCAAATGATCAGAATTGCCCGGGCCTGTTTCTCGACAGATTCGTGTCTTCGTTCTTTCGAGTCCTCTTCTCTCAGCATTTTTCGAACAAGTCTCGAGTTCATCCTTTTCCGTCTCTTTCTTCGTCGTAGTCTCGCACAACCTCTTAGAGGGTTCTCGAGAGAAAGAAAGAAACCTCGACAGGGTTCCATCGCGAACGACCTACAGTTTACGTTGAAGTTTTTAGAGCCTTCGAGTATTAGCCTACTGGTAGATGATGGGATGAGTAGGTTCGACTGGCAGGTCACTGTCCAGGTTCAAGGACACGCCATCTTTCGATACCAGATAGTGAGTGAGCAATTGGCCTTTGCCCTTCACGAACACCATGCCACGTTGCTCGAAACCGAAACCGAATGGCTCCAGGATCTTCCGGGTCTCGTCCGTCACCTAACATTTAAACACGTTTCTCATTGATCATTCTCGTAGCATTAAATAGCCAATTTTATCAATTTTCAAAACGTTAACATGTAGTACTTATTAATATAATCAATGAATAATATATAATTAACTTGCGACGTCGAATTAAATTGATAGCTAATTATAAGTCTGAACATAATTGCAATATGGAATTGAATAAATTTACAAGTTACCTGGATACAACCAACTTTTCCGGTGCTCTCCATCCTAGACGCCACGTTCACGGTATTACCCCAGATGTCGTAATGAGGTTTTCTCGCTCCGATAACTCCGGCAATTACTGGACCGTGATTAATACCCATTTTTAGGACAAAGTGATTAAAACTCTGCTCGTTGATGCTGGACAATGCTTTCTTCAGTTCCAACGCGAACTCGACGAGGGTCGAGAGATGACCCCATCGAGGCGTGTTCTCGGACTCTACCGATTCCGTTATCCCCGATGCTGCCATATATGTCGAACCTATTGTCTTGATTTTTATGATGTCTTGGAACTTTGTCTGGTCGAGGATCTACACAAAACAGATTACAGTGATTAAATTTACGAATTTTGCTCTGTAAGAATTCTTCCTGACACTTCGCGCCATGAACTTCATCGCTTTAGGTCATCGAAAGCGATTGAACATCAAACTCACCGCGTCGAAATCCGATATGACTTCGTTTAGGAACCTAAGACACTCGAGACCTTGGTTGTTTATGCTCTCCTCGCTGTAGAAGTCCGCAAAGTTCGGCATACTGGCGAATAACACCCCCACCTCGGAGTAGCTCTGGCTGTACAGGTCGTCGTGGTGTCTCGCGCCTGACAGGAAGTAAGCGGCCACATGGGGTGGCAGGATGTTGTAAATAAGGGCACCGTTTCTACGCTTCATATCGGCTGCTCTCTCCCTTTGAGCCACCACCTCCCTACCCCTCAGATACAGCATCCTCCTCGATTTCTCCGTCTGCAAATCGATCGTCTCTCAGTCATCGAAATCGTGCTTCACCTTTCGCTCAACCTTTACCTCTTCGTCTACCGAGGGTCGAACACGAATGATACTTTTTTTAAACAACGCTAAATGTCCCCAGAATTAATTGACCGGACGAGACACTTAGGGGTGCTATGCTCTTTTATCATCGCTCTGGCAAATTTTAGCTTAGTTACATATGCCAAGTGATGTTTACTTCGTGAATATTTTAATAGGTCATTTTATGCACGTATATTTTATTAACAAGTAAGCAATTTGTGATCAGATTGACCTTCAACCATGATTTCTTTTTCATCCTTTGTATGTACTACCACATTTTGATAACATCAAGAGATGACTCGGATAAGTAAATACTCACATATCTGGACACGATGACCAAACAGATGGCCACGACGAAGAGAGTGGCAGACAGGTAGTACTTCGAAGGAAAAGATGGCGGTTCAAGAGGAGACGAAGCATAATCTTCCCAATCGAGCCTGGCTCCCAGTGGATAAATGTTGACAAAGCACTGGATACCTGCTATCCCGAACATCAGATACGCTTTGCCCAGGTAGTAGATGTAATTCGGCATAGAGATCGCCACCAGCGTCAGCACGCCCATGTAGGAGTAGTAAGAGGGATATGGACACCTTGTTGACAACGTTATGGTAGCGTTTAGGGGAGGCATCACCTCCTCGATCACCACACAGTTGAACTGTTCAACAAGTTTCATTTATTGGAGTCAATCAAAAATAGTAAAGAAGGAACTGTAATTTTTATTAATTATACATTCCGAAAACGGTAAGGTAAAAGGGTAGTTACAAGTGGTTCCGTCTTTGAAACCATTAATTAAGGATCACCAAAGCCGTAGTTACTAATTTAATAAAGGATTAACTCGAAATTACGTGTTCCGTACCATGTCCAGAAGCAGAAAATCCCCCAGAGAGAAGATCATCAGCAAAGCAAGTGTCCTCCTCAGCCACATAGCCTTGACAGCGCTGCCCAAGCAAGTGGCCCCACCCAAAACAATGGCGAACAAAGTAACCACTACTATTCCGCCCCAGGTGAATGGTCCCCAGGGTTGAAACCTCCATACCGGAGACGAACAGACCATTACCAACGGTCCTCCTAGCAATGACAAGGGCGAGAATGCTTCTTCAGCATTGTGAAACGCGGACTCGACCTTCTTGTCTTTGAAACGTAGCGAGAACCAATGCGCGTGCCCCTTCAGGTCCGCTACTCCGCCTATGATTTATTATGCACAAAGAACTTGTGTTTCAAGAACAATTATTAACAATATTGGAGTGTTTTCATGTGTAGATTTTTTCGAGGTTCATATGTGAATTGTTTCGAAGTTCAAACTGATCTGGATAAGCTTGAAAATTACCTTTGCTGTCGAGTTCCTTTCGTAGCCTCTGCCAGAACTCTTCGGTGTCTTCCTTGTTGTACCTTCCGTCCCTGGTGTTTTCCATCGACCTTCTCGAATTTTCCGCGTTCGTCAGTGAGGCAAGACTCTTCGTCACAGCTGGCTTGAAGGGTTTCAACGCTCGCACTATGAAGTAAGTGACGATGCCCGCCTTCTTGAGTGCCTCTTCTCTGTCCTCGCCGTGGGCTGGCTCGACCTCGAATTCCCCGTTCAGAAAGCTCAGTGTCACGTTCGAGATGTGCACCCTCCTTCAAATATTTATTTCCTTGGTAAATCTACCGCTCAGACATCTCATCATCGTATTAAAAATATCCAGAGTTAACTTTATCTCACCCTGCCCTTCCACTGCTCTCCATCTTATTCGCCAGTTCGACGTCTTTGCTGTAAACATCGAACTGCCACTGTCTTTGACCGAGCACACCGGCCAAAACTGCACCAGTATGTATGCCCACCCGCATATCCACGGGACTGTTGGTCGTCTGTTGCACGTATTTGATGGCATCCACCATAGATAGACCCATGTACACGCAGAGAACAGCGTGGTCTGACCTTTCGACCGGTGCTCCACTGATGCAGTAGTAACAGTCGCCCAGGATTTTTATTCGTAACTGCTCGTACCTAATCATTTCACATAACACCTATGTAAAATATATGTAAAAATTCTCGATCTTCCGAATTTTTAACCTTTGAAGTTCTCCATAGAACCTCTTCCTATACATTGCTATAATAGTATCTATCAATGCTCATCACTACAACAAAGTACTATCGTATGACTCTAATGCAAAGGTCCACAATATTAAGACCCACCTCTCGCTAAGTTGATCGAATCTCGCGAACAACTCGTTTAAGATCTTCACAAGTTCACTGGCGCTATACGTGGATGAGATGGCCGTGAAACCGACGATATCCGCGTACAGGATCGATACGTTTTCGTGCCTGGACATGTAGATCTTCTTGAACTGCGTGTCCAACGAGGCACCTAGATCCTGTCGCATTTTCACAGCGACGTGTTCAGGCAACACGCTCAAAAGCAGCCTCTCTTGCTCGGCGCTTTGCTCTTCGATCACCAGCTGAACCTCTAGGCTCTGCTTCGTCTCCAGGAAGGCTCGACGTTGCTGGAACTCCGTCAAGGAGTAACTGGAAGCGCCCAGCAACATCGCACCGACGGATAACGTCAGTGTTAGCCCCTGAAAATCATAGATTCCCGATTTCTAGAATGTCAATTACTTTCAGGAAGTCTTGGAACGTGGAGTTTTTAAAATGTGTATCGAAAGATTTTTTTCAAGGTCGAGATTCGTACATGTCGAGGCTGTAGTTGGAAAGTATTTTTAGCATAATGATTTTCTTGACGAGAATTTATAGTAAGCAAATGCGTAAGCCAGTTAAAGTTGGAATCGAAATTGGAATTGCAAAAATACATCTGTCATTTCCAAACGAACGATTTCTCAGCGACTAACCCTACGTCCGTTTTTCCTTTTGCTTCGTTTTCGCACGGAAAATCGTCGAACTCGCTCTATCTTGCACGCTTGACAGAGTCCTATTCAACCGCAGCAGCTTTTGTTCGAATCGTTTGTCCACGGCGAACAATAGAACAGGATCGTAATTGAATTTTCTGCCCCCGAGAAATTAACCGGGAGACGGTTTTGTGTTGTTTTATCGATTAAAATGTTCTCCTTTCCGGTTTTATTGGTCTGCTCGATCGAGGAATCTGTTAATTCGTCGGTAATTAGCAGGGTCATGATACAATGCTCCACGTTGGACCGGTTATTATCTGATCGATATTTAAACCAGATTTAATTATATCGTTCGATCAACCCCCTCGTTATAGACAAATATAGTAGGTCAAACAAGGCGAGTTTCGTTTGCTCGCAATTAATTTATTCAAACGCTTTTAGTTTGTCGATGAGTCTGTTTATTAAGGTATCAATTCGAAACAATTTCAAGTCAACTTTTACCTAAGATATCAAGAACATATACAGTCGAGAACGTGTATTTCGACGAGTCTGTTTCTTCGAGCTTAAAATACTTGCTCTTTGAAATAAATTTAATTCGGTACAAAGAAGGAAGTGCGTGATAAAATAACAACAGGAACTATCTATCATTTTCTTCAATTTTCTCGCGGAGAAAGCGACGTTCGAAAGGGGGTTGGTCACACCCTCGATCAACCTGAAAAGAAGGGTTCATTAAACAAGAACCAGTGATTATTGCAATTATCGTTTGAACCGATGCATCGAGGCTGTTTGTTACCGAGTTGACGAAGAAAGTAGATCCTGCCATTGAAAACCGATCGTATGTCGTGCATGGAAAGGCGGCATGTCGCGTCATTGCACATCTCTTTCACCTTCGTCTCTCTCTATTTTAAACAACCATTGAGCGAACTCTACTCGGCTGTTACTAACGATAGAACCACGTGCACGACTGAAACTTTCGCTCTCGCGACCATTCTTGTCTAGGAAATTTTGTGACAGAACTATACGTGTTGTTTCATCGTGCACGACCACGTTGTTCCGTCGTGCTTTGACCCCGTCGGCTCGATCGTCAATGAAAATCCGTTTCATCGATGCTTTCGGTTACCTCAATCACCCTATGACACTTTACATTATGCACCATATCAATTTCTACCATTCAGAAATTTCTCGGAAGCAGAATGAGATTAAATCGTTTCAAATAAATTGATGTAATCAATTTGCAATTTTCTTTCAATAAAATTGACCGAAGTTTCGAGGGACGTCAAAATGTAAAAAGAGTTGAAAACTCGATGAGATGTCTTTCTAATTATCGAAGCATCGAAGCCAGGCCAACAAATTTGTGATGCTAATGATCGTGACAGACTGTTCATTACCGGCCTTCCCCCAATCAAAAGCTGATTAATCGACGTTCCACGGTGTCGTATCCCCCCGGAATTCAAGCACAATTTCCTTCGTGCCAGCTTTTACGACACACTATCCTGCAAAGTTACTCGTTCAATTTATGAATCCTGTTCTTGTTCGTTTTACCTTTCCGCAGGGGACATCGTCGCTTTAATTAGCGAGCAGGTAGAACTGCTATTCGTACAAGTAACTAGACGCTAATTAAAAATCTCGGATTTACGAACTGGCTTCCATCGGAAAAGGAACTTTTCCCTCGGACAGGAAATCAAACTGTCTGGTTATTTCGTGCAATGAACCTGCGAGTAGACGTAGTCGTAATCGCGTCGTGATCTAATATGTGATGACATAATGCTTGGTAATCCAACACGTGATGAAGCGATAACCTTACGCGCGATAATCCAACGCGTAGTGAAGCAACGTGAAGTAATCTAGCATGCAGTAATATCAAGAGACCGTTACCCGAATAAACAAGGACAATTTCTAGGTTTCCAGAAATATTTGAAGAATGGATTGCATCGAAGAGTTGTCTGCGATGAAGTAGAGACAACAGAGATGATGGAGGCACTAGTTCGATGGCTAATCGATCAGTCGAGTGAAGCTGAATCGCTGAGAATATATAATCCGGCTCCTATTATTCCTTCATAAAGCTTATTTACACTGTACAAAGGTTTTTCTCCTTCCAAGAAAGTTCTGTTACGCCGTAATTTATTTAGTTAGCGAAATCGTTCGACAATTTCGAGCTATTGTCGTTTGCTCTTAATACTTTAAACGCGATATCATCGTTTCCTCTTTAATGGATTATTTTCTAACTCTTGGGGTCTAAAATTAAATAAATCCGGTATAAAGGAACGATATTTAAGCATCCACAGATTGATTCGATTGATCGCATAAAATTATACACCCATACACCCTGCTAATTTTTATTTTTCAGAAAGAAAATTATTAAGCAATTATTGATAACGTAGAAGGACGTACGATTAACACCGTTTTTAATTCCTTTTTAAATATTTAAAGGTTTGAACTTATTGCTAAAGAAGCCGGATTCACGTCACTGCTTCCGCGATTATTTAACATCGAATCAACCTTGCATTTCATCTAGAAAACTAACGCCCACGACACACTCCAACGCGTCGACATTTTTCCGGACATATTATTTTTTATAACTTCTATTTTAAAATTGGTTAGACTTGAAACCATTACCCTAGATTCCTTAACGCGTTGGCCGTGCCACGTATGCTATCGCTGCGTACCGTACGGACGTAAAATCAAAATTCTTCGCGTGATTTATTAACTCGTAAATGTCAATAGCGTTTCAAATTGCAACTCCGACCGATTGCTCGCCACCGAGGTTCCCAGGTAACCGGTTAATTGCCTTAATTGCTGTTGATTAGATCATTTATCTTTAGACTTCCATTCCGCTCTTTCAATTAGCAAGCTGTAACTTCAATTATTCAAATTATAACCTTCTCGATTTCACCGATTCGATACCCTGTCAATTGATAAAATCGATTTATTTTCCTTGCGACCATTTCATTCGGTTATATTAAAAAAGTAAAGTACTCAAGGTTTCAAAATAAGATCAGAAAAAATAGTTCACAATTGGCAAAAGAGAATGAAAACTTTTTAAATAAAGTTTCAAGTGTCTCTGAATCAAAAGACTGCCGTCTGAATAAAAAAAACTTCTTTCGACGCGCGAGTACAGAGTAGTCTCAAAGGACCAGGCAATGAATGTGTCAATCAATTGTCCTGGGAGTTCGTCGGCTTCGAATCAATTTCGCAGAGGAAACCATACTTTAACAGTCTTCTATACCGTGTCGTCTGTGTACACATCGTTTTCCATTTAAGCTAAACTACCGTATTACTCCTGCGGTGACAGAAAACCCGCCGTTACATCGTTTCGACTTCCGGTCCTAAACCAACAACGAAGTATAGCCGCGTAAAACGTTAGAGCTTAACTCCTTTAGAGTTGACTCATATTCGTACAAAGTCAATTATTGACCCACGTGAAAATATTATTCTCATTTTCGTAAAACGTGATGGTCTTGTGTTGGTAAATGTAATGTCACATCCAGAGTTAATGTGTTTGCCGAGGACTGAGGGTTGTGGACATTAAGGGGATGAACGAGACGAGTGAAATTATAATTCTTAACGAAATTTCCAGGTTCAACCCCATGAGAATTTATTGAATTAGATACACAAACCCCGAGGACTTGAAAATTCCTAGGTTCCGAAGTTTGTGGACGGAACTAGAATGGCATATTTTTGGTAGAGAAGTTGAGGGTGCAGTCGCGAGACGTACCAAGACATCGATGGGTATCTGGGCGGGTGCCTTGGAGAGTCCAACCACGGAGACGATGTAAGTGAGCGTGGTGCCGAAAGCGAGCAAGGCACATAGGGAGAGCCTGAGGGGCAGGGTGGCGAACAGTAGGTAGAGCAAGAGCAACAGCCAGTCTAGTCCGTTCCTAGGCGTGACCTCGGTGGACTTGAGGAACAGCTGAGCGAGTAGCTGTGCGGTGGACAGCAGCCAGGCCACGTGAGGGACCACCGACCAGAGCGCATCCTTGGCTCTGGGGTTGCACTTGGCCCAGGCCAGGAGACCAAGGTTCAGTCCCAGGAAGACGGCGGTGAGTCCTCGGACCAGCAGTTCGAGACCGGGCACGATGATCGTCTGCGCGCCATAGAGAAGCGCCGACAAGAGGAAACACTCGAGGCCACCCCGCCTTTGCTGAAGGGACGAAGCACGATAGAGCGTCTCTAGTTTGGCGCTGCTGAAGCTGGTCCGCAGGAGGTTCGACGGCCTGCCCGCGCTCAGGTACGAATCCTCGTTCGAGGTCTCTTGTCTTCGTAACATGGCGCCGTTACTCTCTCTCTCCCTCCCTCGTGCACACACACACGCACACTCACTCTTCTCCTGACACTCTCTAAATCACATTCCTCCTGTTCCTGTCGTCGGCGTCGCCTGGGCAGACACGTTGCTGAGACATCGGTCGCGCGAACGTCACCAGCGAACGCAGGACACTCCGGATGCTGCTGACTCGACGACGCCTCGTCACGGAGCCACCACCTTACGTGCTCCACCCTCGTGAATCGGTATCGCCGAACTTGAAGAACACACACGCCAACTATCGCCACTCTCACGCACTCTCACACACACGGCTTTTCGGATGCAGCTGCACCCGCCGCGCGGGGTACTGGCCGGGGTACTACTGCCGGTAGCTCCTCTCGTCTCTCCTTCGGAGAGAACCGGACCCGCTCTCTCCGTCCGTCTCTTCTCTCCACGATCGCCACCTCCACCCTCGTTCCCGTTCAGACTTGCGCCATGCGAACCACCCGACAGCTACGACCCTTCACGCGGGTCGATATCAACCACCACAGAAGCTCAGCGCCGTCCACGCCAGGCCCTACACCTGCGCCGCTCTTTGCCCTACCTACGCGTACCTACCGACCTAGCTGCACCCTTCGTCGACTACCACCACCATCGCAACCGCCACCACCACCACCGTCGACGACAACTTCTCGCTCGTTTTCCGTCAATTACCTCAATGTCGGTCACCCTCTCTCCACGCTCGCTTTTCACGCTCGCTGCCATCCGTTTCTTTTCGCACAGCCCGAACCTCGCGGCTGCCGATCCTCCTCGATCAACTTATCGCCCTCGCCGACTGTACGGGTCATCGTAACTGTTCCGATGTAACGAGCTGTCCAGCTGGAATCCTCGATCGCGTACCAGTCGCCCTGCGTGTCACTCCAGCCCGGTAATATGCTCGAACAAACGGAAGGTAGGTATTCCTTAAGCATGCGAGGGATGTTCGGGGCACTGCCATCGATTTTCTTCCCTTTCGGGACTGGGGTATTGTTGGCCGAGTCGAGTGACCGAGAACTTTTATTTTAGCGCGACCAATTCTTTTCTTTTTCCTTTAATCCTTTCGTTTCGGTATTTTAATGCGTTCCTAGATTTTGGAAATCTGGTAGCGAGCTAGTTGTGATCTAGGTTGTAGGAATCAAGATCTTTGATGTGGTACATAATGATAGAGATCTATGGATCTTGGTGTACAATAATTAATAATTACTCGACCGATAAGTTACTGGATCCAAATATAAAAATGTTTAATATTGGAATAACGACCGAATCGATCTTGCCCGCATTAAATGATTCCGATGATTTCCATCTATTATTTCAAGCAGCTTTATAATCTTGCTTTCTACCATAATCGCTTTCGTCGGGAAAATTGATAGCTGTTGTTCCACTTCGTGTCGCTGTGGAAAATGAATCGACCCGATTCGTTCAATCGATAGGAGGTCCAGCATTTTCCAGGAAATTGAACCACGTCGATTTTTCGCCGAGCCATTAATTCCAGTCGCTTTCGTTAACGCAGTTTCGTTTAAAAACGATCAGCCGGTTCTCGAAATCGAACGTTTGTTTAAAGAAATCTTGTATTTCTTTAATTCCCGCGAAGTTGGATAGCGTGAAAAATATTTTCGTTAAAAATACGGTGCGACGGTAGGTAGAAACGAATTCGAGCAGTCGGATATTGATTCGAGGAAAATGCAATCGCTAGATATCACGGAATGGTTCATCAGTAGGACTCATAATTATGGATGAGCCGATATTCCCGCTCTGGGAATCCTCCGAAGGACCTTCTGCAGGAAATGAGTCCCTTTCCGCCATCGTGAATTTCAAATTCATCGTCTCTTAACGGCTGCCGATCCTCCTCGATCAACTTATCGCCCTCGCCGACTGTACGGGTCATCGTAACTGTTCCGATGTAACGAGCTGTCCAGCTGGAATCCTCGATCGCGTACCAGTCGCCCTGCGTGTCACTCCAGCCCGGTAATATGCTCGAACAAACGGAAGGTAGGTATTCCTTAAGCATGCGAGGGATGTTCGGGGCACTGCCATCGATTTTCTTCCCTTTCGGGACTGGGGTATTGTTGGCCGAGTCGAGTGACCGAGAACTTTTATTTTAGCGCGACCAATTCTTTTCTTTTTCCTTTAATCCTTTCGTTTCGGTATTTTAATGCGTTCCTAGATTTTGGAAATCTGGTAGCGAGCTAGTTGTGATCTAGGTTGTAGGAATCAAGATCTTTGATGTGGTACATAATGATAGAGATCTATGGATCTTGGTGTACAATAATTAATAATTACTCGACCGATAAGTTACTGGATCCAAATATAAAAATGTTTAATATTGGAATAACGACCGAATCGATCTTGCCCGCATTAAATGATTCCGATGATTTCCATCTATTATTTCAAGCAGCTTTATAATCTTGCTTTCTACCATAATCGCTTTCGTCGGGAAAATTGATAGCTGTTGTTCCACTTCGTGTCGCTGTGGAAAATGAATCGACCCGATTCGTTCAATCGATAGGAGGTCCAGCATTTTCCAGGAAATTGAACCACGTCGATTTTTCGCCGAGCCATTAATTCCAGTCGCTTTCGTTAACGCAGTTTCGTTTAAAAACGATCAGCCGGTTCTCGAAATCGAACGTTTGTTTAAAGAAATCTTGTATTTCTTTAATTCCCGCGAAGTTGGATAGCGTGAAAAATATTTTCGTTAAAAATACGGTGCGACGGTAGGTAGAAACGAATTCGAGCAGTCGGATATTGATTCGAGGAAAATGCAATCGCTAGATATCACGGAATGGTTCATCAGTAGGACTCATAATTATGGATGAGCCGATATTCCCGCTCTGGGAATCCTCCGAAGGACCTTCTGCAGGAAATGAGTCCCTTTCCGCCATCGTGAATTTCAAATTCATCGTCTCTTAAGAATAAGAAGAAAAAATACAATCGCTAACGATCCCTTGTTCGCTGCTTTTAATCAATGTTTCAATCTTACAATGGATGAAAAGGAAATATACCTTACTAACTAGAATAAAGTGTACTCAAAAAATGAAAATATGCTTCCATTCTAACAGAGAATAAGTACATTAAAATAATGATACAAATCGGCTTATGAATCGTAAAAAGATGAAAGGAAAGTACTCCTCGACCGTTCTTAAATTCTTGTTTATTAACCCTCGGATACCGAGTCATTCAAGACCTAACCTCTAATCTGTTTTATATAAAAAAATAGAAAATCTTATAAACTTTTACGCTGACAGCCTTTTGTCTCGCCCCTAAAATGGCCTTCCAGATTTAAATATTTAAAACATATAGTATTAACTATCCCGACAAATCTTTTATCACTGTGCAGCCCCACATTCGCCACGCATCACGCCATATATCCAAAGGTTAATTCTAAGTATAGCTACTACAATCGGCAGTACAAAATAACGCGCAGAACATTCTGAATAAAATGTCTCAGAAGTTCTCTCCGCTCCTCCCGTTTCTTCAATCATCCGAAGATTGGTCCACTTGTTTCTGTATCTCATCAGGGACGATGTAACCAAGCTGCTTCATTTCCTTAACGATCTTAGGCACCTTGCTGAGATTATCGATCCATTTGTAGTAAGCCAATTCCTCTCTGGTTCCGCCATATTTCTTCGGCAAATGAGTCGGAGAAATGTGTTGATGAAGACTATCCATGTTGCTACCGTGGAAAAAGATCTTGTTCTGCATCCGGACGTCCAACAGCGGCTTGAACACCGAAAACATCACGTCGAACACCCAGGATTGATGTAGAATATGTATGGCGTATGTTTTCATGGGAAACGCCGTCACCATCAGTGCCGTCACCATATTGGCTATCTGCGAAAATAGAAAACAGCTTATGATCGTGTTCGAGTAGGCAGAATTTTAGTGAGACGTAGATTTCAGGAATACGAGCGGAACTTTAATCACGCACGAGTTTAAAACGGGTCAATTAAGTGTTGGGCTGGGTTGTAGAGCGTATAAACAGGCCTGTTTTAACGACGTGGAGGAAGAAATAAATTTGGACGGGAGGACGATAAATGGAGAGCTGGATGCAGTGACGTAACTAGAAATTTGTTTCAGGTGAACCAGAACACATTAGGTGTGAGTAGTCTACGGTAATTTGGAATTTAGATTCTTAATGATTCTTCACAAAATTTTAATCCTAGAACTGACCATGTCGAGTGGAATTTCTAGTGATCATTTCGCGAGCGTCGAATCTCCACAATAGCAATTTCGCAAGCTCGGGATTCCAATACAAATGATTTCACGAACTTTGCATCTCACGCAACTCCAATAACGTTTCATCAAACTTAATCCCACTAATCCTCTCAGCACGAAGTTACCGAATGAACTCCGATGACCTCTCCAAAATAGAATCAACAACCAATTCATTCGAACTCCAATCCACACTTCCGAACTTCCCGTTCCATATTCGCTTCCGCATCCTCGAAGTCTTATCTACTCGTTCAAGGTCCATCAGCGACATCGGCGGTGTTTCAAGTACTATCTCCGTGGACCGGTAACGATCCGTTGTCCCAAAAGTTTCCGTTTCTTCCGTGTTGTCAAACATCGTTTGTCTCCCGGAATCATCGAGGCAACGATTAAAAGGAAGGAAATCGAGAAGCACCGAAGAAAATCGGTGTCGAGAAGTTTACGGGTCGTTGAAGTTTCAAGGACACCATTACTGGTCCGCTCCACAGAGCCACTTGATCGGGTTAGGTACCCGCGAGGGATGAATAAACGTAACAGGAGGTTGTCAGATAAAAGGAGGGACTATTAGTTTCAAGGTCGTTATAGATGGTTCAAGTTTCAAGAACGCTGAAAGTAGATCGATACCTGGCCAAGATATCTTGCCGAGATAAATTAGACGCTTCGTCACGTGGAGTCCCGTTTAATTGAACGCTCCTTCTTGATTTAGTATTTCAACCCATAAATAAATTAATCGCGTCCACGAATTCCGACAGTAATCGAATTGGGACATTTTGTGAATTATAGGATGAACGAATGACTTTCACAAATTATTTCATTAAAAATATTACCTGTGGAGTAATGGTCCAGGCATGAGCCATGGTGATGCCTTCCAGATCAAAAATGGCGACGCCGCCAAGAATTTGTGCTCTGGGCTCCAAGACCCCGAGCTCCAGTATGATAACCGTAGCCTTGAATAACTCCTCCACGGAATATTTTCTTGGATCCCAGTTTCCCAATCGATAGATCATTATTCTTCTGCCGCATTGTGTCCTGTAAGCAGGCACCGTCATCACGTCGTCCTCGCCGATATGCTTCATCTCCACTGGACTCACATCCTGATGAATCTCTGGATGCTCCTCTTTGAAGTTGCAGTAATTCACTATCTATCGAAAGAGCCATTGAGAAACAGGGCTAATAGTCTGGTTAACCTTCTACACCTCCAAATGATCTATCTAATCAAATTTTATTTCAACCTGTAGCTGATAGAATATTTTTAAAACGAAGTAATTTCTGTAAAAGAAAGATAGTCAATCTTTTACAATTTTAAAAACCTCACTAATTTGCATTAACATCAAATCAAAGTCTGGTTAGAAAGAATTAAAATGCTTTCGATAGCCTTTCGATCCTGGCAACCTGTAAGGCAGTCAGTTCGCCTTGGCATCGTTGTGCAACCGATCGAACTTGTTTTACCAATATACTAGACATTCCGCAACGAAACACAGATCGATCAAATACAACTATTATATCTAGAAAAATCAGACGATCGACTTACCAATCGGTGAGCACGGTTCACATTAAAGTTCCTCGCTCGCAGGAATCTGATCAAGAAGTCGTCATCCATTCTGTGCGGCATGCACTCGCCTCTCTCTGCGTTTAACAAAAAAATCCTATTACGTTGCAGGAATATAGTGCACTCATTAATGGGATTAATGATGATACTCGGGGGGACGTGCGTATAAAGGACTACTGACTCATTTAAATTATGGCTCATTTGGTCTGGGCACCGCTATTAATTGCCAATGCCTGCAGCATTTAATGTTAGGGGAGGTATTATATGTTTTTGTACAGCTCTATAACTCTAGAGTTTACTACTGCCACGACTTTTTACATTACTCCTAGATCTCTATACCAGATCACTATGATCATAACTCTACGTAGATAGAAAATAGCTACCGTATATTAAAAATTGATAAATAAAATTCGTAAGTTACCATAAATCATATCTCTCAGTTCCTGAAGAGTGCTGCACCTGACCTCCTCAGTCTCTCCCAGTTCCCTCCTGGCGTAATCCATCACCTCGGGTGACGGTTCGCTCAAATCCAGGCAAACTTCCTCGTCGTTCACCTGGTCCTGATCGCCCTTTAACTCTGGCATCCTGGTGGAGTCGTCGTCGCGACAACGATCGAGATCATCGATAGCGTCCTTCGTACGTGATCCCGCGCCGTTCAACGAAGCTGCATCGGTTGCACAGCCGTTCTCGTTCTCCTGCGGCATGATGCAGCTTTGCGTGATCCACGATCGAATCTGTTTCGAGAACTCGCGACAGGCTGCACGATCACGTCATTCGACGCCGAGATAGCACCGAAGGATAACCTCACCTCCCTCGACGATTTTATATTTTCGCGCTGACAGTCGCGGTAATTTGTCTTTGTTTTTATATTTGCGCTCGTTCTAGTCCGAGCCTCGGTTCTCTCTCATAAAAGAATTCGAATTTGGATAGCAAAGGTTTAATTGAGGAAGATGGTTTGAATTTGAGATCGAAGGATAAATGGGATGTTGTAGGATTTTCTTTTAGTTTGAGAATCAAGATTTAAAATTTGAAAGGTTATGCAATTCTCTTCTCAAATACGAATTTTTCTTGAGAAGTCTAATTTTAATCCAAACAAGTTTCTGTCCCGTTCGAATCGAGTCGACAAGTTTGTCATCTTCGATAAACAACGTGATTCACTCGCAGTGTCACGTGTTCGAATCGAGTATTTTCGGTTCTTTTACGCCGTTCGTTCGCGCGAAACTTCCAGCTGCCTTTTGTATTGCTCAAACAACGATGCAACTTTCTCTTGCAAAAATGTGTATACACCTAAATGATAGTGATTCATAACCTAACTATTTCAGAAATTCCTTGTCTCTGCACAAATCAATAAAATTCGAAACTCCCTGTTAAAAGTAGAAGACGATAATTTAAAAAAATTATTTCTTTGAAAACACGCGTCACTTGTGTTCAAGTATAAAACACTGCTTAACAGAATTTACACAAGTACTTTTTGTATTTTTTATCTCGTGGAAACTCCGAAGCGTAGAATTTGCTAGCACAAAATTTTTGAACGTGAGAAGAAATTGCTACAGTGATTTTTATGCCGTAGAAACTTTGACTTGTAAGTGGAATCACGAGTTACAGAGCGCGAAATCGGTCGCGCCGCGATGCCGGTCGGTGATGCAACTGGCTGCAACTACGTGCACGGCCTCGTTGCATCGGCACGAAGTGCAACGCGGTTTCCCTCTTACCTGCGGTCTCTTCGAAAATCTTAACGATACAACAACGATCGCAGCGCCATAAATACACAATTTTCTGTACAATCCATAATTTCGATTACACATTCACACTTCAGATGTTTTATTTCTCATAACATTATGCAGAGAAAAATTAAAACAAAGATCTTATATAATAGATTTTTTTTGTCATATTATCATACAGTATTATTGATGCCTCTTATACATATAATACATAAATTGATACATTCCTATTATTTCACGACTAATAATAAGCTTGCAGCACGAGCAGAAATTCTACAAACGAGTGACAAAGTTCAAGGAGTCCAACTTCGCTACAAGGAAATTGAAAGGTATCATTTCAAATACTCAATTCTCTTACCTTATAGAGAACACTGTGAAATTGCTTTGAGTTTTCGAGCAAACTACCTACTCGACATTCTAGGTAAAAAATCTTCTAAGTAAAAAATAATTGCAATCAATTGGCCAGAAGAAAGTGGAGGATCGTAAAAAATAGAAAGTGAAATACAAAGTTGATAACATAGTAAAGTTCGAATGGTGCTCCAGAATTATGGCTACAATTCTAGCAATTTAGCAAGCTATAAAAACTTTATTCTTCAATTGAATACCAAGTAAATTTTGAAAATAATTCACCTGAACAAAAATGAGAGCAAGCAATAAAGAACATTAAAAGTGAGAAGTTAGGTGAATAGCAGGTTTTTTGTTACGTCCAAGGATATCCACGAAATATGAAAACACAGGCAAGTCATGTAAAAATAATCGCAATAGCGAGCAGTGTTGAACTGCATCGTATTACCAAAGATATCATCGTGTTGCGAAATGTGTCATGGTCATCCTGTTGCATCTACGGCTCGATGCTTTCACTAACGACAACTTTACCCGTAAGTTTTATTGTGGGTGCGTCGGTTCGAAGCAAGAGAAAGTAAAAGTGAGAATCTCATTTATCTGACTGACTTCAAATATTTCCTCGTTCTATAAATACTAAGATTTCTATTTGTGATACCTCGATTACGTCGTAATTTCGATTGGAATTTAATTATCTTACGAAATCGCGATCGATTGAAATCTTTATTTTAATATGAAAGTGAACGATGGAAAAATTGTATGTACATAACAGTGAAATGAAGGAACATGCTAATGAGTGTTGTACGCAATCTAGATATTAATATCCGCCATTGCTCTTCAGTCGCGTGATTTACTCGCGCATGCACTTGAAATTTCTACAAGCCTAAATGACCAATTGTAAATCATCTCAGAAACAAAGTAGACACAGTGTACACAACATTCCATGTCCCATATTTTAGAATCGAAATGTGGTGCACCGTAATTTATTCGTTACGTTCGTTGATGCAATTGCGGCTGCATAACATTTCATTACTACTTTCTCTGCGGCCTCAGACATTACTACTCCTTTTTAACACCGTTTTTCAACGTACGTTTTATTCCGAAGATCGACCGAGAAATCATAATAAGCACTTTGACATTCGTCTAACTTTTTCTTGCATGGTTCGATCACAGACGTCAAGATTGACAACTAATACTCGATATTAATATCATCTTACTTTGTATTTATATTCGTAACTTGTATGCTAATAATCGTTTCACGTCATAGATCGATGCCAGAAAATGCGCACCTTTTTTCTGATGAGATAAAAACTGATGTTTTATTACTTGAATAAGGTCAATGCGAAAATTCGTCACCTTTGAATAATTATTTAGCAAGTCATTGCTGACGGCACGAGGAAGAAAAAAGTAGTTGCACAAGATTTATATGTGATGATTATATTAATTCATGGTGAGTCATAAGAAACAACGTGATTACTGATTACAATTACTCTGCATTTTGCAACCTGCATCTTGCACCTGAATGCACCCTCTCATACGCTCCTCCACTCAAATTATTTAAGTCCAAAAATGAATTCTGTCACATTAAACTCGACAATCAAAATTAATCGTATACCAATTTCAAGCAGCCGTCGATTGAAATCTATTCTAAATACATGAAGCTGATTCTCCATGTAAGCTGTTCCTCAGATCTCTCCAAGCATGAATCCTTACAGATAAGGAATACAGATGAAGGCAACGCAGATGGAGACTTTATACGAGTAACAATAATGAAAATACCAAGTACAACAAATGAACCGCGTTGTTCTCCGGTTACTCACCCTCTTGCAATCTTCTTGGCTAGATCTGTTCTGTCAAGGACGAACGATCCGAGCGTTACCACGGGTCTGCGTACACTGCGACCACCAGTGGAACTCAGTAGGCTGGTTTGAAACCTCTTCCGTGTTTGCAAATCCTCCAACGAGAAAGTTGCACAAGCAACTGTCCTGGTACGATCTAGCATCGGGTCGAGTTCCTAGAGGACTAAGGACCTATCTCTGCCGAGTTCACCGACTTGTTTCCTGCTTGGTCGCTTCTGAACTCACCGACTGACTTTACCGGATTACTTAACACACGTTTCTGGAGCTCGTTTATGTTACTCGCGTTTAGAAAATAAGGATAGAAGGAAATGATTGGATCGATAATACGGAGTAGTAAAATAAATCACTCTGCAGACTGAGAAAATGAGACTTACTTAACCTCATTTGAGCGAACTGTCTAACCTCATTCATCACTTCACAGTTTAATACGCTAATTGAATGCAGTTTAAGTTAACTTAATTCGGACATAAGTTCGTATGTTGTCTGTCGGAATACATCGAATTGAACCTCCTTGGTGATTTGCAGTTCTAATGCCGTTCTAATTATAACAAGTGTGGGTAATATAGTCGCATATAATCATCACCTTAAAAACGTGTTATTCTCAAAACAGATGCAAGGAAAAAAATATTTGTTCGCCTTGGGTAAATATATTACAGTGCATAAATATAAGCATCTAACAGGATAATTGCGACAAAAAGGTTTGCAGCGATCATTATATAAACGACTTGACGTATCTATAATCGCTATCAAGCATCAAATGAAAAATCATTATTTCCAAGAATATTAATCTCAAGCAATATGCTGATACATGGATACTCGGTTATTTCTGGATAAAATTCGCAAGTTCATGATTGCTATAAGCGCGTTTAAAAGATTAGGGGTGTAAGGTGAAACGGTTCATCTCGTAAATCGTTATCGCTTAGAAGTTAGACCGTCGACGATTCTTCTTCCACGTTCATTTTCCGCTTATCGACACTCGAGGTAGCTAATCTCGAGGTCTAATTTAGTTTCGAGGGTTGCTCGACGCCTTAATGCTCGGATAAACTGCTTGTTAGAGAACGGATTTCATGGGAATCTCAACTACACGAGACCTAGAAAAACTTCAAAGTCAATGAGAGTGAAATTCTATTTACGAAGTTAATTGCAATAAAACGGTTATGTTTCTGGTCCAATGAGATTCACTGGTACTTAATGATGCTCAAAGATCAGACAAAATGGCGAAAGAGGCTACGAAGCAACTTTCGATTTCCATTAGTGCTTGTTGAATAAGCTTATTTTCGTTGTTAACTTCAATAAGGATATCTTCATTTGTGTGAAGACTCGCTTTTATTCGGTTTTAATTTGCGTTTTAACTGAGAGAACTTGTATTGATTTTCAAACTCCTCACTGCGAAACTTCAGCTATAGTTTCAGAAATAGAAGAGTGTACAAAGAGTTTCATAACCGGAGAACTTTCAGGTTGCAATAAAGTGCTTATTTTATATTCCTGCATTAATAGTTGCATCTTGTTTATAAGATACGGTACGTGAACTATAATTTCACAAGTACAAAGTGTACAGGTACTTTCATGAATAATTAAAACTTAACTACAAACATAACAAAAAAATTGAACACGTCCCAACCATAAATTTTGACCTCGCATAACCTCACTTATTCTGTTACCTCGCGTTCCTGCATCGAATAAAAGAAAAATGGTTCCAACGATCACTTTCAAAATCCCACGGAATCGGTTGTCGACCTCTCGAACGAAAAGAAAGGCTAAATGGCCACACACTTGCGCGAGTGGCCGACTAAGAAAAAAGAAATTAATCGACGATCAGAAATTTCACTCGTTCTCGTTGCTGTAGCTGATATCGCGCTTGTGTGAGTCATGGTCGTCGAAAAGGAAATCGTAAAATTTATATGAAGCCGGAAGAGACGTGGAGGTGCCTCAGATACCCTTTCAATCGGCTAAAGCACATGGCAGTGAATTATTATGCATGTATGTGGGTATATAGAAAGTAAAAGTTCTCCTTTCTTCGATCCCGCTGCTCTCCAGATTCCGCTCAATAACACGTTCGATAAGTGAGTGTCGCGATACTCTTGAGAACGGTTGACATATAACCATTTACTTCGAAGTTAAAATGTATGCATTTGGTTATATCACTTTGCAAATAATATTATTTTAATGTGTACAGGTCCTGTAGACGGACAGAAGAAGATGTGTGCAGGGAGATTCACTATTGGTAAGATCACTCTACAAACTTAAAGTAAAGTTTCCAACATTTCTCTACCTGAGTATGCAATGTTAACAAGATATTATTTAAGCAATTAAAATGAAACGCTTAGATAAATAGTCTGCTGTTAGAAAACATAACTCAGGGCCGAAGGTTGTAACCTAACTCAAAAAAGAATGATGGTACCTGTCACGAGAATCTTTTTACCTTCGTTTACGTAATACTTAACCTCCGGAAGAAAGAACGTGCCATATGTTTGTATCTATTTAAAAGTTAGGTATGACAGTGACAGCTGACACGAGCAGGTTTGGATGAAAAAGTTTCCTAGTTCCTTCCAATGACCCTGTCAAAATACCTACACAAAATCCTCATACAACTACATTTCTAGATTCCTATATGCTTACTTACGTGATCCATGATCCAGGTTGAGAATCACTGGCACAGCAAGAACAAGGAACGAGTTAATTTCCCACTTCGCAATCATTGTGACCAGTTTTTTATGGAGTGATAATCGTTTTCCTGATCATTTATAAGCGTACAGTGAATAATAAGCGTGATTTGGTATCACGAACGCGCAAAACTGTATTGGAATATAGTATAGAGAACCGATGACGTCCGTTAAATGATATTTTTTCCTATCAAGCCCATCGACGACTGGAAAACTACTAAACAACGAATGAAAACACGTCCACCTTTCCTTCCGAAGAGGACACGCTCGGTGAATACAAATAATGTATGCTATCTAAGCTACGTGCTTGCTTGGAAGTTGGTCTGCCGGTGACAAGATGGTTACGGTCTTGTAACGACGGTGTTGGATGTCCAAAGTGTTCCCTGTTACCCCGATAATTTGCTTGCGAGAATCGTGTTTCGACATATCATGCTTCTCGGTTTCTATTAGCAAGTCTAAATCTGCCTCGAGATATGTAAATTTCTCTTATAAAAGGAACTTTATTCGATTCGTGGACGCCATCTTTAATGCATCCGAATGGTTATCCATACCTTCCATTTTTTCCGCAAAAGCTAGTCATCCACTATAATATTTCTCGGAAAATATAATTTTTCTCGGACCAGTAATTCTTACTGGTTCGTGTAAATATTTGAATATATTATTCACACCACATTACTCTGACATCACGATTTTCCTGGAGCTTCGGAACCGCGATCTTCCTTAGAAATATGCCGGTGCCTATTGCCGAATGATTAACAGGAACAAAGACGAGAATGTTGGTAACACACGAGATCGGACTTTACTCGCGTCGAGGGCAAAGAAACATAAGCGTCATTTGCACCTGACGCACAGAGTGTCCTCGGATTACCGGCTACACAAAACGATCGACTTGTCGTCCCTCGGTCTATCCTTGATTCCTCTTCTTTCTTTTTGACGATTTTAACGTATGGATTTATGATGTTTTTAGAATGCGTTTCAATGGACCGTGATGAGCGGGACTGAAAGTTCATCGCGAATCACGCCTACCGTGTTAATGACTTTAACGAGGAGGCTATTAATAATGTTCCTGCACTTCACTTTTAAGAGAAGACCGGTAATTCTATTAAAATATTCTTGGGAACTTTAGAATTTACTTTTTCGTTAAATTCATGAGCACTTATTTCACTTTGCAACTTTGCTGACGAGTTAAGCAGCAACACATAGAGATTTTACATGATTTTCATCGATGTTTCCGTAACTTCGTAACCGGGAAGGCTTGACCCCTTAAAATAAACAAACTAACATTAATGTAACGTGTCACGTGTACGAACGAGAAGAAGAAGAAGAAGAAGAAGAGAATGAAGTACACACAGATTATTTTACAAAAACGCGTTAAGGCAAGAAAACATAATTCTGACTAACCTTTCGATGCAAACACCCCTGGTCGATCGATCACGCACCCTGACCCACCCTAACGTTCCAACACCAGGAGCAGCCTCGTCGCGATATCCGTTTCCAAGTTCACCGTCAATTTATTTATAAACATCCATAACCCGATCGTAGCCGCACCCTCTGGCGATAAACAAACATCCCCACCAGGTTTAAAAGCCGCGAGGAAATGGAAGGGGATCTGGCTGATAAACATGTCTCCAGGTCGACCCATTAATCCCCTGACCGACTGAAATCATTCGTCTCGATCGATCTTCTCCGCGTGTGTAACGAACCAACCTCGACGGACATCCACGAGGAGAAAAAAAGGAAGGCGGGGAGGAGTACGGTCAGATCAGGGTAGGGAAGGTCATAGCTCGAAGCGGCAGGCTCCAATCGCGTTTATATAGAAGAGAAGCTCTCGTTTACGCATCACTCATTAGCGTGCGACATTTCGTTTTCACCGGATGATTAGCATCGAGAAGTGTAGCCAGAATCAGTTAAACCGGTGTCTCGTTCGAGCAGCTAGATACGGAGAGCCGGTGAGTGTGTATTTCACCAATTGTTTTATGGATTTTTCGAGGAGTGATCGAGAGGGTGGTGAATGAGCTGTGTGATTTTTACGCGAATCCAAAAATTTTGATTTCGTGAACTCGAGTAGCGGTAGTGATAGATTAGAACTGCGAGTGTCTGATACAAATAAGGGATCACTGTCGACACTTCGTCATTCATTAGAATGAAACTTGTTGAGCTTGTTAAATGATTCAAGACGAAAATAATGGTATATCTCCTTAATGGTATTAAGGAGAAACTTAACCTCAAAGTCAAGTCATTTCAAATGTCCCCACTTTCACGCGTACAGCTCTTAAAGATCAAGGAAATGTCTCTAATAAAAGTGTAATGGTATAATAAGTCTTCCAAGAAGTGCGTTAACGAAATTCGTTATTAAAGATAATGACTATTATGTAAGTCCATTATTGCAAAAGCATTGTTATGTTTTTTATAATATACTGTAGAGCTCAGATAGCATGCGAGTCACGTTTCCCTTATTTCCTTTATTTTATCCCCACATAGCCTGTAATATTCCGGCCACTTGTCCCGAAACCTTGACTTTCAGACATTTTGATTACCTTTCACAGAACTAGTTCACTGTTTCATTATACGGGTATCAATTGTTTTCGAGATAAAAATATATTTTCGATATTCTGGAAAGATACGTATCTACCTAGTAACACGTACTCAAGATTTATAATGAATATAAATAGAACTGATGTTATAAAATACAGATTGTACAATCCTATGATTTATTATGTAATAAAATACGATCTCAAATTATGAATATTCAAAATGACTGCCATCAACATCGACATCATTTAACATATTTGTCATCGTTTATATTTGATGTTATTTAAAGTTTGCATCGTAAAAAAAAATTAGCGAGCGTGGAATGTCAAGTTTATCCTCTCGTCTGATTTCCTATACTTTAAATTATTATTTTTGTGCATACAAAAAAGTTGCCTAGTTCAGTTTTGAAAATCTGTAGATTTAAAAGTCATCCGGGTATGACATAATCGACTCGCCAGGTCAAACAACACGAAAGAACAGCATCCCCACTATTTTGCACGATGCACCTTCACTTCTCAGACTCGAAACAGCTGCTTCAAAACTTCCACTAGGTAGTTACAATTTCCCCACCAAAAATTTCATCCATGGATTTTCCCCCGACCTACACTCCATTTCCTATCCCCCACCTCTTCGAATTCATCCGTCGAAATGGACGAGTGAAAAGAAACGATCTCTGCGTTAACCTGCGTCATCGTCACAAGCGTACATGGAAAAACTCGTCAAGATTCGTCTCCTCGACCCTGAAGGCGAATTGCCTCGCGTATAAGAACGGGCCCCAGGGCCCGGGGCCCTCTCATTTTCGTGCGTTTTTCGACCGGAACGCGCCTCCACGCTCAGAATCCTGGTTTCATGGCTGTCTTTCGACGATCTTAACGATTGCGAGGTCAAAGAAAAGCGGAAAATATTTTGAATGCCGCCATGACGGAGTGGATAAAACGTGAGTAAAAGTGCGGTGTGCAAATGTGTTAATATTGGAAATTTGTGTTAAAGTAGCTGGTTGAAATAATTACCTACACATTTCGTGTTTCTCGATTTCCTTTCTATAAATTTCTATATAATTAAATTGATAACACATTGTCAGTTTGATGGTGGTATATTTTGTGACACTATGGCTTTTGCAATTTAGGTTATTTTTATGAGGACTTAATGAGATATTACGTATAGAATTATGTTTAGGAGCTATATTTAATATGTTGTAAAATGATAGGTAAAGTGAAATTGGTAGGGCGAAGAATGGCGTGAGATGTTAAATGTCAAAATTACGAACACGTGGTTGTCAAAGAGTCATATAATTTTCTAAAATTGTACATAGATTTCGAAATCCTACGAGTAACAGAAACGTCAATAATCATTGACAATATTTACATCGAATGTGAACGTACTTTGCACTTTATAATTAGTGTCAAACTAATTGCAAGTTTATAAACTTTCCTAAGTGTGCCATTTAGATTTTCATTAAAATTAAAAATGTTTCTATATTTCTAAGCATGCTTACGTGTTTACTGAAAATAGTACGGTAGAAAAAGATGTTAAACGATAAAAGAAAAAGGTTAAATGCAAATCTGTTTTTTGTGCGGTCGCTCGGAAATTGAAATCGATCATTAGAAATTATGATTTGCAGCATACGGCCAGCATCTATCCATCACGATATCATCGAATCGTGTATCATGCGGAAGATAAAAACATCTACAACTATTTGCATAATCATGGTCTGACAAAGTCAGTGTGCGACTGACATTTCAAAACTATTACACGCGTTTCATAACACGCTTATACATTCACTTTTCTGCGAACCGTGCTCTGGATACTGTTTGGTCCACGTCTCAGGAAAACTTGAGAATTTGTGGTGTTTCAGACTGGTTTTCTTTCGCCGTAACGCGAAATTTCGCTATGTGCAGTTGAGTTTTATTCGCTCGTTCGAGACTAATGTTATCGCACTGAGTTTCTCTTCTGTTATAGCTTTGAACTTTGCTGCAAGTCGGTCGGGTTATACGAACTTCGCAGATCGATGCTATTGGAAACAGTTTTTCTTGTATTATAGCTGTGAACTTTGCCGCGAGTCAAATGGATCGTACGAGATTTAGAAATTGATGTTATTTAGGAGATTTCTTATCTAACTCTTAAGTTGAAATGTGCTGGCGTTCAACAGATTCTGAAGTCTAAAGTTGTTTAAATGTTTTTAAAGCCACGTTGCAATTGAGAAGTCAATAAATCAGAGTACAATGTTTGAATGAGTTTGTTTTTCCGTTCAAGATTTGATGTTTGCTGCAAGCTTGCAAACAGCAGTAAAAAAAGTCAATGTTATTTGAAAATATTTTTCTAATATTATCTCTGAAGATAAATTTCTTAAACCGTGTACTTTAGTACTGTAATTGAATTAAATTCCATAAACTTTGAACGCCTGTATTACAAGAGTTCATCTTCTGGCTGGGTCAATTGAACTTCGCTAAACTTTGAAGTTTGTTTTAAGGATCATTGGCATAATTCTGAACCCCGTTTAGTAGAACTTCTTCAGACTACATTTTACTTGAAGTAGGATCTCCGCTAAAATTTTATGCACTCCGTACATCCATAATAAAACCGGTGTTCCCATATCAGATCCTCCTTAATGCAGAAAGTTGCATCGTTCAATAAATAATTTTATGGAAAGAAATGCAGGTATTGTTGCCAACTTAACAGTTTTTCTTTGCAACTGTGAAACCTTTTCCGCAATTATAAACCACGACCATATTCCTCTTTGTGTTCATAGCACGTGTCCACGTTTCGTGCAAAGCATCTTGCAAGTAAACATATCAGCCAAGTTTCTCCACGACCGTGGCACGCTTGCACGCAGCCTATGTGTTACGATTGAATGACACAATACCGGTCGGTCACGAGTTTCCCGCGATGGAGAACGAGCTGATTAGCTTCAAGTTTTCAGCGAGAAATTTCTTTTTGAAACTTGTTATCCTACTTGTATCGTTACTCAATCGTTCCGTATCAAATGCGCAAACTATGACGCCGTTTTCTCTCTGCGATTATATCTGCAACGTGTAACGTGCACTTCAGAAACTTTTGTAAGCTTGTCGATCTGATATTAAAGAAGACTACTATTATTCCTTACAGTCAGAAATTCAGAATTAATATTGTAAATTAAAAATGGTCAATGAAGACAGAAATTAAATATTCTCGACGTAAAAGCAGGAAATCGATAGGATTTAATTAGCAAGTTTACAAAGAAACTTTCGCAGTCTGCACCAGTTTCGATCGAGAATTCCTTGTTCATTATTTAATGGACATTGTTGAGAATTAGGTTCCTCTTTCTCAGATTCAATCAAAGTCAACGTAATGAAACTGTTTCGTATTCGCAGTGGAAGCTCCATGATGTAGCCTCTGTTTCTTCTTTTGTTTCCATTTCTGTCTCTTTTCTCTCCATTCTTTTCTTTATGCGCCTCTTTATTCTCCATTTCCTCTGTGCTTTCTTTCTCTACTCATTGTAAAGCTGCTGCTTTTTGCCTCGTTTAAAACCCTTTTGCCCTTTCATTTCCCTGTACGAATGAGAAGCTTGAACCACTTCTGGAATTAGGTTCACTTTTCACGGTTGAACGCGGCCTGTAATTAATCACCGAAATATATATTTTTGGTGTGTAACAGGGTATTACATAATTATGCTTCCTAGGTGTACACATCTGCGGATCCCCATAACCCCAGTTTTCAAAATATGAACGTAGAACATAATACTATAACTTTCATGGCTGCGGCTGTTTACTATTACGCGAGGTTTTAGGTCCATAACGCGTTAAGCATAAATATTGGGTGTTGCCACCTAACGCAGAGGCGATCGAACGGTGAGCGTAAAACACAGAAACCCGCGTTCCTGGCACCGATTCAGATACTATTTCAACGTTGAAATAGTGCACGGACCTCCTAACTGGTCGCGAAGGTAACCAGCCCGGCTCGTTGCACCCCTTTTTTCTCAGGCGAAACTTCTTGGTCGACTGCCAATTGTAACGGTGGGTCGATGAGCCTAAGGAAGGAATCGCTCGATAAAATTTCACAACCCTGCAAGGAGCAATCCTTGTACCTTCTCGTAAATCTTCATGATAAAAAGTGATACTAAGAAAGGAGTGAAAGATAAATGTCCTGCTCTCCTACGGACATAATTTATAACTGAACTTCGAGTTAAAGTCCGAATTACTTCTTGCGCCTTGAATTCGTCCTTTCGTACAATGGGAAAGAGAATTCTTAAGATTACTCTATGGTTTCAAATTTATAAATTTACGTTCAATTTGAAGATTAGCGATTCAATATTGACGGAGATGATGGAAATTCAATATTGGCCCAGGTCAATAACCCGGTTTCTAATCTTGAAGTCCAAAGTAAACGTTCATTCGTTAATCACGCGTTTTCGACACGGATTCGTGTCCCAAAAGGAAAAGGAGAAAATGAAGCATGGATGACCCTGATCGTGGAAGAGGTTCACCTCGAACACTGGTCACCTCCTTTTCGGTGCCTCGTGTAGCTCGAGGTTGTAGACAACGAAATTCGACCTTTTTCGAGTTTCGTAATCTATTTAAATATGCAATAAATTTGATCGCGTCTACGAATCGTGTTAATTAACTTTTATCGCGTCTAGACAAGATTTCAAAATTTCTTCAGTTTTATTTCGAAGTGTCATCAGAATATTTTCTAACTTTGAAAATTTATTCTCTTGTGTGTAGAATTATATTTATAACAATATATTTTCTGTATTAGATCTTTGAATCGTTCTACACGTTTTCTGGATAAAAACGAGTTTCGTTTTCTCACCAAGCCGCCTAAAGACAATAATAGAAACGGAAGTTAGTTCTGCTTTTCCTCATCACGATTTCGTCACTCCGAAACTACCAATCGAATATTCAAGCAACGTGCTCGTACGCCGAGAAAAAGGCAATCAGCTTATACTAACGTAGGTGCCTGAAATTAACAGATACTATTTAAAACGTCAGCAATTTTGTAATGAATCGTTTATTGAAGGACAACTTTCAATTTTTGCGAAAACACATTAATATTTATGCACACATGTCTTCGATATATTCAAAGCCGCGAATGCATAAAACGTCCAAATTTTTCGTACATCTTTGAAATTTAAAAAGCGACAATTTCACGAGCTGGTTCTCGTGCGTTTTTGCTTGCAATTGTTATATTCAGTTCTGCAACGTGCCGCAATAAGCCGGTAAGATAGAAAGTCCACGCAATTGGCGAGTTTTTAATATCTTTCGTTTTCATTTCTTTGCCCCGTTTGTCAATCTGCAATTACCGATTCGATCGCGTCCTTGATCCTTTTTCTCCTCACTTTCCCGATCGGTTTTAACGATTTTGTTGTGTAACCGACATACGCTCAATTAATTGTGAACCACTTAACATTTTAAGAAAGATGGAAGTGAACAAAATTTTTTCCATCGAATTACATCCACGAAAAATAAAATACGAATCTAAATCGCACAAAAATACGTAGATTTACATTTACTGGGAAAAACACTTTCTGTTTTCACGCATAACGAAATAATATTTTCGACGCTGCATTTAGTATCCACGTCACGCTTATATAAAGATCTTGCGCTTCATTTGCAATTCATAATCGTCTGCGTTTGCCGGTAGTTTCATATTAATTTTGTGGGACTCGCGTTTAAAGTTGCCCTTGAAGTTCACCATTGCGCGTTAACTTCACGATTTTCCCGATCGATAGTTCGCTTCCGTTATTCGGAACACATTACGGTAGATGCGATGTTAGGTGTCAGAATTTGTTACTTTAGACCTGTCTGTATGAAACGCGCTCAAAACCTGCATGTCACTGTGAATTCACCTCACTTCCGGTCTGCGATCACCAGACAGAGCAACTATATTCCTTACTGATTGCGTACATCATTAATTCATTTTTGTATTCTTACGGAGTATAATTGTAGAGTGTATTGCGTGGATTGTTCTCGTTTCTTACATAAGGATTTTGTAATAGTGGAATAAATTCCTGTATTAATTTTACTTTATTCGAATGACTCAGCGCAAATAAAAAGTTCTAAAAGAATATCACTTTTTTGGTGCGGTTCAAATTACTTGAAATAGTTAGTTAGCAGTGTAAAAAAGTAATACTTATGACAGAGTCGTACGTGCACCTCCCATTTAACGAACAGCACGAATGCACGTTCCACCTGTTCGTTAGAACACGTATGTAATTACCGGACAAAGAAGGAAAAAAAGATTTACGACTGCACGCTATAAAATGGAGATCCCTTGAAGCGTCACGAACATCTCGACTCGCATCGAGCGGATTTTCGCGCGCAATATTCAGCAGCTCGATTCAATTTACACGCGGCGAGCACAGTGATTAAGCTGACCCCGTCAGAAGCGGACGAGCGTTTTGTGAACAGAATGCCGGCTGCAATTGCTGCTTGAACGACGATCAAGCGACGTCACGCGTTCCGCGTCGATAAAGGAGTGTGTCGCGAAAAGTGAAACGAATAGTCTTCGGACTTAAAAACAACTTTTTGAGAACTGACCTTGATCTCCGCAACAGCAAGTTCACATTGCAGTTTATTTCAATTGCGTTGAAGGTCACTGTGGCCATCTTAAAGTGTCGCCGGCTGTTATGGTTCGACGTTGAAAGCATGTTCTGTAATTGCATGGTTTTGTGCTGAAGAAGATCGACAACAATTATTAATTAAAAGTGGTAAAATATTTGAGTCGAAGAGAAATTAGGAGAGCTACCTGTTGATCGAATTTTGTGAGTGCGAATGGTGTCATTTCAGAGGCCTTTGAAAGTACTGCCATCTTGCGATGATACGTGGTCCCATAAGACCGTGCCACGTTTCGTTTACATTCATCTTCAGCTTCTATTCTTTTAGCGGAAAACAATCATTCGTTCATTAAGCCTAGTACGGATCTACATACAAATGTTTACGGGGCAAACATTTGTCCGCATGCGAAAAATACGACACGATGGATGAAACATTTGCTCGAAAACTCGTTTACGCTTGCTCGTTTCGAGTGAAAATATGTTTGTCGTGCTCCGAACAAGAGCAAAATACTCAGGGCATTTGTTAAAACTTTTTTAGACAAATATTTACCAGCCGTTTTCATACTCGTTCATGTTTTCTCACCGACAATATATGTTTCAACTGGGATTCAGATTCACTTTATTGCATCTCGACACTCTCGCTTCGTTTTAAACACTACCTATTGCTTGTTACTAACCTGCTATCAGTTATTAACCAATTGCTCATTATTAATTGCAATTATTGCAAAAGTATTCTATCCGAATTTGCTTCCACCTTTCTACCAACTTGAACTAACAAACTACCAGTCACCAGCTACGTATAAAATGCAATGCTAATAGGAAAAATAAATGTTGGAATTTTACAATACAAAACCCAACTAAACGTTTACTATTTATAAGCGCTAGCGTAACACGTGCATCGGAAGAGTGCGATAGAAACTGATAAACTGCGGACACCGATAGCAGGTTCTCTCTCATTTTCCGGTTGTCTCACGTCACCGTGACTCTAAACGTAAAACGAACGTGCTTTGCTAATATCTCGCCAAATAATGAAACGTGCATGATTAATCTGAAAACATTAACTGTGCATGGGAACGATCGATATTGGACACGTAATCGACAAGAAACGATTGTTCGTTCGACAAGTTTATAAAAATCGCACACATGGTGATAAAATACAGATACGCCGAAGTTTATATTTACACGAATTCCAATGAAGTATATTCTGGTAATGAACTGAGACTACATACAAATGAGTCACGAATCGTGACGAAGCCTTACTTTTTCTATCACACTATCGGACAATTACTCAGCTGATCCGAGCGTATGCTATGCGAATCGGGTATTCCATTACTCAGTACCACTCTGGATGGCTTGAAGAGGATTACTGTCCGGAAGAGAGCCAATCGATATCTTTTTTTCTTCCTGCAACTTCGATATTTCGAATCGGAGAACAGCTGACAGAACAGGAAAATTAAAAACTTCTGATCATGGACTTTGGAAGTTAGTCTTGGTTATTATTGTATCGATAATCTTTTAATTTAGAAAATCTCAACACTTTTTAAAAATAGCATGGCACACTGAAATTATTACGCGGAAATTAGGTTGTAGATAGCAATCTGGTACGTTGCAGAATATCATAGTTCTATGAATATCACGGTTAATACGATTTGTGGAAACTCGCAAGAGCATGGTAATTGACACTCGAGTTCACGGTTTCTTTAATGAAAAGATCACCGAAACGATCACATTGTATGCAAAATTACATTCGATGACTCGAGTGGGCTTAAATTAAATCGATGTAATATTTCCTCCTCGCGAATTAACGTAAAAAATTTTGGTTTTTACAGAAACGATGTTGACCGATGTGGAGCAACTTCCATCGTTGAAATTCGGCGATTTCACGCTCGAATTCGAGCTTGGACCACCGAGCGCGGAATTGCAGGAAGTTGCCAAGAAGGAGCTGCGCGAGACCCCGGAATTACAGAAAGAGGCATTGGCTCGATTCAAGGAATTACTCGAAGGTAATTGTTCGCTGAATATATTGCAAATTCTATGAAGAAATATTGCTGACACTAGTGTACCTCTCTAAAAGACCGAATCAATATCATAATTCCATCTGTGACAATATGTCTACCGTGTCACAACTGCATAACGCATTCATCCAGCATACAAACACTTTTTAATCTAACTTTAATCTAACTTTGCAGCGGAAAAGGACCTGAAGGTCCCGATAGACAACGAGGCTTGGCTAATTCGGTTTCTGAGGCCCTGCAAGTATTACCCAGAATCAGCGCTGAAGTTGGTGCAGAATTACTACAGTTTCAAAGTGAAGCACGCGAATGTATACGATAATTTGAAACCCAGTCGAGAGAGAAACATTTTCGAACAAAATATTCTGACTGTGTTACCCAACCGGGATCAACATGGACGCAGGATCTTGATCATCGAGTTGGGTAAAAAATGGAAGCACAACAAGTGCAATCTGGACGAGGTGTTCAAAGGATGCGTCTTGTACCTGGAGGCAGCTATGCTGGAGCCATCCACGCAGATCGCTGGAGCCATCGTTATTTTTGACATGGACGGATTGAGCCTTCAGCAGACGTGGCAATTTAATCCGCCATTCGCGAAAAGGATAGTCGACTGGCTGCAGGATGCTATGCCACTTAGGATAAAGAATATTCATATTGTTAATCAACCATATGTGTTCAATATGGTGTTCGCGTTGTTCAAACCGTTCCTCAGGGAGAAACTGAAGAGCAGGGTGAGTCGATAAATATTCATGGATGGAAAATATATGCGAAGAGGAGATAATAGTTTTGATGCTTGCAGATCGTTTTCCATGGCACGGATCGCAAATCGTTGCACCAGTATATTTCGCCAAAATGTCTACCTGATTGCTATGGAGGAACTCTGCAGATTCCGAGAGTCACTGGACCACAGTGGCTGGAGTTGCTGTTGATGTGCGATAAAGAATATGACGGTATGCTGATGGATTTTAGGAATTAGACAACCTAGTTATCACGCGTTTAGAAATATGATTAATTGTTTCATTTCCTTTCAGCGATCAACTCGTACGGCTACAAGAAGAAATAGTTCATCCCCCTCGACGCGACCTTCAGAAGAAGGGTAGCAAAAAAAGCTTGCTTGCGATCGAAAATCGATATCGAGTCGATTTTCGAACAAACAACATCGGCTGTGGGTTTCTTTTGTCAATGTGCTGATCCAAGTTCGGTCATTCGACTCGCCTGCTTATTTATAAACAACTACCCTGTTGCGCTCTTAGTTGACTCTTTACAATTATATATATTTTTGTAAAAAAATGAAAAGGGAAAAACAATCGTGAGCTTAGTGCATCGCGTCCCGAGTATATTATCGGAAAGGAGACAGTTACATTGTCTGTTAGGGGAATTATCTAGACACAGCTAAATTATTCAAGAATATCTAAATTGTCCGGATCAATCTAGATAAAATATCCAGATAGATCTCGACGAATTCTCTATATAAATCTAGCTCAATTATGTCAATAAAAATTACCTAAATATTTGTACAACGAAAAAAGTATCCTCTATCTGAATCGTTATTTAAATAATTTTTATCCAGCCAATATCTACTAACAATTGAACGTGCAACAATATTTATAATGTTATTCAATGAGGAACTCAGTGTTTTTAATAAACAATATTCTGTTTAAAGGTGTGAATTTGTTATAATTTGTTATAAACACGTACTTAATGCTGATCTGCAATCGATTACGATTACGATTAAAAACTTGTTTAATAAATATTCCAACATTGATTGTATCTAAACATTTTGTACGAAGATTGTTCCATGTAAAATATTTTTTATTTATGATAAAAGTTACAAAGAATAAATCATGTGTCACGATTTATATAAACATCACATGTGTTTATCCCCGTCTATGATTTTCAACAGATCGAACACATTCGTGGAATTAAACAATTGATTACATTTATTGGCACATAGCATGATAGGAACGATAATTTATTTATCGTTTTCAATGCACCATTCATTGGCACGATATAAATTTTCTCGATTATTTTCATGTTCTCTTAGTACTAACAGCCTCGTTCGCACCCTTATCGTTTCGCAGATTTGACATATCCACATTTATTGGAAGCTGAAAGAAAAAATTATATTGCGATTACAATTTTGAAAATATCTGTTTTCAGGATATAAATGAAGATTGACTTCCATTTGAAATACGCTTAGAGTTGGTTATATCACCGTAAATGTCTGCGCATGCTCGAATGCATGGAGATACACGTGAGTGAACACAATAAAGATTAAACTACACATTATTGTTTACGTTAGCTTTTGTTTCTCTGGAATGGGTTAAAGGTGAATGACCTTTTATGTAATAAGGTTTTTGGGCGTGAATATTTGCTTTTGATCACGTAATCGGAAACGCATACACACATGGTTCATGTCGAAAAATGATATGATATAAAAAGTGACCATCTTTTTCGCGTACATAGTCTGATGAAGACGAACCGGAAGTCAACATACTCTGTACACATTCTAAGAAAATACGCGATCACTATTGCGCAACACGATTCATGCTTGGTAATGTTATGTTGCTTTACAACATACAGTCACAAACCAGGTGTCTAATTATGCTAAACGTTTCTGGTAAGACCAGATTCGAATGTGGAAAATCGTGTTTGAAAGGTTCTTTTCTGAGAGAGCATTCACGTGTTGCAATGCTTTATACAAGATTCATTGAACTGTTCTAGATAAATGTTCTATTAAAAAGCGTCGAAATTACCTTCAAATTCTTTCTCAAAGCAGCAGAAATAATCCCAAATACCCTGACCAAGAGGAACTTTTGGCATCTCGAAATCTCCGCCGAATTCTTTGGGCAATATTTTAGTACCAGTATAAGGAATCAGAGTACTCCTATTCGTCCCGTGGAAGTGAATTCTCTTTCGTGTTTTCTCCTACAAAATATTCACAAACTTTCCGATTAAATATACTAATTAAATGAATTGATTAGCCCGAATTACTTGTTTAGTTCTTTTAAAATTGAATAAATTGATTAGAATTACAAAATTGTTTTAAGTATATGTAGATTAATTTCAAATTATATACAATATTGTAGATTAAGTTTACATTCTATTGATCCCGTTACAAATAATACTTACCATAAGGAATGGTTTGAAAATGGCGAAAACCATGTTGAATATGAACGGTTGGTTCACTACGTGAATACCCTTCAGACGACATGGCAAACATCTTTGTACCCATTCTGCCACGCTGGCTGCGAAACTAGGTGTGAAATATGTGACCTGGCTCAGGGAGAATCCATCCATGTCCAGAATTACGTGCACGCCAGATATCTGGAGTTTCAAATAGACAAATTGAAATTTCTGGACACACGTGTAATTGATAATAAAAAATTACCTGTGTCTTTGGTTCGGCTATAGCTGCGTCCAAGGATAGCATAGTAGCACGGAATATATCGTCGAGAGAAACTTGCTTTGGGTTCCATCTTTTTCCAGCGGATATCACCACCAGTCTGCAACCATCTGGTGTTCGGTCTGGCAACGGTATCACGAGTTCTGCGAGGAATGGTTTTTTCTCCGTACTTGGCATCAAATCTTTACAGTAACGTGGATTGTTCAATCGATACTGGTAGAACCTTTTCATCTATCAACAAATTTAAACACTTTTATTACCTAGTATACCTCTAGAACTGACAAAACAAATTAGGTCATTAAATCCAATTGTAGAGTATTCTATTTTGAGCAGTGTACAAATTCTTTTCATATCCTAAGCACTTTTATACTTCGTGGTTACTTCTCTCTTTGTAGTTTAAACTCGTTAATTAAGAAAGAAGAATCGAGCTCACCAATTCGAAAGCACTCTTCGGGTACCATTTGCAGGGACGTAGGAACTTCTGATAGAACTCATCGTCATCTGGCACGATCAGTTCTGGTTCACCTGCGTAGAAAACAATCTGATAGAGTTCTTCAGGAAGTAATTACTCGTTGTAATTTCTAGAAATTATATATTAACGAGGAGTTATTAAAGGGAACGCTGGAATTGTCGAGCAGAGGACGTGATCGACAGTACAAGGAATTTAATTTCGTTCCAAGAGACTCTTCCTCGTGGTAAATTGTTTTATTGCAGAATAATCGATAATGGTAATAAACAAGCGATTAGCATACAAAAATATTTCGCCAAGTATTTTTGATCTACAAAGAGAAATGCTGCCCTTTTAATTAGATATTCAGAATATTTTTACTGTCTTTCAAATCTATGTAAATTTTTATCGTATAAATGTTATAAAAAAAGATATCATTTTTTTTATATGTAATTGCACCTGTCAGAAAGATCGATCATCGATCGAACTCGGTGGAGCAACGATCAAGGTTCTCTAATCGAGTTTGATAAATATTTGCACGTTATCGGCAAGATCTAACCAGGTATTTCACGATAAGAGCGGAGTGGAACTTTTATCGGCGTCTGATTGATTGAATAGTAAACGATATAGAAAATGACCTCGATATAATCGTAACCAGGTTACAAATAAGTACACTAGTTATGCAAATTGTAAAACTGTAGCTTTCCTATTGCTCTCATACTCCACAAGTCGCGATTTCAAGTATTCGAGTGCAATAAAACTGGTGAATTTATTTGTACGGTAAAAACCGGTCGAGAAAATGAAAGTTGCACTCTCTGTACTTGATGCTCTCGAGGGTCAACACAAATTTCAAGTAAAAAACTTGCGAATCATTTCATCGTTATAATAATTCCGTAAACATTGTGGTTAATAAACATAAATTACCTTTGAGCAGCTCCCTAATGTCCTTCAAAGCCTGTTGCACGACCTCAGGGGTCTCTCGAAGCTCGTTCTTTGCCCTCTGAATAAAAATCTCATCGCCGTCATCGAAATCGGCCTTCAATACGAAGTTGCCCGCCACAAATTGTGGCACTTCCCTCAGCTCCGCGATCGTCCGGCCATCGCCCTGATTCCCTTGTCTGGCCTCCATGCCAGAATCAGTGGCAAGGAGCTTCTGTTTACCAGAAAAGAAGTGTCTCTGTTGGACATACATGATGCTATAGCTGACTAGGAACTACGATCTCCGGTCCACGTCTCGCCTGTTCTTGTGTTCTTTGCTCGATCCTGCGTGTGTGTGCTACGTGTTTGCGAGCTTTTGTGATTCAGTGCATGGTGTTTGCAGTGCTTGTATGTTGTTTGTGTGTTCACGTTTCGCACGCTACACTGATACCTCGCTACAACATTTGCGGATTAAGTACTGCGCTACAAAGATTTGCTTTGAAATTAGTTTGAAACCTCGTCTTGAAGCGTTAAATTTCCAAATCTCCAATATTCCCAGTTGTCAGAAGCCCCAAAATATCCTAAAGTTCCAAAGTATTCGAGCACTGCGATATTTATCGAGTCATGCAAATATTTGACAGTCAACTTTGTCTCCGACACTTACATCGAATCGCTTAACATAGAATACAAACAATCCTAGGCTCCTAACATGCTATTTGCACGATTTTCCAAATATAAACTGCAATTTGCACTTGATCCGAGAAATCCACTTCCCGAGTAGTGATTAGTGATCAAACAGCACGCGTTATCTAATATTTACCGTGACAAACAGAAAAATCTCAACAGAAGTATAAATCTGATCCTGATGAAACATGGAGCATACGTCTCTTATATCCCCAGCTGAAAACCCTACTTTTGTTTGATCAACGATTGCGCGAACAAAGTGCAACATCGCAAAGTACACTGGCTGCTGTAGTTATTTATATTCCGAATCTAAATCAGTTCTCTGTCAAATACGCCTACAATGGTTTACAGTTTCAATCTGACAAATTAACAAGCCATAGTTTTTAATGCTCCAGAAGTTATTAGTGAACATTGTCAAACACGTCTGATAATCACCAACAAAGGAATGTCGTTTATGAGTGTGTTGAGCAACTTGTGTTTCTAAATGGACAATGTCAAGATTTTATCGGTAATTTGAAGTCGTTATACCTTCGTGAAATTTTAATGATTTATTGTGTAATTTGTAATGGCGATGTTAAGTGCATTTGTTTTCATTATTTCAATCATGCACTTTCATGATCTTTGTTATCTACTGAACTGCATAATTTCTTGCAGTTTCTTACCATCATCTGCTGACCGTTTTACTAAACCATTCTAACACGTAATTGGAAGCTAAAGTGGTAACCCTTAGAATATGAAAATTAAAGAAAAAAGTGCTCCAAATAAGCCACCATATTATCCCTAGCGGAACCTTGACCTCAGTAAGTGATCCACAACAATAACAAAGGAAGCAAAAGCGGAAAGAAAAATTAATCAACATACCTGAACGTACGCCCTTTTTATCGCTTCTAGCAGTCGAAACTTGTTCCAAGGAATTCCTTAACGCTTCAACGAGTTGAAGATCTTTCTCTTAGTCAGAGAAAAAACAGAAAGTCGTTCGCAGACTTTCACGGTGTGCACGCACGACGAGACTCGCGACAATAATATGTCGATATCATTTAGGAGAGAAAGAAGAAGAACAAAGAGAATCGTTGACGATCGAAAAGAGGATCCTGTCTAACGTGGCCGAGATGCCGGCGACAACTGGCGCGTAACAGGACTCGTAAGCTAGAAATCGGCTGGGAAGCGAGTGCCCTGTTCCTCCCACTTTGTCGATGCTCGTGACCAGTGGGAAGGACACGGATTATCCATTGTCATTGTTTCAATGTTCGGTTCAATTACACCACCGTTATAATTCTATACAATTAAACTCTTCTCCGTGAACGATTAACTTCAAATACTTTTAATCAAAGTATCGAGCACATATTCTATTCTTTCGCTTCGGAGTTTAGATTTCGGAATCAATCTAATAAAAATAACGTTTAAGTAGGAATTAATGAAATGAACATAAGTTAAGTGAAAATGGCGAAGCAGTCTATAAGGCAGTCACCTAATAAAGAATACAACAGAAATAAATGAAAATGTGCGGTCTTCCAATTTCGTATTCTTAATGGCGATCAATACTGCTTTATAATCGTCGGAGAAATCGTTCGATACTTGAAATTCATATTTGTTTCATCGAATGCGATGAATAGGACCACTGAATACCTTATATAACTCTTAATTAATCATTTCCATCATAAAAATGATAATTTTTTAGTTATATTCTGCTTTCGGATGCCTGTCCTTCGTTCTAATTAAAGAAAAATAAATAATTCAAGTGTACCACGTGCTACTTAAAAACGCTTTATTTCAATGAAATCCAAACACAATAATAAAAAATATAAACAACAATAAATTAATACACTAATCATTTATACATATAACTGTAACATATTTTTTTTCTGAACATGTTAAAATATCTAAAACCTGTAAATTGAATAAGGCTGTGCAAAAATAAATTGCCCAAAAGCTACTAATTAAACAAGATAATACAAAAAGAAACTGATAAATCACAATCTGTAAAGATTAAAATTATAATTGATTCGAGATTTAAAAGTTATTAGCTTGTTCAACACACCTCAGGCATCTTATAAAGAAAATAATATTGTTAATCATGCAAATGATAGAAACCTGACAAGATTATATAAAAGTAGATTAATGAAGTGAAATATGCAAAAATTTAAATTGATAATAGCATAGAATATAAATTTGTAATGTCGGAGACTAATGTTTCTGTAATGATATTTGAATTTGCATGGAATTGAAAGATTCTCGACAAAATAATCGCATGATTCCCGGAAGTTACGTTTCACGGTATTTTTCTTAGATGCATGCACGATTATGGTTACGACATGTACATATACGACAAAAGCAGAGAAAGTCCACGAAATGGATTTTAGGGCGTGAAAGTTTGACGATTAGGAAAGTCACTGACTAACGACTGCTTCTATTGTTCTACACCTCGAATGTACAATTTTTTTAATATACAAAGTGTTCTAGATTTCCCTCGCATTTTATACATTACGTTTTGAAAATTTGTAACATTTAAATTTTGTACATTTCAGAACTAAGCATGAAAGCGAACTGAAATATTACATGCATTATAAGTGGCAAAAGATTAATTAGGACCGCATTACTGCACTGCACACGAATAATAGCTTTAACTTATCGTTTACCGTTCTAACGATCCATCTAAAACTGGAATATTTTCTCCTTTCTATTTATCCGAAGTTACCATTTATTTCCCTACTTTCACGCATTTTAGTTCCATTTGCTCAGTGCTGCTCAACGAACATTCTACCTGTCCTAATTTTTCCCTTTTACACGTAACGGCCATTGAATGTACTCGGATATTACGGTCACTAAATCATTTTAATGCACAAAATTAGTATATCCGTGAAAAGGTGAACACGGAGGAGGTGATCGATGCAAGTGGAGGCGAAACGATTTTTGTGAAAACCATTTATAAGATACAGAATGATTAACGTATGATACAAAAGTATTACAAATAATCACAAGAATGAGTAGGAGAGAATACAACGATTCGTGAAGTACTTAATAGTATTTTGTACAAGGCTGCGTGTGATCACAATGGGACAATTGCAGAATAATTTGAGTGTTCCGGATTGTCCTGATTTATTGATTCTTGCGGAATCCGTACGAATTCCATTCTGAAAAAATAAAAAACCGTTTATACGACTGAATTAATCGTTTATAAATCACACTGTTAATCAAGGAAACAATATTCAAACGTTTCTCGAAGTTTCCTGTATTTTTGCAACGTTGCTTACATCACGGTAAATATACGTTTCGTAACCCATAATATTTGCAAATATACATATGTGATCAGAAACAGGTGTATACGTTCTTATTCATATCAGTGTTGTCTACTTCAAGATATTTTATATTGCTTCATAAGAGTTTATTTTCGTTACCTTTAATTTTGTCTTCGTGTTGGAGCAAAGTCGGATACCAATTGGCGCTAGTGTAATCGATTTCTGGCAAATTACCGCCATAATTCTTGGGCAAGTGACTCGGCGGAATATGTTGATGAAGAGACGACATTTTGCTACCGTGGAAGAACATGCGACTCTTCAACTTTTCCTTCACGAGCGGCTTGAACATCTGCCACACCATGTTGAAGAGGAACGGTTGCTTCACAATGTGAACCTGCAAACAATCAAATTTGTAAACGGTGTTTCACTTGATCAGCACTTTATATATTTTTCTCTAGGTCAGGTTGCGTAACAGAATTCAACGCATCGAATTTAATTTGGGAAACGCAGTTAATTGTTATGGAAATTATTGGTAATATGTTGAGATATTAAGAACCGCGAAACAGACGAACCTCTTTCAAACGCAGAGGCATGGCGTCCTGTATGAAAGTCAGCAGCTTCATGTTGAACGATGGCGTGAGACCCATCACTTGCTTCATGGACAAACCTTCGTAATCCATCACCACCACGGTTCCATATATCTAGAAATCACAATTTGTAATACATCTCTTCGAAAGGGAATCCTGCAATTTATGTTCCTGAAGTTACCTGAGTTTCCGGCTCCTGCATGGCGAGTTCGTGAACTAAGTAGAGCAACCGAAGTATCTGGTCGGCGCTGACTTTGGCTGGATCCCAGGTCTTTCCGCAATTAACCATCAACACCCTTCGACCCTTGTGATCTGTTCCTTTCAGCACGTTCACTACGTTGTTCTCCAAAATGGCGACCTTCTCGTCCTCCGGCATCAAGTTGTCGAAGAGGGACGCGTTCTTCTCTTTGAACTCGGCGACTCTCTTCATCAACTCGTACGCGCTCTTCGCGTAAAATTTGCATGGTCGAAGGAAAATTAATAGGAAGTCGTCGTCTATTTTGAAATAGATCGTCTTGTCATCTGCAAAACGAAATTAATTTGACAATTAAATTTATGATTTTTTACTCTTCTCGAAAATTACCTTCTAAAAATGGGATCAGGGTCAGAGACTCGAAAACATGACGCGATAGTCATCGAATAATGCAGCATCGGATTACAAAGGTGACGCATAAATATGTGATCAGAATACATAAACCTTACAAATCAATTGTTATCGATACATATTTACCTCCTACAATAATATCTATTGTATATATAACAGACATAAACCTTTAATGCTCTAATGAACCGCGATCGATTGAAATCATCAATTTTGTATGTTCATGGTTATACCTGGAATCGAAAACGTCATTCGAGCAACTATATCGTTATTTATTCAATTTAAGTCAATTTCCTGCCATTGTTTCGTGACGAAATAAAAATTTGAGACTAATAGTAAGGTCGTTGAATCTTATAATTAGACGTGGTTAATTTTTGATACGTTCATTATGGTACAGAATTAGATTCCATATGTTAAAAGGGAATTTTCACTAATCGGCTCTTTGAATAATCAATAAAATAATGAAGAATTTATAAGATTTATTCGAGTAAGGATTGAAATGTAATGGAAGAGTAAGGGCCTCTAGTGGCAAAACTGAAAAACATGACGATACTGCGGATGTACAAAGACAGCGCTTATTTCATACCTCGAAGAATTTGAAACTATATTTTTTGATGCACTGACAATCATCCAAACAGGAAGTTTTTTCGACTGTCTCTCGAGGAAACGAATTACAATCAAATATCGTGACTATCATTAAACTCTCAGACTGTACGATCTTCGTTTCAAACAGAGCGACAGTCACGGAAAATCTAAACCTCGCGTGTCAGCCAACAAAATGAGCGATTCTCCTTAACGAAATTGCCATAAATTTTAGTTGAGAATACGTACTTTAAAAACAGAGAAATAAAAACCTAGAATTTGGAAATTTTTTAGACTTGAAGGTCCACATAAAAAAGGTGATATAAGGAGAGTCTGCTGTACAAATCTGACACTTTGCATATGTAATAAAATTTTTCAGATATGGCATGGAATTTATGTGTTCGTATATCATGGATGCATAATTTAATAACATGAATACGCTACATAACATTTTTGTCTGATAAAGCATCAGCTTCCGAGCATTGACACGATCTGAAGCAGCTCGAAGTGCAGCAGAATGTAAACTCGGGGTCATGACAGTTCGTTCGATAATTTTATCGGTGCACCAACACCCCATTGGTGGATTCACCAAGTTTTCCTATCTCCTACACACATCATTGTAAACAACTTGTACATATGTAACCGCAAGATCAAGAATCGAATAAGTCCAACTGATAAGTCGATTCTATCTCAAATCCGGATTGATAAGAAATCGGACCTTGACTCCGAAGCGAAGCAACAATATATTCGAATAATTATAAATTCTGCGTTGCATTGATAATCAAAGGTATATAATCGAAAATTCCGTACATCTGTTATGAAGTCACAAATGAAAATGATAATTCAATAGATAATCACACTGATTGATTTTTTTAAAGATAATAAAAATTTCTCTTTTTGTATCAGAGATGCATCTAAAAATGCTGTCAGACACTGTCTTGTCACAGGTGCGAAAACGTGACGTTGAAATGCAATTAGCCGCAAGCTTAATGGCGATAAAACTCTGCTATTAATACTGCTATTGCTCGAAATAAAAACGCGATAAGGATTGATATCAAATTAACAGCGTCCGTTTACTTAATTTTCCTCCTTCTCTTCATTTTATGTTTTTATTCGTTTCTATGTACAATTTGTACAGGGTGCAAATTCTTTCATCCTAAATCTCTTCCAATCAAATAAAAAAAGAATTGTTTCATCTATAAATCAAGTAATGAAAACTAAAAGAGTGTGTCAATGCGTTAAGAAGTATTTTCCAGCTTTTTACGATAAAGTTGCAGAATTGAAAAATTGTCACAGAGGTCAACAGGTTAACGAGAAGGAAGATGACAAAATCGACTAGCAAAGTGGCGAGAAGATTTTTGAGTGAAGTCAAAAGAGATCACATCAACAATCTTCGGTAAAATTGTAAAAATAACGTAGAAGTCACCTTCCAGGTACTTCTTGAGGGCGGCGAGTGCCTCCTGCACGTTCTCCGGTGTTTCTCTGAGCTCCTTCTCGGCCAAGGCCTTGGCTTCCGGCCCAGGTGGTTGCGTACGAAGCTCGAACGACATTTTTCTCTTACACCGATTCACTATGTGGCGTCGACGAAACGATCCTCGCACCAGGATGACCACGATATATCTGTGACCCAGCCGGTGATATATCTCGCACGAGGAGAAGGAGGGCTTCTCTTGTCCACCATCTCGATCCAATCTTTGACCGCTCAAAGTCCACTTGTCGTCACAACGGTCCGATTCCGTGACTGCCGTTCCGCGTCCGCCGATTTCGTGCTCTATGTACACTGAATAACGATGAGACAATGCTCTGCGATAAATGTCGTCACCTGATAAAGGAACGTCCACGAGGCTCAAGCCGCTGATAAGCAACACCTCGCTTTCGATCCAACATTTTCCTCTACGGATTAAGTGTGTCCGCACCAAGGGTGCACGCGTCGGTTCTTCAAGTTCGAGGCGGGGGATGCTGTTTTACGCGTGGCTGCAAATTCGCTCACTCGATACCGGTTTGAGCAATGATTATGAAGAGAAGTTTGCCAGAGGTTAGTTGTCCAAAACTGGGGCAATACGGAGTCTTCAGATACTAACGTGGAGGAGCATTCAGCTTGGGAACTGTTGAAAATTTTATTGCAAATTATTGGTGCGAAAGCGAGAAATAGTCTTCAGCTTTGTATGAAGTACTGAGGAAACTGGGGAAGAATTTATTGGAAAGCTGCTGCAACGAAGGAAGTCTTGTTGGAAGTAATCGGGGCTTAAGATTGCGAACTTTTGTTTGTTCGAGTTCTGATGAGTCTTCAGCTTAGCAAGATATACTGGAAGAATATTGGAAATTAATTACAACGAAGAAAGCTGTATTGCAAAAATGGCCAAAGCTAGTAATAACTGTGTGAACATTAACTTTTTCAATCTTTTCCTTTTGGAAGAATCTTTTACATACTCTTCCTCGAATAGTGTGATAGTGAATGAAAGAGTTGATACAGTTTTAATCGAAGAAATACGGAGTTATGTACAGAGATAGTTCAATGGGTTCGCACATGGACACTTAATAGATTTTGTATCAACTGCAGAGGTATGTTTATAGATGACTTCATTTCATCTTAACAAAGTGAATAATTATTGCATGAATTATTAGGAGGACTCACTTATACAAAGAAAAATATATAGTGGATAATATACACATGATTAATGACGAAAGTAATTATTCTTTAACCTTGCATGGCCATTTAAAAATAAGCATGTTTTAACAAATTCGTATAAGTTAATACAAGTATCGGTAAATGAAGACTATGAAACACATTCAATAACTTATAAAATCAGATAACCGAAACTTCCTTAATTCTGAGTGTGGACGTTAACAGCACTACACACCCCTAACTGTAAAGCTCATTAATTAGGAAAACCAATGTATAAATATAACAAAGTTCTAACGAAACTAACAAAATCACGTTGTCGATTAGAAACCACGCGCCACATAGTGTAAACATTCGCTGATTGACATTCAAATCTCTAACCCGCCACTTTTTCCTGCGATTTATCTCTGGAGATGTTACATACTCTTGCAGGGGATAATCATTGACGAACATGAACACTTCAAAAGATTATGAAAAAATCTTGAATTAAGAAATTAGTTGTTTTGATAGATAAGAGAAGAGAAATATTTGTTTACCGCATATAGATAAGCTGTAATGCATAATTATATAACATTTTCTACTTATGTATTATCAATATCATTGACAATTTATTTTAAACGATGCAAAATGACAATTTTATCAAAACAAACGAGATTCAAGATTTTTCACGTGTACCTATTACCCAATCATTTTAATATGGATTTAGGTGATCTGTTCAAAAATTGTCATTCTTTATCACTCTAACACTTTCATTTCGAAGTTCCTAACATTTCCTGCAAAAAAGACTTGTGGAAATAATTTGTAATTGACAGTATTTTTTCTGATACTGTTGCAGCTGATAAGAAAAATATCGCGTCAGCTGTACGAACCTCGCTTCCTTGATCATTTTTATTTCTCGTGAATCGTTACTAAAACGAGAGACGCGTTTGCAACGAGATAACGACACGATTAAAGTCCGGCCAAAGTATCTCTTCTGCCATGATGTTGTTTCGATATCACTGTTCTTACCGACGAGTGACGAACAAAGCACCGATATGCAATTCTTCCTCAAGGTTAACAAAAGAAGACAGTACGAGCAAACACTTTGATGGTGCAATCGAAAGTGGCCACACAAAATTCGGTCGCTTTATCGTAGTTTCCTCTGATTAAAATTCGTATCGATCTGACCCTCGTATGAGGAAGCCGGGTCAAACATGACCTAGACCCGTGAGAAACATGCCATCACATTTTGACTGTTAAACAGCCAAGTTGTCAGCTAACGACCTCGAATGCTCTTTAAAATTTATACAAGAGAGTAGGACAAATTTTATATATACAATTACCGTCATTCTTTATTATTTCCTGCTTTATATTTAGGACCACAGTCCTAGCACCGTTAATAATTAACAATTTGTATCGCCATACATGGTCATGTGACGTACCACTAATTTCACGTATCATGTAAAATTTCTGTATGCATAAGTTATGAAGATTCTTTCTTCTTCTTCAATTTAACTAGCAAATTTTTTAACATCCTCCGTCATAGAATCATGCAGATGAAAAATGATACACAAAGTGTTAGAATCTTTTTAACGACATTGACAAATACAGAAAAAGGTTGTAACTAATGATGTATCAATAGAATAAAAGATCTTCTGCTTTTACGCTTACGCCATGTGCGAAAGCACGATAAAAACATTAATTACAGTAGTGATAAGAAATAATGAAAAAAATCTTTGAGCATTAAAGTACATTAGTATCGCTATCTAATTATATCATTAAATTAATTTGAATACATCATTTACGTAATAGCTAGTGTAACATTGCATCTTCCGGAAAACATAAAATCTGTGAAATGTACAATAATTTGTTAAAAAGTTATTAATTAAATAAGTTAACAATATTCAGGAAGCCGCATTTACGTATATTTTTTAAAAAATTTATATTGCGGCGGGGGCTAAAAAAATTTTTTTTCTAGTGGCGCCATCTCTCCGGCGAACGGGGTGAACTACACTCATTTCTGACACCTCCTTCGTTAGTTCTAATTTTCGCCACTACGCGGCGCTACTTGTAATATAGAGTTCCATTAGTACCTACGAATTTCTTCCCAAACGGTACCGGTGGCGCCACCTCGCGGTGGAAGATAGGAACTAACGAGGGAGGTGCTCCAGATGAGTGTAGTTCACTCTGTTCGTTGGACAGATGGCGCCACTAGTACCTTTTCCGAGCAGGCCCTAATTAAAATTCATTTTTTGGCCTTATTCAACGGTGTTATGCATCAAATTACTTGGGAAAGTAATACTAATTAGTTCTAGGATGTTCTAAATCTATTAACACCTCCAAGGAGTCAGTAAATACAAAAATACGTACATAGTTCCCATAGTACCTACAGCCTGTACTACCGATAGTACCGGAGAACATAAGATCTATTATATGTACAATAATTTGTTGAAAAGTTATTAATTAAATAAGTTAACAATATTCAGGAAGCCGCGTTCACGTATATTTTTTAAAAAATGTATATTACGGCGGGGCTACAAAAAATTTTCTAGTGGCGCCATCTCTCCGGCGAACGGGGTGAACTACAGCCATCTGTGGCACCTCCTTCGTTAGTTCGGCCATCTTGCACTAGGCGGCGCTACGACGCCAGTGGCGCCGCCTACTTTCGAATGGCGGAACTAACGAAGGAGGTACCTCAGATGGCTGTAGTTCACCCCGTTCGCCGGAGAGATGGCGCCACTATTTTTCCCGTTGTAGCCCCTGATACTACGCGCCTAAATGCAAATTTTGAAAAACTGATAAGCCTAAAATTTTCAGAATAGTATTTCTTATATATTCGTCAACCAATAAATGTCCTATATTAAAAAAAAATATCATTTTTCCCATCGTTCGATGGGATTATGTGATTCTCGAAGCACCCATTGATCTGCGCAGTGAAAATGCAATTCAAGAATAACCTACTCACATTTTCCATGTCTTAATCACTTGATAGTAATAATTAAAAAAAAAACTACTCCGCTACCCTCTCAGTATAAGATATATGAATATTTTATTTATCATTAAACGATAGAAAACAATGCTGTCGATGATGGTACACATTTCCAATTAGGTCAACATAAAAATTTTTATCTCGCGTAATCTGCACTCATACCTTTTGATACCGATAGGATGTTGACAGCTACGGTAGCTAGTTCTAAGTGTAAAACATATTTGTAGATAGCGTTACCGGTTTGTGCAGCGAAACCGTATATCCTGACAGTCTAGTCCTATAAACCTCCATAAAGTTGTTGCGTATATGCGCACCGTAAGCAAGACAGAGAAAGCAAGAAGAAAAAAGGAAAAATCATTCTGCCGTGGTATTTGTTTTTCCCGAGTGTCGCCGTATTCGCGACGTTTATCTGCATTTGACGTTGTTCGTTCCTTTCGTCGACAGCGGTGTCGATTAAAAGGAGCTAACATAAGGGCGTTGTAGCCCGAATTTTGTTTTTCGCGGATGTACAGTTTTTTCGCGAACGGGCGGAGAATTACTACAGCGACACGATGTCGGATGACCAACCAAAGTCTCCGATCGACGGTATTCTGCCGTTCTTACAAAGCGTGAGTCCTACATCTTTATCATTTTTTCGCGTCGCTGCTATTTACTCTCACTATACGATTTTTTTGTTTGAATCATTCCCAGCGACGTTCCTTTATGCCGTTTCATCCTTGACCACTTTCGTTTTCGATGCAGCCGGCGATAAAGTGTCAGCGCGATTCATTGAATCACATGATACTTTCGTTGGCTCGCAATTTGATTATTTGGTTTTATCAAGCTAATGTGTTTGCTTCTGTGATGCGATCTTTGTAAACGTCCATACAAATTATCGAAATAACCAATATTTTCTCAACTGAGAATCTATTTTTGTATCGCGTATCACGTCCCGTTAATTCGTCCCACAGCTCACGCTTTTTTCGATGCTCGAAAGTTCCTTAGAAAGTAAATTGCAAAATTGAATATCTTCATTCTCGCTTCCGAACGCACGAAATCTTTTATTAAAACGCAATTTCCACTTCATTTATTATGTATTTATTGTTAATGTTATACGTACAATAATATATTTATAAATAAATTATTTTACTGTATTTTTATTCTATTTGAAATTTGAAGTATTTGTCATTTGATTCTTAATTAATCTACTACACCTGATAATATTATATCTTTCCAAGGTTTAATTAATTCTTTAGGAAATACAAAATCTTCACTAATTACTACTCATCTTACTGCACACTTTTTTCTAATAAGAAGTTTCGCATCATACTTGCATTAACCTTCACATGCAATATTCCTGTTCCATTACATAATGTCAAGACACTATTGTTTGAATTGGGATCATATTTTGTTATAGATTGAATGGAGGGATCCATGGCTTGCACTGTTACTGACTTTTCATGTTGCTGTTACAATGACTGCATTGATGACACGAAACCATGCCAATTTCCAAATTATGTTATTTCTAGCTTTGTGTAAGTATGCGCAAGCTGCAAGTGAATTGTCAACTGTTTAATATTGTTATTTTGATATTATAGTGCTCTTGGTATATTTCTCTGAAAGCATCAATGAAGTGGCTGCATCTAAGTGGATGTAAGTAATTCATCGTGCAAAATTATGTTATGAAGTACTCATGTATTTTTAAAATTTTTATAGGTTATTTTCAAGGCAACAGTATTTTGATTCTAATGGTCTCTTTATATCTGTAGTATTTTCTGTGCCTATTTTAATGAACTGTATGATAATGGTGGTAAGTACATTGAAGTTTCGATAAGCTACACAGTAAGTGTGTATTATAATGAATTGTTTGCTCTTCATATTTATATTATATCTATAGGCTAGTTGGCTTTATCAATCCAGTCAATTAATGACTAGCTTAAAAAGGGCCCAACTAAGGCAGCAAGCAAGAAATCGACAAATAGAAGATGAATCTACAAATGCAAATGGTACTGTTATAAGAGAGAAGCAGGATTGAACTTTCTAGTCAGATGACAAGAAGTGATAAATTGATCCATACATATGTATATTACTATTTCACAAGCAGTAGCTTGTTTTTTACCACGAATACAGTGGTGTATAATGGCATTACAAAATTCGGCAATTATTCAACATAGCATTTCTTAAAAAGCTACTGCCGACATAGCCATTGCTGTAATTCATATTGAAGTTGACTAGTTAAACTGTCGGTAGATTATGTTTCCAATTTTGTGCCGTGTCTACTATATAATTAGAACGTAAATTCGAAATTCACAAATCATATTTTTATTTATTAATAATCAATAATCTACTAAAATAGAAAACGGCACGTTGTATGAAAATGATGAAAAGTTACGAGAGGATATTGTTATCTTATATTAAGGTACATTCCGACAGTTTTCTTTTATGTTAATGTTGAGATATTAATTACGAATTCAAGTGTTCTTAAAGCCTCACCATTGTACTTATTATTGTAACGTTTATTGCTTATTATAAAGGTTGGAGGACAACGGCATAATTAGGTATTAACGGCTTTAGAATTATAATTATATATGCATGTATGTACGAAAGTGTGAATGAATATGTGGTATTTTGAAAAATGTGCTATCATCAAAAAGATGTATGCATTATAATCCAGTCAGATATCATTTTCAAATTGTATGTTGTGTAAATCGATAGTTTCTTGCCGTCATAACCTGTAATAATTAATAAATATTCTTCCTAAAATTGTATGCTTTTTTTATTCCCAATCCTCAAATTCGGATAAAAATTTCATCGAGGGCCAACGATCAAACCAATTAAGACCCTAATAAGATCAACAACTTTCATTGCGTATAGTATGTTCTAAAACACGTGATGGCGGTATTGTACCGTGTACACATTTCGATACTATTTGATATGTACAACGTATAACAATGCTGTACCACATTCTTGTTAATGAAATGTTTACTTTGTGATTTGTTAAACAAGATTTTATAATATATTTGCATTTTCCTATTAAATATGATACTTTTACGATCATACGTCGTTTTACGTCTTGCACGCTGCAAGACCAGTGAAATAACAAATTTTATTTCCCGAAATATCTCAAGAAGTTCACAACTTGCTTTGTGCACTCCAAATTATGCTTTAAAACATGAAGAGACAGAAAAGATTCTTAGTAAATCGGACTTAAAAATTACCACTTGCAATGATACAGGTTATGTTGAAAGAATAACAAGTGACGATTCCATAAAAAATAATGCCCACAGTATTGATATTTTAAATCCAGATACATCTAAATTGAGCGATGCTTTGGAGGATATAGATATAAAACTACCAGGACCATTAGATCCTTGTGATGAAGATCTTTCTCACATTGGACCTAATATCACTCCAACTTACAATTTTGCAAAATTTGCAGATAAATCAAATACACTTCAGCAATTGGTAAAATTAGGAGTTGAGTTATATAAATTAGAACGTGATAGAGATGTAGTAGAAATGTTTCTGTCTCTTGATTTTGATAAGGACATAAAACCATATATACAGTTTTTACATGATTGTGGTGTAAGTCCTGAAAATCTTGGTTACTTCATTACCAGAAATCCAAAAATCTTCAAAGAGGATATGGATGATCTTCACACAAGGATAAGATATTTAAGAGCTCATAAATTTACACCAGAGAAAATCAGTTTAATAATAAATAAGCATCCTCCTTGGTTGTCTTTTACGACAAAAGATATTGATTACAGATTAGGTCATTTTCAAAGTGCATATAAACTAACAGGTTCTGAAATAAGACATTTAGCTACAAAGTGTCCAAAACTTATAACATATGATATGAGGCGCATACGTGTTAGTAGCTTTGCTATAAAAGAAGAAATGGGTTTTAATTTGGTAGAAACACAAAATATCCTTCTTCAAGCACCTAGAGTTTGGATTAGAGGTGAGTAACAAAAGTCAGTTAAAAATATAAGTGGTCCATTTGATTACTTTATATAAATATGTACATTACTTTGATTTCAGCTAAGTCTAAAGTATTAAAAACTTTCATTTATGCTAACAACATAATGAAATTGTCCCATGCAATCATTAGCAGCCAACCACACATTTTACTGTGTAGAAAGCTCAGACTTCAACAGAGACATGAATTTTTAGTGCAGTTACAGAGAAATCAATATGATCCTTCAAAACCATTATATGTTTCACCAATGTCTTTGATTACTGGTAGTGATATTGATTTTTGTAAAAATGTTGCACATGCTTCTATTGATACTTATAATTTGTTTTTGAAAAATTATTAGTATATAAGGACATAATTAAACATAGGGACATAGTTGTATTATAATAAATATCTTCCTGTTTATGCAATAACATATTCTTTATTGTATGTATACTTTTTATTTAAATATTAAAGATTCTTATATACTTCTATAAATTTTTATGTACAATATTGTATATCTTACACAAAAACGTTTGACTTGTGCCAGTATTATTCAGTGTAATACAAAAGATCAATAAATCTTATTTTATTATATCAGCTGTTTTCTCGACAGTATATTCGATTACTGGATAGAACATTAAGCTACTTTACAGCAACCATGCATAGCTTAATTTATCGGTCATTATGAAAAATATCATCGATTATTCTGTAATATTTTTTGCATCTAACTTTTAACTGTATTTTCCTAGCTCTATTTTCTTCTGTATCGCTCTAACCGAGTGATACAAAAATGAATCGATCAATCCAGCAACAGTGAATACACCACCGATAATTGCACACATATTAGTCGCGAAATGACCGAACGATTTTGCTTTTTCCGTATATTTTACCATCAGCGGACTCAATTCATAGCTAAAGAATATTCCAGGCATACCGGATTCACCGCTGAGTAGAGATACTTGTCTAGCATGTCGTGTCACCGAGAATTGATTTGTTAATAATGTGGAACCATCAGCACGAACATAAGTCGTAGGTACAATTTTGATGTAATGATAGAACATCATCGCACCTGAAACAAACAAAGAAAAACTATAATATTCAATTACAGTAACTTGAGATGAAAATTGAATGTGACAAATTTAAGTAAAGTCATTGAATCGCGTCAAATTGAATTGAGCAGCGGAAAAATGTTCGTTTAGCGTCAAAGTTTTTTTCTGGGGTTGAAGCGGAAGAAGATTGAACAAACGCAATCTAACAATTCAGTGCTTCCAAATTGAAAGTAAAAGATCTTCCGATAAAATATTCATTCGTTATTGATTACAAATATTTCGATATAAACTGAATGTTCCGCCATTCAGTGACGTCATTGCAAACGGAAACACCGAGCAGTAGTTTTTTACGATATATGAGGAAACATGGCGTCTTTCTTATCCGTTAGTGTAATGTGTTAAATGAGTTGTGCAAGAGATTTGCAAGTTGTAACATAAAAAGAAAAGTACTAACACGAAAGTGAAGTCTAATTTTTTAACGACGAAATTATAAATCGTAAGTAACATCAATCACTAAAAATATTTACGATTTTCTCTACGAGCAAAACAATTTCTGATTATACCGGGAACTTAAAAAATAGTAGTTTTACAGTATGTTAAAATGAATTCGATACATTTTCTGTAAGATTATCGAAAAGAATTAATGTTACGCTTCTTGTTTATGCAAAAGAATCGTAATTTTTAGTTGTAGGATATGCCTACTAAATAGGTTAAGATTGCATGTTCACATCGGAAATTGTATTTGCAGAAGAAAATGCCGGTCGTATCAGGCGTGTATCAACAAGCTCCTTCATGCTGGGATAGGATGAAACTGGGTTTCATGATTGGATTTTGCGTTGGAATGGCATCTGGTGCTCTGTTTGGGGGATTTTCTGCACTTAGGTATACATTCATTCACTACAAATAATATTACACAATATTTCTGATTGAAAGTATAACAGAATATTTATTGTTAGATATGGATTAAGAGGGAGGGAACTTATAAACAACGTTGGAAAAGTGATGCTTCAAGGTGGTGGAACATTTGGTACATTTATGGCTATAGGAACTGGAATACGATGCTAGTACTTGAAGACTTATGTTTAATATTTAGGACACAAAGGATTGTAATGCAAGAGAATTCTGTTAAGTTCTTAATAAAATGTTTCTATGGACTAAGGGCATACCTTCCATTGCAACCATGGTGGTATCATCAATGGGATTTGTTTTTCCTGGAATGTTCAGCCCGAAGCTTAAGTGGCGAATCTTGTGGGTCATGTTGAATTGAGTTGACATGTATGGCTGAACATCATGCACTGTAAGCACAATTTAAAGCATAATATTTACAAATTTAGTTTATGTAAGAGGAAGTAACACGTGTTATTAACTTACCATGTACGTGATTAACTGAGAAACTATTGCCCGGTGCAATGTGAAAGCTTCCTCCTACTCTATTCACTTCCATATAACCATAGATTTGACACCCTTGAGTAAATGCAGTTTTCATTTTTTCTACTGATTTATCATTTTGACATTGTTTAATCGATCCTGGATCAGGAGGAGCCCAATTCTTATCGCTATAAGCTTTTCTTACATCTTCGCAAGTGTTACAGCATCTACAGGGTTAATTTAGATGTATAAAAGTTTTCCATTGAAATAATATATAAGTAATTATAACAATATACTTGATTTTTTCACTAGCAGCTCCATAACAATCCCCACATGTTTCGACAGTAGTACTTTCCACTGACTATATAAAATTAGGACTTTAAATAATAGGTTAATAGTTCAAAATCCTGTTACAAGAACATTACTTAGTTTAATTACCTTTGCTGTTGTTTTACTAAGTGCTTTAGTGTCAGTGATGTCTGTAATAAAATTGAAAAAACCAATTGATTTTAAGTTATTTAATCAAATTATTATAAATCCCTTGTAGCATTAATATATACCTGTCTTTTGTGGATCTTCTATAGGTTTTCCCTGCAAGTCTAAGCGTCTCTTATATATATTATGTTCTATTTGTAAATGCTGTTCACCTGTGGTATCCATCGCATCTATTGATAGAACTGAAGTGCACACAATATAATACATATCTGGTATCAATAATTGTATGCACAAGATAAAATGCACTTACGATCACAAGATATTGTAGGAACCACTATGTCTAGGTTTATTCTTAACTTAGAACCCCTCGAAGTGTCCACAAATAATTCTTCACTAAGAGTCGGTGTAAGATAATAATTCAGTTCAGTTAGAAACAAAATGGCCATGATAATGGTACTAATAATCGTCACTGAAAACACACACACACACAAGGGTTCACAAATATTGAACATAGGTTATGAACTCTTACTTACCATCAATACCAAATGTAAACAATAGGTGTTAGGTCACAAATTTTAACAATGAATTGATACTTAAAAAAATTTAAGCTATACTTCAATAAATATTAACAAACGACATGATTTAAACTTAAATATAACGGCATAAATGATGGCATAAATGGTAGTGAAATCGTTGAAACGGGGTTGAGAATTGAGGTTAACCATATCTAGACATCGCATTCTCAAAAACAACAATTAAAAACGTAATATAAGAGATAAACCGACATTTTTACAGCATAACAAGAGTCGACAGGAAGCCGGTTTATTAGCGAAACAACTTGTTACAAGCTGTTCGCGATAAAATCGAGAGGCGGTACTCGTGTTAATTTTGACAAGTGAAACACATTACCGACGGCACCACTGAAAGTTCGCACGAGAATATCCGCTTCTTCGCGCACCTTCGGGTGCACATCTAATTGCCGCAATATTTGCATGCTTGATGGAAAAAATGAACTGGCTAACACGAGTGGTATGACATTGACCGAACGGTACTCGGCGTGCTAACTTTTCCCGCAACTTGTATGTGACAACGCGACAAACCCGGAAACGTGGCAGACGGCAGAATACGATTGGTCGTTGCTGGTGCATCGAGTGCATCCATCGGCCAATCAGCAGTTGGTGTTCATTCATTCAATTCGTTTGAATTTCGTTTCGGCAGGACATTCGTTGCAAAGGTAAGGTTAGAAGGTAAGTACGATGGCATTTTTTATTTTGTTATAAAGCTTTCAAGTCTTGTCCGACCTACTTTTAAAAATGCAATCAACTTTTGTGATTTTTGTGCAATGCACATTTGGTTTACTGCCCTTCCTTATTTCTGTCATAATAAAAAAAAGAGAAGGATAAGGATAGTGGAAACAAGGGTAGCAATAATTCAAATTCGTAACAAACGCTCGATAAACTTTATTTTTTCTTGTATCGCGTGACACTATCGGGTCCTTCCGGTTAGACGCGGTTTCCGGGTGCACGCAGATTTCAGATCATTAGAAAATACTTGTCTTACGTAAAACTCTCGAGCATAAGAGTAAATCTCGTCTCGACATAGTAGGTCTTCGTCCGCAAGCCGACTTAAGAGGTGGAGCTTGCGTTATTAAGGCACTCTATGCCAGGAATACGTTCAGCGTGCACGAGGGGTACAAACGGAAGTACAGTCACGTGTAATTTAGGCTTCCATTGGTTAAAATAAACTGTAGGTATAGAAATATCCTACTAATCGTCTTATCTGTCTTAAGAAGACAAGAATTTCTATGCTGTACTTTTTCTGGCTTGGTTCTCCTTAAAATGTAAGCGGCTCTCCCTATATTTTCTCGTAACCAACAGAAACCTATGTTACACTCGAATGCACGCAGTATACAATATGTCTATAAAAGAACGAAAATTACATCCGACGATAAGTAGTACGATAAAATAAACGCGTGATTACAGACTGGTGGTACGAAGAAAATGAAAAACTTAGGCTAATCCTAATAAAAAATAATTGGACGGCGGTGTTTAATGCTTACAATAATGAGACCCATTCTCCATTATCGGTCTTGATCCGTTGAAGGGAATGTAACGAAAGAATCCTTTCGTTAGAAGATTTTAAAGGAGAACAGGTCGTAGTGTAAACTTAAAACAATATAACGTAAATGCTACGATTGTACTTGCTAGAAAAAAGGCGCACTGAAACGTGAGGCCGTTTCACCGGACAGTCTCCTTTATCGACCATCGTTGTCGCGTGTTTTTTGACATAAAGCAAACACAATTTCCAAATTTATCAAACCTAGACTCGGTACGGAACGTACTGCTGCTCACGCGCTAGGTGCGTGAAGCTTAACGAGTCTGTATCCGTATGTCAAATGGGGAGAAGGACGACATACTAATTACGCGTAGTACGAGCATAAGTTCCCTGTATATTGCACGGTGATACGATGCTATAAATAAAACGCGATAACGACACGTCCGACGATGGTCGATTTCTGACGAGCACATTTCATGACGCGTCCACGAAGGTCGACGTCGTTCGCGTTCTCCAGGCAGTAACGCGAGAACATCGAGTCCCCATCGCGACATTTGAACTCCACTCGACCTGCCACGAATCGTGTTCAATAGATCCAGTTCACTGGCACCCACTGGTGTTCGGTGGCTAAAGAGTCCAACGCGGCGATCACTTGTCTGAACGTGTTGTCGAAGTCCTCGTTCACGATCACTAGGTCGATGTACTTCTCATAAGCACGTTGCAGCGCCGCTGACTCTTCCAGTGTAGACTTCAAGTCGTCTTCCTGCGGTTCAACAACATGACGATTTAATTTAAAGGAAGTTGCTTCGTGACTCCGAAGACGAGTCAAGAGTTTTCATAGACAGCATTGATTTGACTGAATGATATTGATTAAAAATAATAGTAGACTGCTAGCAATTATACTACGCTACAACATCGAATAAAGAGCATGCGATACAAACCTCGTACAGAGAAGCAAGGGACTCCAACGTTCTGGCTCTTCTGGAGCTGTACCTGATGGAACTCTGGCGGTCAAACTAGCAAAGCCAACATCAAATACAAATACAAAAGATTAAATAAACAATACTACGGAAATTATGAGGGACAGGGGATGTATGTAGGAATGCAGGTCTTTCCTGATTAATTTCTTTGCATAAGTTTCCGGATATTTTTACAATTGGCACAGCGACCAAAATGAAACTCGGTGATTATCATTAAGAAAGTAATTCCGAAGACTTCTATACCTTTCACGTTATATGAAAGCTGATATAAAATCAATTTCACCAAGTTTCATTCCAGTTGAATTAGGAAAAACTAGGATACCTTATATAATAGCAGTATACGAGCCGTTCTTTTAATTGCAATTTAACTCTGCTATTCTTTTAAGTAGAAAAAAGAGGCCCGTGAATATTCAATATCACGGTCTGATGGAAGAAAAATAATGTTATGCAATATATAATGAATTTTATGGGGCAAACCAATGCATCGGGCCTGTCGTAATCGAACGTAAGTGCATGCGATACATTTACAGAAGGCAATTTATATACGCATTTACACGAGAAGGGTAAACAGGGAACGGCAGGCAGGGGTTCGAAAGGCTGCGGATCGTAAAAGATTTGATGGCTATGTTTGTTTTCAACTTGGCCATGTCTGTATCTTCACACAAATTTTCGGATCATTTCATTGCAAATTAACTGTTTCTCTCTTCTTTTGTTTCGAACGTATCTTTTCGTTACCACAAATCAAATTCTAAATATAACATTCGGGAAAACGGATCGACATATCGTTCTCGAAAAATATATTGATAAATTTCTGGTAATAGTTACTAAAATGATCGAATCGCGGGGCTTTTAGTTACACAGAGGAATTGTTTGTTTGGGCTACTTTCAACCAACCAGACATGTTCCTTTAAATCGAACGTGTTTTATTCTTCGGTGAACTCGTTGCGGGGATTCTGGTTATACGAGCGTCGATTCTTCGAATTGATCTTTGTTTAATTCAATTTCTTTTTATCTCTCAATCTCCGTCTGTGTATTCAGCCATTCAATTTGACGTTCGTTATTGCGAATTCGCGATAATAAAACGGGGATTGTTCTCTACGCCCGTAATTGAAGTCTACGAGTCAACAATGACATTTCAACTTGTAATATAATGGATCGAAAAAATATCGATGTAATATTTCGAAATCGTTTCAGAATTTTTCGACATTTATCACTTTCTTCGTTCGCATTACTCGATAAATAGGAACGATCTCGTTAAATAAATGTTTGATTCTCATTTTTCCCCGACCGCAAAACTTTGCAGCTGTGAACTTTGAAAGATCCATTTTGTAACAATAAATAATTCCGTAAATAAAATCGTTACAGGGAAACTGCGCCGATATCTTTTTGGATCCGTTGTATTTTCATAATAATTCTATCAAAGCGATGATTAAATTAGGACTGCTATATAAAATTATCATGGAACATCAAAGCATTCTCCATATCATTGTTCACGTAATTCGCACCGAAAGACACGTAACTTTTACATTTACACTTTGACTGTCACGCCACTGAATTACCATCCAAATATAATATACATCAGCTCCATAGGAAACTTTTCTCACAGAATGTGGCAGTGAAAGTGTGAAATAAAAGGGGAAGACAGGAGATCAGGGACCGTGCAAAATTACCGTCAAGTTTCGACTGCTCGCGCCGGTAGACCTTCCCAGGTCGTACAAACACTTCAACTGTTCCATTCCCGGTGCCGCGATGAAGATCACATATGGCATGAATTCGGTGCTGTTGTGGAGAATCTTCAAAGCAGCCGGGCTGCAGTCCAACACGCACATTTTCCCGGCTCTTATCAACTCCCGCACGGAATCGAGCTTCGTCCCGTACAAATGGCCACCGTGTTCTCCATATTCGAGATATCGATGCTCCCTGATGTCGGTCTCCATCGATTCCCGATCGGTGAACCAGTAACTTTTGCCGTCCTCCTCGAGTACCCTAGGTGGTCTCGAAGTGTCTAAACCCGGAAAGAGAAGCGTCAAGTTTTGCTTTTGAACAAGACAGTGCAAATATCTTACATGGAACAATGGTGCCAAATTTCTCTGGGTCGCTGTTTATCAGCCTGTTCTTCAGGGTCCTTCGACCGACGCCTCTAGGACCAACCAGGGCCAAGGTTTTGCGCCTGAACGGTGGCATCCTTGCTACTTCTTCGTACAAGAGTAATTCAGCACCGTCGAATTCGCCGTTCGATTTGGACTGGTACATCTTTCTCTTCTTCTTCTTCGAGATTCTGGTCCCGCAGATGCTGATCTTGTGCACGAAGTCCGCTTCAGGGGGGACGAACGCTTTTCTGCGTTCCTCGAGTTCCAAGGACGGAATCAAACCAGGTGGTCCGAGTCCTTCGCCCTCTACTCGTCGTGCCTGCCACCAGTTGGGGTCGGCTTGGTCCACGATTTGCAGTACGTCGCCCTTCTGGAACGGAAGGCCTATCTCTCTGCAGGGTAGCAGACTGTCTTCCGAGGGGTCGTAGTCGAATAACGCTCTCATGTAACACTGAAATCAACAGTTGCTAGGTTAATGTTGATCTTAACACATGTGGCGTTTGGAGAGATAACCTTAATGTATCTCCACTTACGGCCCAAAAGAGATACATACGATATAATACGAGGAACTAGGAAGGTATGTTTAGGTAGTCTGGCCATGGATTAATGAAATCTGTTCTATGCTCTTCAAGTTTTTACGATCAAGTTTAACGACGTCTATATAAAACACGTGGTTATGACCCTCGATTTTCAACACTACCATATTTTGATCGCAAGACTTTACTACCTTGTTGACAAAGTTTCGCCAATAAAATGTCCTGTGAATTTTGCTCTAAATATAGAGTCAATGTCGAGAACGTGAATTGGAACGAACGTTTCACCTGTCCAAACACCTGAGATTAAAACGAAGATAAATATTGCTGGATGTTAAGAGCAGGAGAAATAGAGCGAGGAAAATAATCTTGTCGAGATATGCACTTTATGTGGCCATAAAGCAGCTTGAAATGTTCGGTCGTACGAAAGCACATTAAGAAATGAAATTTGGATTTTGAATTAAAATATTTCGTCTTTACCGTGGATTTCAGAGGTCGATTGCCATCGCTGGCTATGCCAGGCGCCAATTTCAGCGTCAAATTCTCCTTAGCCTCGTGAATGGCTTCCTGAAGCTCCTCTGGATTGCGAACTTCCTTCCCGTTCACTTCAAGGATCACCTCACCTGTTCTCAGCAATCCTTGACGCGCTGCTGTGCTTCCACCCAAAATCCTGGCTATTATCAAATTGCCAGATTCGTCGACTTGCACCGTCAGACCCTGCAACAATGATCGCGCAAACTATGAAAATAAACGTTAGGAACGGTTTGTTTGCTGACAACCGGGATCTCCATTAGGCATCTTTTAATCTTTAAACCATGATGAATGAACGCTTCTTATTGAACCGTCTGTTTCTTTCATGTGCTCTGCCTTTCAAACTTACTGTTTGTTCTTCTTACTCCGAGCCAAAGAAAACGTATTATATTTGCGCGATTGTAAAGGTATTAGACATTGAAGATGTTGAAAATCGTCAGCATTGGAACGCTTGTTTGAAATATCTGTCAGTTGTTTATTTAAAGGGACAATACTGTAGCAGGTTTAGTACAACAGGAAAAATTTTTAAGGTGAATTGAATCAAATCAAATTACATCAAATTGAATTATATGGGATGTATGGAATTGAATCAAGTCGAGTTAGAACTGAAATAATGGCAAACCAAAGCACCTCAAGTTAAACCGCGCCAAATTCGAAGTAGCCACGTGGCGCTCTCGATAATAAACGTTTCGAATTATTTATGAACTGCAAGTAGCATTTCTGTTGTTTCTATCCGCGAGCTCGTTCACGATTTCCGAATGGGAATCCTCCCGCGTGTCGGAATGGTAAATCTCTAAAAGTAGATCCAGCATCGGAAAGTACGCGCCAATGAACGGTTTTATTTCTCGAAGAACGTGCTTCCTCTCTTGTTTGCCACTTTCTTCATCCGTCAGGACCGTCCGGGAACAAATCGCGGATGTATAAATATCTTTGGAACCGAGAATGCGACGTATTTGTAACCGCCGGAATTTTCAATTCCCCGAATTGCGTTGAAAAAATTCGAGAATGCTCGCAGATTTATTTATTGCTCTCGAAAGAATGCAAAACAGTCGGGACGAATTTATAACTTTTGTTTGCAAACGAATTTTTTATTCGAGATTCATTTTCAGTTAAAAAATATGATGATCATAAATGTCACGAAATTATTAAAGACTTGTCATGTTCGACTTACCAAAGGTTCGTCAGGTTGGCGTCTAAGGCCAACCATTCTGACAGCCTCGGTCCTCTCGTTAGTCGGCATCGTGGTTGGGGGAGGTTCAGGCTTCGATGGCGTCTCTTTTCGTTCGACAACGGCGTCGTGCGTCTCCAGAAGCGCCTTCAGGTGCGAACTCTTCAACAATCGCACGAGCTCGCGAGCGTTCTCGTCCCTGGAGGAGCGAAGAACGTGGCAGACCTCGTCGACGATGTCACAAACGGATGAACATACCGGTTCCACGTGGACCGGCGGATCCTCCAGACGCTCCTGGACCTGGAACAGAGTTAAACAGAGTCAGTCGGAAGGTTTCTTTAGGAAACAGGTTTTCGTTTCGGACCTCTGATCGTTTCCGTAGATAACGTTGGGATCAGATATCTGATTCTGCCTTCAGATTCTTTTGTACAGATTTTTTAATATCTTGGATAAGTTTTATCTGATAAAGACTACCATTTAAGAAACATTAGAATTTGTATTACGAGTTGGTGAATCGCAGAGAAGTGTGATATTAAAATATCGAAAAGTAAAGATTGATTTCAACACTGTTTCAAGAATCGTTTCCCATCGACGCGTTCAGGTATCAAGCATTCTCGAAGGTGGTTCTGAAACGCCGAGAATGACCCACTTTCGTAATTACTCCCTCATTGTTGTAACATTACATTGGCTGATTCAACTTGGCGTACGCTGCTCTTACGAGCCCGACTAATCGAATCAAACCTCGTTGACGCCGGGTCATCGTTGCACAATGATAATTTGACACCTCGAGTTGACGAATGGGCGAAAATTTCGTCTCGTTTCTACCTCCGCCAAAAGACAACTCGAGGGCAATTATGAGCATTAACATCGAATAACAAAGTACATATTTATAGATTCGAATGAGAAGCAACCGTAAGAGTGTCTATCTCTCTCGTGTACCTCGAGGAAGACAAAGAACAAACAAGGTTCCTCGTGCGGTGAATTTAATGCGGAAACCCGTTTCGACTTTCACAACCAGCAACTGCTCAGCCGTTTGCTGTTCATGGGTTTAACCAATACGGGGACACGAGTCGTCCATTTTGATCATGGAAAATCTATGAATTTTATGATATTTCAGAGATTTGCTGCGGAAATGAAATGTATGTCGCTTTTCCACGTGAGCAAAGATGACTCAACATCGAATCATTCGACTCGATACACGTGCATCGCAGATGCAACAGCTATTTTCACGATTCCAGGTTCAGTTGCAGCATTGATCGTACTGATTGCGACATGCAACGTTTGACATGTTTCTCGTCAAAGACCGAGGATTCGCACTTCCGGCGTGGTATCGTGTAAATTATTTGGAGATTTAGGAACTGAAAAGTTAGGAAACTTGAAAATCTAGAAATTATACAGATATTTCATTCAAGTATTTCGAAACGATAATCGTGAAACAATTAAAGTTTCATAACGACAATTAGCGTAGCTATTAGAGAGAATGATATTAAATATCAGAGAGTTTAGAGATAAGGTGAAACGGAAAACGAAGCCTCAGGTAATTCTCCATATTGTCGTTCGCATTAATTGCACCTCATTTGTCATGGAAAATGACAACGTTAGAACAGCTGGCGTTCAGCGTGTGTATGCTAGTGGTCTATAATAATTTTTGTCGTTCTTCCGTGACGTCCGTGAAAAACTCTCACGAAACACACCGAGCGTACGAAGATTGTTACATTCGAAGAGCAGCCAGGGTCTCGTTTGTTACGCGTCGATCGGAAAATATTTACTCGATCGATCGACCGTACAATGCAACACTATAATTTATACTGGGTGTCCCACGACGAGTGTCACCATGAAATTTCAAAGCCTTATGAAACATCGTGCAATTCAAAAGTTGAAGAGTGATGGCAAATAACTTTTTTCTATTAAAATTATTTATTGATATTCCCCATTGAATTCTCAAACTACGAATCATATAGGATATATGTAGATTGTGCAAACTATATATAGATGTGCAGTGACCTTTTCAATCTAGCTCCTTTACAGAATCTGTGAAGAACATTCGAATGGATGTTTCAGTGAACGCCATAATGGTCCATGGTGGATAAAATTCGCGCTTTCACCGAGCTCACGTGTTACCAGTGCTACAGTGGCGCCAATAAACATTAAAATTCACTAGATTAATAAAGAATCTCGATCTTGAAATCCTACTTATCAAAGCCTACACTTAAGCTATTTGCAGTTTCCAATTTTTAAAATTTGTTAATTCCCCAATCCTCAAAAATGCAAGAATGAATTGTGGAATAGAAACCTTGATGCGTCACAAGCCCTCCAGATCAAAAAGTCAACCTCCACTCGGGTCTGTAGGACCCAAAAGGAGGAGCACCTCTCCACAAGACTTGCTAGCTCGTTTTTCAAAAATCACCACACGAGCACCAACGCACAAAAACAGTCACAGAAGACAGTCCTGACTTACTTCGTGGCTGAAGAAACGTTGATGCAGAGGTCGCCTGTCTCTCTCTGGACGCTCCTTTGGAGAACGAATCAAAATCGAACCTTGAAGGAGTCCTGCGGAGCTGCTCCGACTGTGGCCTCGCTGGTCGAGTGGAAGTTAGTGTATCGATCAGCTCCGAGGTATATGACACCGCAGGGCCGTCAGTTGTGCGGGAAACTCGTGGCTTGGGTTAAAAAAAAATTGCCGAAGGGGACGAGTGGATGGTGAACACGGTGCACCACGGTGCGTGTTGCTTAGGTAAGCGGCGTCAGAAAACTGCCGCGCCTACTGACGTTTCTTTCGTCCCCACCGCGACGCAGACACGCTCCGTTCAGGCTGTTCGAAACGAAACAGGTGGGGGCCCTTCTTCGACGCTACGCTACGCTCGTGAGCAGGGCCGTGCATCCTTTAACGGTTGCAGGGTCATTTTGACCCGCCTGTTTTATCACTGTCAGATCGGGTAAAACCGGTGGAACTCGTAGCTTCGGACCATCCGGTTTAGGGGGACGGATTTAATGGGGCTTGAATTCATATTTGGTCGTATCTGAGAACCACTTACAGAGAACCACGTATTTCTCCATATTTCTATATTCTTCGTATCCCTAGATTTCCAGGTCTATAAGTCTGTATTTTTAAGTCTATGTGTCTCTAACCCATACACCTAGGTCTCTGTATCTCTGCATACTTTACATTCTTATACTCCCCATATATCTCCATCTCTTTATACTCTCTATCACCCATATTTCTATATTTTCTACGTTTCCATATTCCCCATATTTCCATATTCTTCGTCTGAATATCCCATATCGTCGAAATCGTTGCACGAAGAAAATGCATTGGCCGTGTTTACTAAAGTGTAAACGTGTAAATGCAAACGTGCCTTCGCAGCGAGGAATGTTAAACATTCGAAGTATCCACACGAAATATGGTGGGGGTTTCATCTAGTACGTATGTACTTTGCATTCCAATCGCACGCATTATTCTTGCGTACCGAAAGTGTGTCTGTGAACAGAGAACTTTCATTCGACTGGAAATAACATCCCATAATCGTGTCCGAACATAAATGTACAACGATGTTGGAATATAAAAATGATCGTAGTCATTGACACCGATCGGTTCGACTTCGCGATACAGGTAGGCCATCCTTCTAAAGATACTCGATAATCCGTTAGTTTAGGCGATACAACGGGATCGTATGACTACGGTATTGAATATAATCTTGAGAGTATCGTACCGCTTTCGTTATAGATCAATGGCAGCGAGATATTTAAAACGAACAGTTGGACAGAAAGTTTGAAATGTTTGTGACGATACTATGATTGCAATTTTAGGGCAATTGGTACGAGAGTTGCATTTACTCAGGAATTCGAGTACGTCATATGTATAAAGAAAAGCTATTCAGAATATTGTCCTCGAGGGCATACTCCTAATGCGAATAGGTGGAAAAGCTTGATGACTGAAAAGTCGGGGAACCCTTGTGATACGGATACGTCACTGCCACATACACGTGCGCGGTCCTCGCACACGCGTTCTCCTCCTTCTCGTTCATGCGCGCGATTACAAAGCCGGTTGAAATTACATCGTGCAGTGTACACGGCTGCACGCGACGCGGACTCGCGATTTCTTTGAGCGAATACGAGCGAGTGACGATGACTTTGTGACATTACTTCTCATACTCGCCGCTAGAGGGATATCTACAGTGCCCACATCTACTTTCTCGCTAGTACTCGCTTAATAGCCTCGCTTAATAGCTTTCATTTCGCAATAACGTTGTGCTAGCTTGCAGACTAATAATCAAAGAGCTGTAAAAAGTGCAAACAATTGCTCACATCTTCAGATTTTAGAGAACTTTAAATCGGAAGCTTATTTATTAAGGGAACCATCTTCGTCCCTTCAAGTTCACACTTCCCCAAAAGCTATCTATTACTATTTTATGCATTCTCCTTTCGCCCCGTTATTGACCAAACATCCCCCGAGGAACCGGAAAGCCCATGGGGACTGTCTCCCGAGAACAAAGGCGTGTTTCCTGCGGTGGGGAAGAAACATGCGAGTGAATCAGGCGGTGGCGCGCGACCGTCACAGGAAGTCGTTGGCAAATGCTATTCTAAGTTTTTATGAATAATCCTGGAGCTGGTTAATTGACAAATCATTGTCGTACTCCTCTGATAATCTCGTTAATTTGGAATTGACCTCCAGGAACCCGGCCAATTGACTCGAGGTCGCGAGCGTCGTCTCGCTTGCCTCGAGTTGAATTATGCCGACTACTTTGCGAAAGAGAGACTCTTCAAAACGGGAAGATAAACAAAGAAAGTTAATAATCGCTTCCTCGATTATTCTATTTGAAAGATTTTATGAACGTGATAATCATTTATGGTGGTAAAAAATTTAGATATTAAAAGTTTGGAAGGTGTTGAAAAATAATTAGCATAAAAATGCTAACAAAACCTAAAATTTTCACACGGTTTCACCCAGGCGTTGACCGGTAGGTATCAATCACCTAATTTCCTAGGTTCGACGGTCGCTTTTCACGCTCGTTTGCAAAGGTTTTCGGCAAACACCAGCTCGCATCAGCGCTTTCCATTGTTACCTGGAAAACAGGAAACGTACACCGGCTTCTCAACGACTTTTCGACACCAGACGTGGTTTCTACCTGTTGACCCCGAACAGAAGGATGGAATGTGGCCGAGCTGGCAGGTGAGGGGAGCACGCAACCCTAAGTGGGCCCTAAGTCTCACTGGAAGGCACGTATGCCTGCTTGGCGATTGGGACAAGATAATTTGGAACCGTTTTGGGTCACAAAGTCAGCCGACTTTAGATAAAAAGGGTCTCGAGACTTCTACCTTTCTACATACAGTTGCATTCACGATCTCTTCTTAATTAGATTTTTGTGAATTTTTAAAAAAATTCGAATTTATTCAGATATTTTTAAATCACACGATTAATCATCCAAATAGTCTACTCAAAGCACTCGTGTTCGTTACGATCATTCTCATCGAAACGATCTAGAAATATTTTTTCCGAACGATCATCGAGGTTGATTAATTGCAAATACAATTCCATTGTGTATTGTTTTTGGCAGCGTCGAAATAAACAACGATCAGAATCAGTTACCGCGTGTTTACGAAGACCGATTTTATGGAGGAAAAAGAGCCGCCACGGTAGAGATCGTTCATCATCATCGTTTCATCATTTTAAACTCTAGGACAGAGGAGAAACTCGAAAATGAAACATGAATGAACGGCATAAATTTTTAAAAGGTATCTGTTCCGTGTCGATGAATCCGTTTGATGTTCCTCGCTTCGAGACTCATCGGGGGTCGGTTTCGAAATGACTTGCTTTTAAAAATAGAAGATATGTAGTAAGAGTTTCAGACGAGTCAAGTTTCCACCATAAAATTAGGAGTTTAACTAATAAGTAGCTGCTTGATAAATGGCTACCAGATAATGAACATCTGATTCTGTAGAAAGAAATATAGGTTATGTTCGGTGGAGCATAAGTCTGCTTCAGGGTTTATTATTTTGATCATGGCAACTTGTTACACGGTTACTTTATCTTTTTTTCGGTTTTTTTATCCACCTATGGCTTAAGAGCATCAGCGTAAGATTTCCGGTAAAATATCGAGGAGTCCCATAAAGTCAGGAATGCAAGAACGAGAAAACAGTGTAGATCACGTGGTAAGAAAATTTCGAAGTATGCGTGTGTATTTCTTTTTACGCGCTGCTTGCATCACAACCTCCACGTAAAACGCCCACATTATTTCCGTCACGACACACATTTCAGACGAGCAACTTGGCCTTCGGTGAAAATATTACACTATCGCTGCAGAGTCTTCTTTCGTGACGAAACACGCGCGTCACTCTTTCTTCCATTATTACGCAACAATGTGAGGAGAAATTTCACAGCGATCATATATGCGCTACTTTATTTAATAATTCGAAATCAGCGGCTAGTTTTTATCCACCCTCGCAAAAAGACCGGTTCAAAACAACCGGACACGCTTTCGCCCACATTTTGCATCTAAAATATAATTTCATTTGAAAAGTATCAAAGCGTCTATATATAAATTGCTGAATTCTTTAAATTATTTGGATGAAGCGAATAAAATGGGGATGTGAACATTGCAAGAAACGATGATGTAACGAGTTGACAGAAGCAGAAGAGCACGAGTAAGAGTAAATGTTCGCTCACCTTGACGAGAGACGTGACAACAGGACTGTCCAGCAGACCCTTGAGGAACAGCAGGTCCGTATCGTCGGCCACCTTGCCCAACTCCTCCAGGTTGTCGCGTACGTGCATGAAGGCGGCTGGAACAGCGATCACGCACTTTTCCATCACACTGTGCAAGCTCGGGTAGGGCAACGACACTAGAGCAACCGGAGCGTCGGGACGAGGGTGTAAAAGAGGTGGGAATCGAGCGACGAGGGGAAGCCGGGTGTGGCCATCTTCCGGGTGGATCAATATTCGGCGAGCTACAGGTGGCTGCCAAGAGCACGAGGACATTTCGGTGCAAACAATCGAAAATTCGACCGTTGAACTCCTGCACCTTAACCTCTTCAGGAACATAGCTTCCTTTTAAATTCAACAGCGACTACGTGTGTTGAGATTTCTCTTTACCGTCAAAGTATAAAAAAAGTAAAAGCAAGCATTTCCTTTTCTTAGTTATCTCCCTAAAGAGGTTATCCCTTATCTGAACAAGTATTTCGAATGTAATCTGTAGCTGATATTAGAGTACGTTTAAAGATGTATAATGGCATAGCCTTGAAACGACCTGTGTACAAAGGTAGCTACTTTGGAAATCTCAAGAAAGTATCTATAGTGGAATCACTATTGAAATATTCAGGTGACTATCTTTAGATGAAACACCTTGTAGACAATAGCGTTATTACAGATCGATTGTTACTCTTTGAATGAAAATTGTTCTGTGAAAATAACGTGATGTAAACTGAAGGACTAAAGAGTCTTAAGAAGTCTTTATGGTGCTAATGACAGCCTCTAAGCTGCGCCAATTAACATATTGAATTCATTCGCGAGTCACAAGACCTGTTAGAATCATCGCTGCCCTTTGTTTCGTGTTTTCAATCTCGTTTGGCCACGTGACACACTTATATTTTTATCTAAACAATTACAGAATACATTTTAAATTCTGATCAGTGCAATAACGAGAATCTACTAATGTTTTAAAAATGAAATCATAATGCACAGTCCGTTTGAAAGAACCTGTATGTACACCGTTCATAAGCGAAGAAGTTAATTATCCATGGCACACAGCTCTTGAGTTTCGAGTGGTCTCGATAAACATAATCGACCATAAGCGACGTCGACGATAGAATGGCTATATGATAAATGCGTGTACTTACGATGATATCGATGCAACCGAGGTATACGGTGCCTAGACTTGCAACGAGCATTATAGCGAACACGAATATCGAGTTTCTTGTACGCCTCGACCTATTTCCTCGTGTATTTAAACTTCAGGCAACGGTAATTAAATTGATATAATATAATACGTGAAGGTATAGGGAGATGAATTTAAGAAAGTGGTATAAACATTTATTGGTAATTTTGGTATTAAAAAAATTTACCATTCAAGATTCATCGAGAATAAAACACGCTACCATCTTTTTGCTTCTCTTTCCTTTCTCTTCGAGACAGGCAACCTATCTAATCTATAGTTTACGCGCGAACAAGAGAGCAAAAGGTAATTTAGAAATTTAGAGATAAATTTAGATTGCAATTTATTTAGAGATAGGGGATTTACCATTTTCTATCTGAAACAGTTTTGCACCGTTCATCGCGTCGATGCTGTCCAACAGACGTCGATCTTCCAGTTTCTCTTTCCTCCCGAAGAAAACCATTTTCGCGGTTTTTTATCACTTTACTTTCTTCACTAATTAACTCACGAATTACCTGACCCTTGAGTTACAGCACCACTTCATCATTAAAATTCAGACTTTTCATTACTTCTACTTTTATTTACTTTGTTTATTCACTAAATAACAACTTTGTTCCATTGAACACACGCTTAACAATCGTAAATTTGATACATTTCCAACTTTTTCACTAATAAAATTATGTTTGTCTCTGTCTTCACTTATCATTCACTAATGCTTTTCGATTTCCTCCACTTCATTTTGACACTGTCCATCATTTCACGTACCGAAAATTACTTCGCGTAGAAATATAGAAGTCTCTGTTCACAAGCGTTAATGTGGATTCACAAATCTTGTACCATTAAACAAACAAGAATTAACAAGGATTATTTGTAATGGAAACGAACGTGAAGACGATGCGTTCAACGACACCACGTCGTGGTGAATGGAAACGTGTTGTGTTAACACCTGCCTTGTGGGCCTTGCTCTGCTCGGGGACTGAAAGCGACACCCTGTGGTGGTGACTAGACAACGAACTTCTCCACAGTTTGTCACATCTTATTCCGTTTAACAGGGTTGTAACTTTACTACGAATTGAACTTATTGTCCAAACTGATCACTGATAAAGTAATGGTCTTTGGATTTTGGTGTTGTATAATTATGTGTCTCCGAATAATAATGAGAGAAGTGGTGAGAGAATTTTCCCAAAAAATTCAACGAAAACACGTGTTGTCTTCACCGTGGAGAGATCGAAACTGGCGTACACGAGAGATTTCGTCGCGGAACGCTGATCAAAGGGAGAGGAGAGCTATTCTTATTTTTCCAGACAAACCAATGAGAGAGAGAGAAAGGGGGGCACAAGGAAACGTAAGCATCGTCGACTAACTACCCACCAGAATCTCGAGGCGTCCGACGAAGGGTCCAGAAACGAACCAGCTGCTTTCTGAACAAGAGGAAGACGAACGAGAGAGACAGCGTCGAAAATCAAAGAATCACTTGTGGAGGTTGCAGACATCGTTTGTTTGACTGTCTAATTCTATTTCGCATTTACGTCGGAACTGTTGTAGTAGATCCAGACGTGTGTGGCAAGACATACTGAAACTATTAACACGGCGATTGACGCAGGGAAAATAGACTCATGCTTGAAAAGAATATTAGAAATATATTTGGTCATTGATGACCCCCCAGCAGGAATACTGATGGGGTGCACCAGTGATTACTTCATGTATAACCAAATAATCCAGTGAATTAGGGAGTACATAAAAGATATCGGTTTAAAAGGCGTTTATTTTGTCGCTGACCAAAGAATCGCACCATTCCGGAACGATTAAGATCGATATTTTTCTTTAAAAATACACCCCATCTTCAATGACCGTTCACCGTTCCGAAGAGGAGAAACTGCTTCTTATCAGAGCAGTCGTAAAATTCTGACAGGAAACATCTGTTCCATATACGAGAACGAAGAAATAGCTGGAAGGAGGCACTTGCTGTTGGAACAGATTTTTCATCTGCCATTTCGATAGAAAAGCTTATAAAAATTCGATACGGTAGAGACGCGGTTTCAGACGGAATGCGAACGAAGGTGGAAGACCGAAAAAATGATATACGTTTTCGTAAAACGAGTGGAATTTGCGTTACGAGGAAAGTAATAACATCGAGAAAACAATTCGGCGAAGAAAGGAGCGCTTCGCGGGAGCTCTGAAATTTCTGAAAGGAAATTACGAGGTTTTGCAGAACAAGTTTCTGCAGGATATTTCTTAAAAGAGCCATCGTCGAAGATTAAACACTGGAAAGTTTGGGAGAAAATACAGCAAACTGGAATTCTTCGAAAAAAAGTTGTAGTTCCTTGAAGTATCGCTTCACAATTACCAACTTGAAAAGCTGACCATAATTATCGCATTTTGCATTCAAGGTCGAAACGCATGCAATTTTCGTTACGACCCGAATCGATCGCAGAGTTGCTCTAGCTCTTGTATTAATATTGATCCTCCGAACATCGACCACTTTTCCGTAACGCGCAAACGGAGAAAAAGCAACTTTAAAACACGATGTTCGGAGGAAAATATTTCCACGATCAAGTGTGGACATGGAGCTAATCATATTCCACTCGTGGTTGGTTCTAACACGTGTCCGAACCACGAAGCGGAAATTGGAACGTGAGCCAGCATCGAAGGTGCTTCCGCAGAAATCACGTTAAATTTAACAAGATCACAGCCACCTCGAAGAAAGAATCTTCAGAAAATGTTGAGCGAAGCTAGCGAAGAACGATAAGTTTAAAAAAGACCGAATGGATGTCCTTCGCTGAACTTTTTCTTTCCGCGCAAACAATGGCGAAATAAATGTTTCGAACATTTTGTAAAAATGGTGAAAAGAATCTGCTGAAAGAAAGGAGTTCGCGGTTGAATAAAACTCGGTGGAGCTTGATGGAAGTAAGGAAACTAATTTTCTGGATAATTTGTTGGAACGAAGTTTCGATTCCTTAATTTTACTTATATCGAGTTCAACAAGTTTGATTAGTTGGATACTTATGAAGAAAAATCGTGGAAGGACAATTTGCTCATGATACAGTAGACTCTCGTTATATTGCCACAGACGGAGTTCAATTTGGAGTTTGTAAATTTGAGTAAATTCCTAGTTTATAAACTTACCGGAAGTGGACTTGAGATGCGGCAGCTCTTTTTTTGGAATGATCGAGCATCCGCAGATGTCCTCGATGTCCATCATCGATTTGCTGTTCTTCAACATCATGATGATAGATCGGCATCACGATCAGTATGGATCCCAACCCCTAATACTCGTGCGGTGAGCATCAACTTCCGGTTGACTGAATCGTCGATCGATCGACGACCGTGCCATACTCTGAGCCGTCGAGAAACTAGCACGTGTTTGTCGAGGCGCGTCAAAGAAACGTTGGAGAGATCGATTGACGCGAAATCAAAATGGCAGTCAAAGATCCGTGAATCTATTCATAGATCAACGAAGAAGATGGCGATCAAGAGAACCGAACGATGAAGACCGCAACGGGACCTATAAGCTTGTGCTCGCTTCGTGTCCGGTACTTATAGCTTGGTCGCGAGGGTGGTGGGTTTTTGCACCCTCTCTCTTTCTCTCTTTCTATCTCTCTCTTCCTCTGTCTCTCTTTCCCTCTCTGTTTCTCTGTCTTTTCCGCTTAGCGATTTTGCGACTCGTGGCAACGAGTTATCGATCGATAGTTAAGGCGCCCACGAAAGGGCAGAAATATTCTGAATTACACACAACGTAGGTCGACTTTGGATCTGGATGCGAACGAAAGCGACGAATCATTTCAGCGACGTTGTTTGTTATTTTCGAAACATGACTGCTCTTTTGCATTCCGTTTTGGATTGACTCTCGCTATATTGTCAGCTTCAGACGCTCTTGGAGTTGCTCTACCATTAGCGTATGGGGATTCGTGGAGGTTATTGCAAAATCAACGAATAAATTTTTTCATTTTCCAAATGAGAATTAACTTTTCATATTTTTGGAAAACTTAATTTAATTATTGTAAATTTAATACTGTTGGAATACTTTCGTTCGCGCCTCTAGTAATATAACAGGAGTCTACTGTAGTTGGAAGGGTAAGAGCATCTTAAAACTTATCCAAGTTATGGAACCGGGCACAAAATACTAGTTGGTTAATGATACCAACAGACTATCAAAAGAATCAAGATGAAAAGTAACTCAAAGAACATAATTCCTGTATTGCATTTTATTGGAAACGTATAAGATCATAAATCGTATTCAAATATCGTATTGATCAGTACTCTGCTGTTCGAAAATGGTGAAACTACGGTCATCTTGTGGGCTCTGCTCAGGACTCCATCTCTAAATTCAATCGACCAATATTACGAGTGTAGTATATTGCATTTTTATTATTGCAATAAGTACTTTTAAATATCAATGATTTATCTATTAAAAAATTGACGAGGACAATGTTAATTTTACAGTTTGTAATTAATACGATCGCTGGTAACTTTTCTCTGTTCCCTAGTGAATGTTATACTACTACCATCTAGCGGTGTGCGACATAAAGCATAGGGTTGCATACGCGTAGGCGCCACAGAATTTCCTTATTTTATGACTTATCTGAAAGGTGACACTACTGATTAAGTAAAGTGCTATCACTGCATGTTTGGTATGCACCAGCTGTTGCAGGTGCATTTATGACGTCATCACGAGAATTCTAGTGGCTTACGTGTTCCGCTATGTTTGTCAATGACGTTTAATGGTGTCTACTTCTTTGCATATTTCATTTATTCTGTAATTGTTCGATTTGCAATTTTAACAACTTGCTACTCGTAATTTACTTTTTACAACTGGGTATTGGTAATGGACAATTAGCAACAGCCAATTGTAAGTTATTTTCCCGTTTTCAACTCTTTTACTATTTTTCAACTGGCAAGTTTCAATTTACAATTTCAACTTCCTGACTTCTAATTGTCATCTGTTAAAATAACCAATTCCATCTGCCAAGTTTTCATCTACTAACTTCCTGTTTCCGGATGTTTCGATCTCGGATCCGAACGAAAACAAGTTGGTCATAGTAATCGACCACTTCACAGAAACGTTCGAGCGATCTCTATTAGCAATATTCCCCGACCGACTGTTATAGCGATCCGGTTTAGAATACCGGAACAGCGGCCATTCAGCAATGATCGACTGATTGGTTTCGTACTGATGGAGGCTGACGATGCGAACGTCACATTGTGTATCCTCTTCTGAGTCTCGTCACGTGTCTTCTGTGTCGCGTTACACAAAAGATGATCGTGTGTACTGGAAGCCTTCGAGCGATGTTTCAAACCGTTTCGCGTCTCGACTTTGCTCTACAAACGTCGGTTCATGCGACATTGACCTAACCAGTTATCAATGATGCGTCCTTGCCTCCGAACATTGTCCGCCTCACAACTTTTAAAAAATACAGAGGCTACTCATGGGTTTTATATTACACAATTTAAGATACTTCTATATTGAGTTTTATCGAGGTAAATGCGTGTACTGATTTAACTTCAATTATCCACTTGTTCATTTTTCATCTCATTTCTAATTACGGAGTATGTGTACATCGTAAAGTGGACTACATTACAAATGAAATGAAGTCGTACACGCACTTCTTTCATTATATTGCCAGAGTTTGTGTGACCAGCGTTACACGCGAGTACATCTATCAATCACCATCGCATCTGTTTGAATAAATAATTAGTCATAAAGTCCCACCGAAAGCATCTATGTAAGCACACGTAAACTTTTCAAGAAAATTCGTATCTTTCGAATCTTTTTGTTATTACAAATACAGCGTTCAATGACTGAATCATAATTGAATGCTATGATACGATTAAGTAGATAAATAGAGATTAACCTAAAAGGATGATAACAGTGAGATAAGGGTCTCGAAATGACGAATCAAATGTTGTTTTTATTAAGAAGATCTCATTATCGCTTTTTTATCATGTCTTACACTTTATTTATCGCTCAATGGTTACTAGCGAATTGTGTTCACAAATAAATATTATTGACTGTGTAAATCGTGGACTTTTCGTTAGTTTAGTTAAGAATTTTTCTCCAAACATCACGCTCGTTTACACTATGTTCGTTACTACCTCAAAAAAGTCTTACAACGTTTGTTCACATAACACAAAAATCGCACGTCATAAAGAACGAAGGATCCTTGCAAAAATCACCGCGCACTGGCCACACTTTCTGGAGGATCTAAGAGGGTCAGGATCACCAAGATCGTTTCCTCGCGCCTTATCGTTCGGAATGAATCAAGCTAGAAAGGAGGAAAACGATGAGATACGGGTATGCCCCGTACTCGTTGTAAGAGGTGGGAGTGTTGATCGCTTCCAGCACGTCGGAAAAGTACGTGATGGATCAGTCTACGTGCGACACAGCCGTGATATCCATCGAGATCCGTCGATCTCTCGATCACCACTGAACCGAACCACGGGATCCCCGTCGACGGAGCCTGCCACGTGAACGTCATGTCGCGGATCGCGGTAGGTTATCACAATGCCACCTTCTTCTTCTTCTTCTTTTTATTGAATTTCTCTCACACATACCTGCAGAGGTCACTCCGTGACAATATATTCACCTCATATTTTTCTCTGCCATTATTATTTACGTACCATTTTGATTGTGTGCTATGTTCTAAATTATATTATTTTAAACGAAACATACTTGCGGAACTTTATAGGAACATCTTCCAAAAGTTGGATAAATTTTTCTAGTATTAAGAACAATGCAAGAGCCATACTGTTTTCTTTACCTTCCTGGCAATAATTTACTTATCGTGTTATAAATTCGTGGTATACGTTTATAGCAATCGTGCAGTAATAGTAAAAAGAACAGTATTTTAAACAAACATAGCAGGGTCATTTAGAGCCATAATTAAAATTTTACTTCCTGCATCGGACTATGTTTTCAAGTGATTGTACAAGCTGTATATACATATATGTACACGTAATGTAATGAAAGTACACGTTCTTGTGCAGCGTCCAAACGATACTTTGTCGATGAGACAATTACGAGGTAAACATCGATAATGCAAAAATTAACGTAATAACGTGTTCTAAAACGTTTCAACTTCATCTCCGAGGCTCTTTCAATTCGTCGAAATCGATTCGACAAGTTTTCTGGTGTGCTTCTATCGGTGTAAAAGTTTCGAAGGTTCGAAGCGTCTCGATTTATCGTCGACGATGCACACGTCGAAAACTCGGCGAAGAACGAGCAACCGGCCTCGTGAAACGCGAAAATACGACGAATTCGTGAGAAGGAGCAGCGGTAAATCGAGAAACGTTCGGTTGTAATTGTTCGACGACTATATATCAGTGAGCTGTTTCTATCGTTGAAAACTACTCGATGATCGTTCAAAAAATTCCACCCTTTCGACGTGTTCCGACGATCGAGGTGAAAACGTTTGGAAAATTGACCAATTTTATTAATTACTCGAGTAAGATTCAAGGTTACAGTAAGATTAAATAGGACTTTATTTAATTGGGTAACCTGCAAAGGTTTCGTTTATTGACACAAGTATTCTTTGCACTTCAAGACGTTGCAACTTATCGATTTTGTTTCTGTTACCTTTTCGTTTGCATATATTTTGAAATGCGGAATTTTAATTGCACGTGGGTAAATGTTCCTCGGGGATTTCAGTTTCTGAATGTATTTTTAGCTTATGATTTTAGTTTGCAGGTAAACAAATATGTTAATGGTCCTGGGAGAATTTTAACTTTAAAAAGATTAACCTAAATTCTTGAACTATAACTGGTTCTGTCCTAAATCAAGAATTGTAAGGCGGAGCATTTATAATGCACTTCTGCCAACAAACTCTTTCATCAGCTTTTCTCGAACGTTCATCAAGTTTTCATTTAAAAGATTCAAAGGTAAAAGTTGAAATCGTCAGAGCTCACCCTCCATGCAGACTGTCCATCTCGCGAACCGTTCCTCGTTAACACGAGGAAGGAGTTCCTTAATTTACGAGTCCTCGAGTCGTTGATCTCTTTTACTCTCTCGATCCCCGTACACCTTAGGAAACTCGGGTTTTGAGCTTTAAAACATGGCGGAAAGTTTGTCGGGCACGCGGAGATTTCCCAGACTCGACACTATCTTAACGAGCCTGGTCAGGAGTCAGCTGGTAATTTCGCGACAGCAATTCCGGAGGATTTTATAGCCGGCCAAGAAATTATCATCGTGATTCTGCGAAACTTTTATGCCTCGCACGTGTTCCCTTTTTCCGTTTCCGGCTAGAAAAGGAACGTACGTTTCTGCAAACGTTTTTCTTTCGCCTCCCTCTTCTAGCCGGTGAAAAAAAGGGAAGGATGGTCGGTAGAATTCTAAACACGCAGGGAATTTGTTTTTCTTCACGGGTCGCTTTTCAACGGCAACGAAATCTTTTGCAGGTACTGCTACAGCTGGTGTTGCTGCTGCACGGATCCTTGATCGTCCTTGTTGCCGAGAAATCCAGTAAGTAAGCCGTGCTCTCCCTTCTATCTTTCTTTATTTTTCCCTTCCTTTGGAAAGAGATAATCGCGCTTAGGTTAAGCTGCTTAGGGGCCGGACCTTGTCGAGATCTAGGGGAAACGGGCTAATACCGTTCGACGATTTCCGTTATTCGCCCCTCCGAGATAAGTTTAATTGTACTGCCGACTTCTTTGCGATGTTACCGATCGATAACTTCCGCCGGAACCACTTCATTCACGGTATATACGGATTCTTGAGTTTGGTCATTCGGAAATTTCGGGATCTGAAGAAGAATTTAATTGATAGACTAATCTACTAATCGAATAGTTGAAAATGAAAGTCTGTATTAACACCGAGTGCTTGATTTTCTGCATCCTTTATTTCCTCTCCCTAATATATTCATTGTTTATATTTACCTTCGCTATTGCAACCACCATCGAAAACTCAGTCGTTTTTGCAACGCAGAAGTTCCATTAAGTTTGGAAGAAGCGTTCAGCCAAAGTTTCCGACCGTACAACTTCAACGGTACCTGGAGAACGGACAATGACATCCTTTATTCTGATAACTCTACCGGTGACGTTTATTTGTTCGATGTCACGACAAACACCAGAAGACTGCTTTTCGAGTCGTCGTTGTTGGTAAGATAATCTTTCATTCTGTACCGCAGTTGCACAATATATTTTAATAATCACAACTGCACGTGTTAAATTTTGCTGTGATCATGAAAAAGGTGTTCAAAGTATCTTCATAGAAGATAAACAGAATAAAAATTGATATCCAATCGAATTTCTTATCGCTTCTTAATCTGTATTAGGTTTCGTATCTCGCTTATCACCTAATACTTATTTCATATAATAAAATGTAATTTAAAGAATATTCCCGATCTTAAGGATTTGTAATAATTTCTTCGTAGGCCAATTACACCAGCCCCACGATCGTCCTTTCTTTCGATAACTCCAAGGTTCTGATCGGTCATGATTACGTTAAAGTGAGTATCGTTCGTTCACGCTGAATACTACTGCAGTTAAATGCAATTTTTAAACAAATTAAAAATTGAAAGACAAAATGTTTTCTAGGGGTTCAGGTACTCTATGTACCAGAGGTTTGACGTGTACGACATTGATAGCGGGTATGCTTTTCTATTTAAGATTCAAGCGTGATTTTTAACAGCCTAATGATAAATTAATTAACTTCGCAGAACCATTACGAATATTTCAAACGGCGACCGTCTGTTGCTTGCAAAATGGTCACCGGCTAAGAACGCGTTGGTCTACGTACGCGAAAATGATATTTATTATAAAGATTTCTCCGACACGAATAGCCAGGAACGTAGATTGACCCACACTGGTAAACCCGGAGTTGTTTTTAACGGTATACCTGATTGGGTCTACGAAGGTGAGTCGAAGCTAGATTCTTGGAGTAACGATATGAAGTATAAAATTTAATCAGGTTGATGAAAAAAAATTGATTCGCAGAGGAGGTATTAGCTTCCGCGTCGGCTCTGTGGTTCTCACCCGATGGTAAACACCTTGCTTTTATTACGTTCAACGACACCAATGTGAAGGACATCGTGATCCCGAAATACGGGACACCAGGAGGGATCGTGTATCAATATCCTTTGGAAGAGAATATCAAGTATCCGAAGGTAATTCAAAATAAGGGAGTAATTTATCCGGTCTACAATTACAATTTTGTGTAACTCGAATGGTTTCAAAGTGTTAGGATCTGCAGAATTAGGAGAATTCCCTATTCAATAAAAATGAAAGGGTTAGACACGTAGTCACACAGAACTGGTTAAATTGTTTTATGTGTAAGCCAATTTGTTCGACGACAGGGTCGTTAAAGGAACAGATTACGAAACTACCCTTACAGCTTTCCTGCGGTTTTAAAAGGGGATGAAAAGGGTTATCTCGCTTTTAACCTCGGTCTTCCTCGCCGAGTAACCGTTTTCTTGTATCGACACGATCAATGTTCTTTATTCGATACTTACGGGTTTCAATCTTCCCATAAAATTATTCATGCGGTTTCTAAAAATACCTTAGAATATTTTAAGAAATTCGTCTACGATTTTAGAAGTGAAATTATTGTATTTGCAGGCTGGCAGTCCGAATCCAGTTGTGTCTTTAAACCTCATTGATTTGACCAATTCATCTTCTGAAATAATTAATCTTCAGCCACCTATTGATTTTGTTGGTGTGTGAGTATTTACGATATGCAAGATTTTTGTTACTATTCTTCAGTTTTAAATTGCTCAAATTCTGACTTCCAAATTCCTAATTTCTTCGAAAGTCCCTGTTTCCCAGCTCCGAAGTCCACAGACTTAAGAATTCCAAGATCGACCCAAAGAGATTTCCAAGTTCCTAATTTCAGTTAAAATCTCCGTTGAACAGAGACAATATCATCTACACGGTAAATTGGAGGAACAGTGAGCAGGTGGTAGCAACTTGGACGAATCGTGTTCAGAACAAAGCAATGTGGGTGTTTTACGATACTCAAGGTAACGCCAATCACGTCCACCGCGACGAAGAAATACAAGGTTGGCTTCGTATTCACCCTCCTTTCTACCACAACCAGTACGTTATTATACTGGAGGCTCGGCACATTGGTTCGGTGCGTGGAAAATTTCTTCATCCGATGAGATACGAGTACAAAAACGGAATACTCACTAACGGAATTGATTTAACCCCTAAAAGGGGCGAGGTTAATGCCATGTTGGCTGTCGACCATATCAGGGAGAGACTTTATTACTTAGCGACGTTGCTCGAGTATCCATCGGAAAGACATTTGTATTCGGTGCAGTTGGATGGTACCGGAGAACCAGTTTGCCTATCTTGCACTCGAGTTACTCCCGAAGGTGATTTTCTACGATTCACGACCCTAATCAGAACGCATTATTTCATTCATTATTGCATTAGCACATTCATATTATTTCAAAGTGCAGTTTGATGACATATGCAAGAGTATTACAAAATGGCATTTATGGTTCATCAATCATGAGCTTAAAATTATTAAGCTTTTACAGTTAATTTTTTAAAATAATGTTTAAACAGGGAACATGTGCCAGTACGCGCACGCCTACTTTTCTACGAGCGCCTCGAACTATGTGTTCATCTGTTCTGGACCAGATCCATTGACAGTCCAGATATTCAACGCAGATCGCGGGTTTTTGTATCTGTGGGAAGGAAACCAAGATCTTAGAGAAAGACTCGCTAGCCGCGTTCGACCAATTATTTCTAAAAAAATTATTAGGACAGAGTTCGAAAATACGATTAAATTATACCTCCCACCTGATTTTAACACAACTCAAAAGTATCCCTTGTTGATCAACGTGTAAGTACTGCAAATACTTTATTACCATTCGTAGTATCATGTATATTAATATTTATCCCTTATAGTTATGCTGGACCGAATACAGCGAAGTACACGGACGAATTCTCTTATGGATTCGAGTCGTACATGGCGGCTAACCGAAATGTCATTTACGGCTATATAGATGGTAGAGGATCGGCTAATAAAGGAACCTCGTCCCTGTATACGATTTATCGGAACCTTGGCACTGTGGAGATCGAGGATCAAATCGCCACCACCGAGTACTGTCATTTCTTTCGTTAATTTATCCTCATTAATTTTTCCGCTTTAATACATTTCTAATTCGACGAACAGGGAAATGTTGAGGCGATTCCCGTGGATCGATCGGAACAGAACTGCAATATGGGGTTGGAGCTACGGTGGTTATGCCACATCTATGGTGTTGGCTACTGACAAACAGTCAGTTTTCAAGTGCGGCATATCGGTTGCACCTGTGACCTCCTGGATTTATTACGGTAACCTGGACAATTCAATAATCGCTTAAATATCCACGCAAATAATTATAGTCACCTAAGAATCTCTTATCTCACGATAATCATGTTTCAAACATGTGGGACATTGTAAGAACAATGTAGTACGGTCTGTTCACAGATTCCATTTACACAGAGCGTTTCATGGGATTACCAACAGCCGAAGATAATCTGAGAGGTTACAACAACTCCGACGTAACCAGGAAAGTGGAAGGAATTCGGGGGAAAAAATATTTGCTGATACACGGAACCGGGGACGATAACGTGCATTATCAACAATCCATGGCTTTGGCCAAGGCTTTGGAGCAGAACGACATTCTGTTTGAACAGCAGAGTTACCCTGACCAGGCACACGATTTGGGTAGTGTCACTCCTCATCTCTATCACACCATAAATCGATTTTTGAGCAAATGTTTGGGCTATTCGGAAAAAGCCTGACCCCGAAGACTTGTCGCATTATCGAGTAAAAAAGTCACCAGTTAGATAAAAGCTGGGCTCGTTCAAGAATATACTTTATGGATCCCTGTGGACTAAAGAACTTCGGCCATTTTACTTTTTGTGAAATGGATTCTATTTAATTAGCGGGCGAACGAGTCTGCTGAAATGTGTGGATGCCATTATAAGCAATAAGTATTAATTATTTAAAGTACGAGTTAACAACTGCCTAATTCGTGGTTCCTAATTAAATAAATTTTGGAATGTTTGTTCGGAAGCGAAGCGCAGAGTTGTTTCTGAAAACAATGTGAGCTTCGTTTTGATACAGTTTAGACGTTAATTCTGTTAATTGTGCGTGAAATAGATTCTATGTAAAAATTTTGTATCGGGTGTAGTCTGAATTCGGGTGAATTGTATATGTACTAAATAAAATAAGCTAGAAATCGTAGGGTGTGTCAGAGATAAAGTTTCTGTCACTTAAGAGTTTATAAAACAAAAATCCGAAGTGGAATTTCAATTGAAAATTGTCGACACGAAAGGTTAAATGGCACGTTGTTTGCGAGAGTGAAATTCTTGAACAACGCGAATGTAAATTTCGTCGGTTCACGTAGAATAATATATCGAGCGGCGATTAAACAGCAGATTTCACGATCGCTGATGCGACAACGCTCTCTTTTCAACAGTATTTTCACATTTTCACATCTGCCCTCGGCAGTTGTCCGCATTTTTTGGTCGGATTGAGTTAACATCGGGACCGAAACGTAAAACGCGTTAGCTGTCGTTCGTCGAACGGAACTATCATCGAAAATTCAACGCTCAGGGGACCTTTTTTATTTTCACGATAGCGTGAATTTTCAACTTGAATTTCTTTCAATTAGCTTTTTCAAATATACATGAAAAAGGAAAGGAGCATTGATTCGTGATTAATATTCTACTCTTACGCTCGACATGATTCATTTATTTATGTCCGCATTTTTCGACGATGACTATGGAAATGTACTCTGTTATCGGATTTCCAGATATGAAACTTTTTCAATTTTTCACAGATTTCGGTACTAGAGAAATACTTGTCAGTTTCTTATTTTTGATGGACAGCGACTATTTTTTGAAATTGGTCTAACAGATTTCTAACCCATGAAAAATTCATGTGCCTTCGGGAGCCGTCTATGGATGTATTGAAAAGATGGCATATTGCTTTTATTCTCCTTTCGCTCTCAATTTGTTACCGTTCCGCATGGGCAAGCCTACGCGTTCGATGCCAGCTCGATCAGCCGTTCCGGTCAAAGGGACTTTTGTGAAATTTAATCAGCTGGTTCGTGTCGTTCTTCCGCATCCGGTGAACGTCCACCCCCGTCCCACGGTCCTCCAACTCGGTGACCTGGAATCTCGAGCCCGAGGGAAGAAAAATTCAGCGGATGAAGAACGCGTGTTACACCGTAGAAAGTTTCTCTCGAATTCCTTCGCGTTTCCAGTTTCGCTTGCATGCAATAGACGATACCAGCCTTTAGAATTATCGAGAGGGGCTCAGACGCGAGCATATCTACAAAGAGATTTTTTCGAACATCCCTATTTCAAAATTTCAGCACAAAAGAGACCTGCATTTCATTTTTATCGCTTCAGAAATTATTTTGCATTCACTTATAAGTGGCTATGTTCGCAAGAATTCGTGTACTATCGAATCGATTTAAATTTAAAAATAGCGTGTGCAAACAAATTTCGATTAGAGCGAAAGATAGACGTATTAAATATAGTTACAACGGAACAAGAAGAAATTGTTCGAGTATCAAAATTGTAGGTTGTTTCTCGACGTCTTTATCGCGAGACAACATCGTTTTACCCACGCGAGGTTATTCGACGATCGTCGGGTGAACTGGGCTAAGGACTCCTTGTTATCCCTGCACATCCTGACGGCTTGAACGCTGCTTTAATAACCGGAGAACATCGCAAAGGACGAGTTGGCACGCGATCTCGAACGTTCCGACTGATTTACTACCGAGAATTGTTCCACGAGCTAGTCGAGGCCGATTCAAAAATTGTTTGACCATCGTCCAACGAGAACGAACGATTTGGAACGCGTTAAGTTCGCTGGGGTCGTCGTTGACATACGGGAACGTTGCATACGTTCAACAACACACAGTCGTTAAATGTAAGTGCATCGAATATAAATCCATCTTTGATTCGGATACCAGGACAATCGTAAATTTTACCATCAAACGGGACCTCGTTTAAAGTGCCATTGTATTTTACGTGACCTATAATTAACTACTTAACACGTGAGCCGCTATATGTGGCAGAAACCGAACTTTCATTTGCTTTTCGGCGCATTTATATTATATAACGATTCTCGTTATATTGCCACGAGTGGTAATATGGTTTATTTAATTAATACAAAATTATTATTATAATATGGTTACATCATCAAGCTATTGATTTAAAAAATTCTATATCTATCCATTTCTTTACAAAACACGAAAACCCAATACCTCAAACGAACATTACAAAGTCGAATGGCATAAAAAGTGACCCGGAAGCTGGAACAATAACTGCTCCGTTTAAAAGAAGGAAAAAAGGAAGGGATGGGAAAGAAAGATAGAGATAGTAGAGAGGGGGCAAGAATGAAAGGGTACAGTCAGGAGTAAATCTGTCGTTCACAGGGAACTTTAGAAACTTCAAAATCTACTAATTTGGTGATGTGGGAATTTGGAACATTTGGATACTTGGAAATTTGGAAATTTAGGGATCTGAAAATTTGATAACTTACGAGCATGAAAATTTGGGGACTTGGAAAATTTGGGAATTTGGGAAATTGGAAATTTGGAAATCTGAAAATTTGAAGATCAGCATTTTACGAATTTTGGGATCCGAATATTTGAAACTTTGGAGATTTGAAAATGTGCTTGCTGGAACTTTGCAGATTCGGAAATTTGCAATAATTCCACTCGTAGATGATGAAATTGTAAAAATCCCAAGGACCCAAATTTCGGGAGCTATCCAAAGAAGCCTCTCAAACGTCTTTTCTATTTTTAAGAGATTTGTTCTCGACTGTACGAGTTAACAGAGCCTGTAGGAACTAGACAAAAGGGAGCGGAGTCTATTTCCCGCGTTGAAAGTGTTCCTGTTGGAACCGACCAGTAACGTGGCGGCACAGGGTGCGAGCCATTGTCAACCCTCAGCTCGGGGGTTGTTTAACAATGGTCCTCCAGTGTCGGCGACGCTTTTCATCGCGCGTAAACGCTATCGGTGACGCGAGTACCGATCTTCGTGTTCCGTGAAATGAGAGAAAGAGACTACCGGATACCATCTCTGGCTTCCGCACACTCTGCAGCCAACGGGGGATGACAAATCGATGCTTGTTTCGTTGATCGTCGAGATTTGCATGCGACTAGGATTGTTTAACCCGAATGCTCCACGGTTGGACAACAGGGATGCTCGTGGGACGAATTTTCACGCTTCGCTGCTTGACTTTTGTTGAACGATCCTTCGGAGAATAGGGTGCGCATGTGTTATTGAAAAATGTCTCTCTGAAAGAGGTTAGATGTGTCGTAAGTTCGCGATGAATTGCTAGCTCAGAACGCTTTCTTGTTGTTGTTGCTCTCTGCGGTTTGAGGGATTCTTATTCAGGTAAGGATTTGGATGGTATCAGGAAGGATGCAATTTATACCCTTTGCCAGAATATTGCTACATGCTATGTCAAGAGTTTTGCATTTTAGATTGTGTTCAATGTGTACTAACTTTCACCAGACCTATTCAAATGATCAGATTTCAAATGTCCAACTCCCCTAAAAAATTGAGAGCCTGTAGACTTCGGCAAACAATTAAAATTGCAATACTAATTCGAGGTGGGAAATTGAAGTGCCAAATTAAAAATTTAAATCTCAATATTCTGACCGATCTACTATCTACACGCGTACCATCTACGATGTTATGCTTGACGGTGTAGTTCTCTTCGTGAAGTTTGAAAAGTTCGAACAAATTCGAGAACGTACTTCTAAAGTTGGAAGAAAATTTGAGAATACTATTTGGAAGCTTTCAAGCCTTTTCAAATATTCATGAGAGTCTACCGGTATCTTCCATTGACGTTTGTAGACGTTCTACCGATAATTCTGATCGATCCTTCAAGAATACTCGAAGATGCGGAAGACAATTTTAAGTTAAAAACAAAATTATCAACCGTAAGAACTTTCGATAATTTCACGATTGCACACGAAGTGTTAATTAGTTTTCGAGTGCAAGAAAAATCCTTTTTCTTGAAAGCTGAAGATTGCGAAAGAGTAACGTTGTTCTCCGAGGGTTGCACGGAAGTCTAAGCCGTAGGGTTTATAGTTCAAGGTTGGCTATCTCTGTTCCAGGATAAAGGAATCGGCGTAATTGATGGCTCGCTATCACGCCATTCGCGATAATTCGTGATCCAGGTGAATTTTACTCGGCACCTAGATTCCCTTTGGTGTCTTCTGTTCTTCCTCGGCTTGGAACACGGACTTCCGGTGTGTCACGCGATCTCGTTTCTTCATTGATCGACACTTCAAAAAAATACTTACCCAATAATTTTATCATAACCCGGTATATTTAATCTTTAATTACAAATGCAGGATTAATGTGCACAGTTATATTTGACAAAATACAAGAATTCGGTTGATATATCATTATGTGAAAGGATCTGGTGTTAAACGCTCGTAAACTAATCGCGGAGGGCTGTTTGTTCAGGAAGCGGCGTCGAAGAGTTCGACTGCTTTGAAAGGGTAGAATAAAGTTTAGCAGGTTCGAAAGTTTCTCAAGATTGAAAACCATCAGGGTGGAGCCACTCAGGAGATTAAAAAAAATTCGGGAACGCGATTTAACGATCCGCTTCTCGATAATTCCTCGCGTCTCATCCACTTTAAGACTCCATTAATTTCCATAATATAGGAAGAACGCAAAATCCGGCGTTTAGCGTTGTCCGTCATAATCGAAGGAACAAAAGATTTATACCAAAAGTTTAAGTTCGAAAAGTAACTGTATGGTCTTGATAGTGTAAGATGTAATGTCTGACCACACCTGAACATTTCTACTGTGGTCACCGTGGTAAATTTCGACTTTTCCAATAAATATCTGCCCGTAATAAATTTGATTGCAACTTTTACGATTGTAAAATTGTCGGCCATGACAAAATACCTACCCCAGTAGATATCGTTCGATTCTTAAATTGCGTTCTTACAGGCTGAACTTCGAGGGTGAAATTCCGAAGAAAAAGTTTCGAGGAACCGTTCCTCGTCGTTGACCTCCGCGTTTCTTGACCGAATTTGTCTGGGCCGAAAGATCGATCTGGCCACAAAACGAGAGTTTTTTCTACCGAGAATACACCACCATTCCGAGCGGAATGGAAACATTTTATCTTGAGAGACCGTGGTCGATTTATTCCGTTCGGGAATAAAGGTCGATCGAGTTTAGGAGATACCGATTCACCGTCAA